GAACCCCCATCGCTCCCCTTTTAAAGGGAAAAACAGCCCCCTGCCCCACGCATTCAGGCATCGCGAGGAACTTCTCCACCGCCGGTTCCCGGCTCGTTCGGCTGCCAGCTCCAAAACACGCTCACGCTGCCAAGAGTGGCCCCTCGCACATTGAAAAGCCCGGCCATTGAGCTGACGAGCTCGCTAAAGTATTTACTGAATAGATCAATAAGAGCAGGGAACGAGACGTGCGCAGCTTGGAAAAAAGCGGCTGGCAGGGGAGGCTGGACAGACAGACAGCCCCATCGCTGGGTAAACATTTTCCCAGTGCCACCAGACCAGCCACGGCCAAACTCCGCAGCCAGGCTGTGGCGGCTCCGGGAGCAGGAGCAGCCCCAGTTATGCAAGAGCAGGAGCTGGGGGCGAGGCCGGGCTGTCACGGGTGGGAGCGGGGAGCGGGGGGGACCCCGGCCCGCAGCGACCCCCGGCCTCCGCCGCGGCGCCGAGCGGCAACTTCCCTGCGTGGCTGTGGGGAAAACTTTGGATTGCAAAGGAAAACGGGATGGCGGGGCGGGCTGAAAGTCGCCAGAAACCGGCCGAGAGCGAGCGGCCAGGCGCGGCTGCGAGCGGGGCCGGGGCGGGGGACGCAGCCCGGCATTGCGGCGCGGCCGGGGGGGCGCGGGGAAGGACGCGCCGCCCCAGCCTGCTCCCGGTGTCCCCCGGTTCCCCCCCACACACCCCGCGGCGCGGCGGGGCCGGGCTGCGCCCGCTCTCTGCTTTGTCACGGCGGCGCTGCCCGCCGCGGCGGCGGGGGGGGACGCGCGGCCCCTCCCGCCCCCCCCCCCCCCCGCCCCGGCCGGGCGCTGCGGCCCCGCCGGAGCCCCCGACAGCGGCCGCGGGGTCGCGCAGCTGCGGCGCTCCCGCCGCCGGGTGTCCCGGTGGGGGGGGGGGGGGGGGGTAGGGACACCGGGAGCGGCCCCCGCCCCGCTGGCCCCAGACTCACCTTCGAGGGCGCGGGCGGCGGGCGCGGCCAGCAGGGCCAGCAAGCACCCGGCGAGGGCCAGCAGCGGCCCCATGGCCGGCGGCGCGGCTGCGGCTCGGCGGCGGCTCCTCACGCCGTGCTGCCCGCGGGGCGGTGCGTCCCGGGCCCGCGCACCGACATCCGCGGAGGGAGGGGGCGCGGGGCGGGGGCGGGCGGGCGGGGGAGGGCCGGGCCGGGGCGGGCGGGGCGGGCGGACCCTCCGGGCTGGGCGGCGGCGGCGGCGGCGGCGGGTTTGGGGGGGGGGGGGGGGGGTGGGGGGGTGGGGGGGGGGGACGGCGGGGCGGGGGCGGGGGGCTGCGCGCGCCGCCGCCGCGGCGGACGGATGGAGGGATGGATGGGGCGCGCGCCGCCGCCCGCCCCTGACGTCACCGGGCGCGAGCCGCCGCCGCGCGCGAGGAAGGGGGGGAGTGAGGGGGGCGGGGGGGTGCCGCGAGTTAGGGATTGGGGGGGGGGGGGCTGGTGTCAGACGCCACGCAGCGCGCATGCGCGTGCGGTGCCGGGGCTGCGGCCCCCGGCCGGGCTGGGTACGGTGTCGGTATGGGATGGGAACGGGATGGGTGCCCTATAGGTATGGGATGGGTACGGTACAGGTACAGTATGGGTACAATAAAGGTGTGGTGTGAGTACAGTATGGGTATGGTATAGGTACAGTAAGGGTATGGTGCGGGTATATTATGGGTACGGTGTGGGTGTGGGGTACAGTCTAGGTACGGTGTGGGTACGGTATGAGCCGGGGCAGTGTCTGCCCGCGGCACCGCGGGTCCCACACCCACGCGCGGTGCCAGGGGCACATCCTGCGGCACCACCCCGCACCCCGGTGACGCTGCTCCAGGCCCCTGCCCGTCCCTGCCAGAGGGGCCCCCACGAGCTCGGGGCTGCCACGAGCGGCCGTGATCCGGGGATGGAGAACAAACGGCTCCGGGGACGGGAGAGCTGGGACACAGCCAGGACCTGCGGGCAGCGGGGCTGGGGCCGAGCCACTGCACCTCACAGTTCCACGGAGACCCTGTGGGGAACAGGACCGACCCCCGGGGCCAATGCCTGAGCACCACTCGGGGGGCCTTCTGCAGAGGAAGGGACCCCCCAGGGTCGCAGAACAGCCCTGGAGGTCCCTGCGGGAGGGAGCCCAGGACTGGGGGAGCAGACCCCTGATGAGTGGGGTCCTGTTGCCGTAGGGCTCAGCCGCGGGGCTGGATTTTGCTTTGCCCAAGTTCAGCCCTCGGCTGAGGCTGAGCCAGCCGCCACGCTCACCGCGACGGGCCCGAGGTGCCCCTCGAGCCCACTGCAGGGTTTCAGCAGAGCCCTGCTAGCCAGGGCCAGCAGCTCCATCCCCAAAAAACAACTTCAGTTCTCTCGCCTCACCAAAACATCCTCTTCTCTGCAGGGAACGTCTCATCCTGCCTCGGATGTTTGGCAATGACTCTCCACTGTCACCGTAATCTGCATTTTTGGCTGGTCGGGGTTGGGGCCATGCTGCCAATAATTGCAACATTTTAAAAGGCCCCTGGGATCCAGCTGGCTCCAGGGCCCCAGACACAACCCAAGCTGCCGGCCAGGTGGGGGACTGGCAGCCCGGACCCCTCCCCAGGCTGAGTTGGCTGCCAGCCTGCCCCAGACCGCCCTATCCCTTCACTAGCTGCGGGTCCCTGTGGGGCCGGCTTCCTTCCGCCACCTCAGAAGAGCCCCTTGTCACTCCCCTGCTACCACAGCTGTGGCTGTGATCTCAGAGCCTGAGCCCTGACATCAGAGCCAGAGCCGTGACGTCATTTGTCTGTCACAGCATCCGGCCACAGTGCTGCCTGCAAGGGGCTGAGGCCAGCTGCTGAGAGGGGGGAGATGGGCAGTGGTGCAGGCACCCGTCATCAGGGAGCTGCCTGCAACCCCCCTGAGTGATGTCACCTGTTAAAACAATGATGTCACACGCCTGCCCCTGTGCCCCACCCTGGTGAGGCAGCAGTGCTGGCAGAAGCATGGGGGGGCGGGGGGAGGCGGGGGTGGAGAAGCAGCCCAGAGGCAGCTGGCTGGGCGGAACGAGGGGGCTGCTTCGGGCTGCTGCTGCACCAGATGTTTGGGAGGAAGATCCAGATGTTCCAGGGAAGCCACCCTTGCAGAAGGGCTGGTGGGGGCACAGGCAGGCGATGCCCCAGGATGCGGGGGAGGGCACTGCGGGTCCAAATGGCTGCTCTGTGCCCCCCACCACTGCATCAGAGGCCCCGGAGCTTGCGCAAACCCTGCAGAGCAGAGATGGCCGGGATGGCTGCAGCCACACGCTCGCCAGGATTCCTCCCACGCGTGGCCCCCAGCCAGAGCCCAGGTGGCTCCACACAGCCCCCTCCCCATGCACAGCCCCCCTCCCCACGCACCCCCTGCCCCACGGGTATTGCCAGGTTCTGCCACCCCCCAGGACAGTGCACCCCGTGGCCCCCCAGAGCTGGTGGGGCGAAGGCCATTGCTGCCCTTTGCGCCCCCAGAGCCTTGCAGGGGTCTTGCTGCAGACGTGGGGGTGGCTGGGGAGTGGGGTGCCCACACCAGGTGCCCCAAGGCCACCCTGGCCCAGTGTGGGTCCAACACTGAGGGTCCCACTGCGAAGCCCCTCCTGGGCAAACACGCTGCCAGGCCTCATCCCTCCATGGTTCTGAGCCCCCGGCAGCAGAGCAACAAGTGGAGGGACGCCTGGGACGGGGTCACCCCAATGCTGCCCTGGACGGGGACCCAAGGGGGGCTGAGCAGGGCCAGGAAGCCCCTTCGCAGCCCCCAGACCCGGAGGGGCCGCGCCCCACCCAGGATGCTGCTCAGCCCCGAGCCGCACCGAGGGGTCACAGTGCAGCGTGGGGCCCGATCTGCCCCACACCACGGTGGGGGTCCGGCCTCCCGGGGGCCACCGGTGTGACGGGGGACCAGCGGGTACGGGGCCAGGCGCAAGCGAGGAGGGGGAGACGCCCGAGCCGCGGGGGCCGCGCTCACGGGGGCAGGGCGCCACGGCCCCGGACACGCGTGATGCTCGTAACAGCCACGAGCATGGAGGGTTTGTCAGGGGCAATGTGGGGAACGCGGGGACCCGGCCCCGGCGCCGCGCACCCCGGGGGCTCCTGCGGCGGCCCCGCCCCCGGACCGGCAGCCCCGCCCCCGCCCCGCCCCGGTAGCACCGGCGGTGCGGCAGCGCCCCCTGGCGGCGCCGGGGTGGCCCCGCCGGTGTGGTGCCCCTCCGCCGACTTCGGCGAGGGGTGGCGGAGCAGCCGCTGCGTGGGTAACCCCCGCGCAACGAGCGCCCCGGGCGGCGATTCCCCCCCCCTGCAAGGGGCACCCCTACAGACCGTGCCCCCCCGGGCAGCGAGCCCCCCTTAAAGCAATGTGCCCCCCCCACCCCGGGACCCCGGTCACGTCCTCGGGCAGGCGGGAGGGGGCACAGCCCGGACCCGGCTGTGGGCTCAAACCCCAAAACGGGGACGGGGTCACAAACCGTGGGGTGCAGACGCAGATTAAGACCCGACGGCCGCGGGTTTTTAGGGGTGCCTGGAGATCGCGCGCGCCCCAGCAAAGGGCCACGACGTGGACACGGGACCGGTGAGGGAGCCCGGCGGGGGCTGCCCTGGCCCCGGAGCATCCCCACGGCTGTCCCCGGGGAGAGGGCGGCAGACCCTAGCCACGGGGCGGGGGTGAGAGGCTCTGATGTAGGGCGGGAGCGGGGTCCACGCGTGGGTGTCACAGATATGGGGTAGGTGTGGGGGGGCAGCGGATGGATGGGGGCTGATATGAGGCGGGGGGGGCAGGTATGTATCCCCACACGGGGCGGGCGTGGGGCCGCGGGTGGGTGTCAGGCGCGGGTCTGCGGAGCCCCGTGGGTGCGGCAGCCCGGCGGCGGGGGTGGAGGGGGGCCGCGGCCGGGCCCCGGGGAGCCGCCGAGGCCGATCCGGTGCCGGCGCCCCCCGCCCCCGCCGCGCACACCCGCCGCCCGCGCGTCTCCTCCCCTTTCCTGGCGCTCGGCGCTTTCCGCCGGAGCGGAGCAGCCGCAGGAGCCGGCCCGGCCGCGCCCGCCGCCGCGATGGAGTGAGGGGCCGCGGGGCCCGGCCCGGCCCGGCCGCCCCCGGCGACCGGCGGCTCCTGCCAGGTAACGGCGCAGCGGGCGGGGCGGGGGCGCGGGGCCGGTACCGGGGGCGGGCGGCGGGGCCGTGGCCCCTTTCCGCCGCCCGGCACCGCCCGCCCCGTCCCGCGACTACGGGCTGGGGCGGCCGGACGGGCGCGGGGGAGCAGGGTGGGGGGGTCCCGCCGCCGCCGCCGCCGCCGCCGCCGCAGCCCCCCGGGACGGGCTTGGGGCTTCCCCGGCCCCGCTACCGCCCGCGGGGAGAGCGTTCGGGTGCCCGTCACGGGCCGGCGCCGGGGTCCCGGGCCCCCAGGGCCACCCGGGCGGGGGGTTCCCCGGCACTTTCAGCCCCTTCCCCGCCGCTCCCGGGCCCGGCAACGGGCTGGGGCGGTGCGCTGCCCCCCTCGGGATGGGGGGCTGCCCGGCGCGGAGGTCCAGGCAGCGTGGGAAATCCCGCGGCAGATGAGCTGGGGTCTCTGGAGGGGAGCAGATCGGCTCTCCGTCCCCGGCGCCGGCCGGGAAGTGCCCTCGCAGGGTTGTTTTGGGGTGGGCTGCGAAAGGGTTCCGGGGCCGGGCTGCGGGTGGGCTGGGCTGGGACTGCCGTCGGGGGCGCTGGTGGGGGCTTGGCAGGGCTGCCTGGCCCAAAGTCCAAGTGGATGCAGCTGCTGGCACCTCGCTGTCCTGGGACAAACGGTGCGTGGGGCAAAGCGAAAGCACCTGGCGGGGGCCGTGGCGGAGAGCACCAGACCCCCACCCGGTCCCTGCAGATGGGACCCTGCGCAGGGAGCTCCTGGGGTGGGAGCTGGGGGCTGCAACCAGCCTGGACTCCCCATGCTGTGAGTCACTCTGGAGCTGGGTCAGCTGGGGAAGGCCCTGCTCCTCTTCTGAATCAGAAGAGCTTTCACTGCCAGAGAGGGCTGGCTGTGGACAGGCCCTGCTGCCGCACGGGTTCCACGGTGTCCTCCCTGCGTCACTGTCACCAGTGTCCCCCCAGCTGGGACAGTGGTCCCATGCCCTGTCCTTGGCCGGCGAGCACCAGCAGCAGCGGCCTCCCCAGCACCCTGGGGAAACCGAGGCGTATCGAGAGGCAGCGAGGTCTCTTGTGCTGTGTCCTCGCAGGGGCAAAGCTAGAGCAGAGCCCAGATGTCCTGAGTGTTAAGCACTGGAAAACATCTGAGTGTCTGTCCCTGAGAAAGCCCTGGGGAAATCTCTGCGCAGCGCCTGGGAGGAGGGTGTGGAGGGCAGAGGGACGTGCGTGCCCACAAGCTGCCAGCCCCAGCTTCTTCCCCTACCAGCCTCCGGCACTGGGCTGGGAAATTGCCATGGGCAGAGGGGAGCAGGCCAGGAGTGGGGTCCCTCGCAGCCCTGGTTCCCCAAGCACGAGGGGGAGAGGTGGCCCCGAGGGTGGGGGGCTGCGGTCTGCTGCCAGGAAGTGCTGGTGATTAATGAGTAACAGCCATGAGATGTACGGCAGCGCTCGCTTCTGGGATGGGGACTTGGTTTCCCATTGCCTGATGAGTAATTAGAAAGCCCGTGCTGGGAGTGTGGGGGTCACTGAGCCCCACCTGCACTGTGGCTCCTCCTGCCTGACCTCCCAGCCCTGGGAACCCCCGGGCCCCACCAAGCAGGCAAAGCGGCCCCTTGGGTGCAGGAGGAAGTGAAAGTGGCTGTGGTGAGGGGTCTTGGGAAGGGGGAGCAGGCAGGGGGGCGCAGGGCACACCCCGGGTGGCTGCTCCCCCTCCCTGGGTGCCATATCCTGCCCCGCCATCGAGCTGGAGGCACTGCGCAGCCGCGGGGTTTTCCCAGGCCCCGCTGCTGCTCAGGGCTTCAGCCTCGGGTTCCCCGTGCCGGAGGCGTGGAGATGGGAGCTGTGCCTCCCCCGGCACTGCTGCAGCGGCTGCTCTTGCTAGGCCACCCCAGGGCGAGGGTCCCCGCAGCGGGGGGGGGGGACAGCTCCATCACCCAGCCTGGATCTCTGTCCCTCCTTCCTCCTCCCTAGCACTGCGGGGTGGTGCTGGAGCAAACCCTGCCTGGCCTGATCCTGGGACGGTGCAGGAAGTTGGGGCTGGGAATGTAGGCTGGGCCTTGGCGGGGAAAGGCTGTTCTGCAGAAGGAGCAAAGGAGGAAAACATGGAAATTAGGACGGGAAGGAAACAGGGCAAGGCTGGGCTGAAGGAGCTGCTGTGACTGATGCCAAGAGAGGATGGGCCTGTCCCCCCTTCTGAGCTCCTCTGAGTCGTCGTCCCTTGGGCTGGCAGGGAGCTGGGAGCCAGCGAGGAGGAGTGCAGCATCTCCTGCAGACTCTTAGCAAATTCAGGCATGCCCAGCTTTTGTTCCAGGTTGCCACTTACCAGCCAGCAGCTGCCTCCCAGGGCTAAGCAGAAATACAGGTTTCGATGGGAGGAGGAGGATGGGGATTACACTTCGAGGATCACAAAACGAGAGGCTGATTTTCCCTCCCATCTTGATTCCCTGTGTGCCAGCAGCTACAATCTTGCTGGGGCCGTGGGGGGAGCGGGGCAGTGCTCCCAGCTCTCGCTGGGTGCATTTCTCGCTGTGCATTGACCCCTCCAGAGTAAACTCAGCCCTTGGGCTTTGTGCTGCGGTAAGTCATCAGGATCTGTTTGCTCTGGCCAGCCGAGCAGAATCAAAATCAAACGCGTCCTGGAGGCACCAGTCTCAGCGTGCCATGGGGTCGGGCCTCCGTCTGCTGTGGCGGTTCCTCCCCGGGGCTGCCTGGGAGCTCTGGTCCCGCCGTGTCACCCAGCTCCCCTGGGAAGCGGAGCACCCCGGGGGCTGCACCCGCGGCCACCGCCCCTGGGTGCACCCCCTCTCCCCGACGGGACGTCCCGAGGGGCGGCCGGAGGAGACGTGCTGGCAGCTGGCCGGGCGCAGGCCACGCCACGGTTGTTTTGCGCTCTGCGATGTTGCCCTAGTGACGCTGGCTTCCTTCCCCTCGCATGGTTTCTCAAAGTCTCTGGCAGCTCCACCTCCGCCCTGCGCCTCGGCTCTTGCAGCGCGGCCAAGACCCGCGGGGAACGCGCTGCCCGCGAGGACACGTGACGTGGCTCCCTGCTCGGCTGTTTGCTTTCGGGGACGGGAAGCCAGCCCTGGGCGGACGGGCTGGCCGGGGTCCCGGAGGCACCCTGTCCCCACGCTGCCCTGCCCCGGCCCCACGTCTGGGCAGCGAGCTGCTGGTGCCTCGCGCCCCGCCGCAGGATCCGGCCTCTGCCCGGGTCGGGGGGAACACGCAGCGAGGTGCGTCTGGGCCGTGCGGTGCAGTGACCCCCCCCCTCATCTGCTGCACCCCGAGGGCCACCCCGGGGGGACCGGGCTCCCGGCGGGGGCTGGAGGGTGCGGGCATGGTGGTCAGCGGGGAGGAAGGGAATGAGCTGTCAGGAAGAGGCATGGTGTGGGCAGGATGGAGCAGGCAGGCTGCAGGCACCGCCGGGGGGGCCGGGACTGGGGCGAGAAGGAGTGTCGGGGTTGCAATGCCCGGTTCGGGGGGTGGCGGGGGACCCGTGGTCCAGGCTGGGCCATGACCCCCCAGCCCAGGCCTCCCCTGTGGAGTTTCCCATCGAGCGCCTCGTTCCAGTCCTCCTCTTGCTTTCCATGAGCTCTGGAGCCCACCGTTCCTGGGGGGCAGCTGGGGAATACCTGAGGAAGGTGCCTTCCTTGGAGGGCAGCTGGGGAGGTTTTGGGGAGCAGCTGGGCTGCTTCACTGGGATCGCCCTAGCAGAGCAGTCTGACCGAGTTCTGGGATTTCACACTCTTCCTGCTCCCTGGGGCTCTCTCATCTCTCCTGTGCCAAGACCGGCAGCGCTTGCCCATCCCTCCTCATGTCCTTGTACGTCACCCATGGCAGGAGGTGCAGGGATTCCCCAGGCATTCGGGAAACTGAGGCACAAATGGGCTGCCTGCCTGCCCAGAGTTGCCCAAGAGGCTGATCCTGGATCGGGCTTCCTGCTCCTCCTCCTCCTCCCCAGCAGCCCCAGTCCCACCGAGCAGCAGGTTCAGGCAGCGGAGGGACAGGCAGCAGCTCTCACCCACCCTCCCAGCCCCCCCCCCCCCCGCCAAGAGCTGGGCAGCGGGCTGGGGGCTCTGGGTGCTGCAGCCACCCGCGGTGCCCAAGCTGCCCCGCTCCCCGTTCACGTCCCCTCTCCTGTTTCTCCACAGGTGACAGTTCCCAAGATGTCCCTTTGGAGCATCGTCTCCCACATGCCGCCAGAGGAGTTCAGCGGCCTCTTCGCGGAGTTTCCCCGCAGCCTGCGCTGTCTCCTGGCCGACTGGCTGGAGAACCAGCCCTGGTGAGTCCCCCAGCACCCGTGGGCTCTTCCCTGCCCCGAAACAGCTCCCCACGCACTGAGAGCAGCCTGGGCAGCACCCGGGGCTGGCTGCCCTTGGGGGGCTGAGCCGAGCCGGGGCGGGGGTCTAGCCCGGGCAGCACCTGACTGTTAGGTCTGAACGCACGGGCAGAGGTGGGTGCTGGTGATGAGCCCCATCCACGGCCCCAGACAAAGTGGGTGAGGAGACCAGGGTCTGCACGGGGCTTCTAGTCAGGAGCAAAAGGAGACGGGGTCCAGGGGCAGGACCACAGCATCAGGGCCCGTCCAGGAGACTGAGCTGCAGGCAGGGCTGGGGGCAGAGGCAGGAGTGCTTGCAGCGTAGCCTAGGAAAGGCCTCAGGGTCTCGAACTGGACACAGATGGAGCTCATGGAGACATGGGCAGAGAGCGCAGCCGCCTGGGTGAGGCTGTTCAGGGTCTACTTTGCTCATAAGGTCTGGATTGCTGCGACTCTGCAGTGGCAGCAACCATGAGCATGGTCTGGCCAGAGTCCCCTTTTTGTGCCTGGGAAATAGTAACAGCAATGGCTGATTATCCTTGTCACAGATTCACCTAGGCTTTCCAAGGAGCTTCTCCTTTGGTGCAATGACCAGGACACAGGCAGGGAGGAAACCTCCCCCAGCACATCCTCCTGCCTTGCGGGGCCATGGCCAGGCCTGTGGCTCTGGGACCTTCAGCACGCAGCTTGGACCGAGGCACAGGGGTGGGGGTCACACTGTGGGGGTGAGGCACGGCAGAGGCGGGTGGACGTGCAGCAGCTGGGTGTACACGTGGGAGAGGTTTCAGGAGGTCGTGGTCTCGCCGGGGAACCACCTCATCCCACTCAGAGCACAGTTCACCCTTGTTCATGCAGCAGATTTCCCCTAGAAATCCAGCCAGCACTGGGTAACGCACCAGTACGGCAGGAAGGCAGATGTCCCCTTCCTCCCTGGAGCAAGCGTGGAGTTCGGGACCCCTGGGGGGAGAGTGGAGGATTCGTGCCCGTCTTCCCAATGATTTCCCCTCTCCAGGGAGTTCATCAATGGCTCAGATGCCTTCTGCACCAGCATGGCCAGTGGGATGCTCTCAGCCATGCTGGAGAAGCTCCGCAGCGCTGCCAGCAGTGACGGGCAGCAGTGCCAGATCCTCCAGCAAGTCAGCGGCATCGAGGTGCGCGGGGGCCGGGCACGGGGACCCTTGGGGCTGTGTCGTGCTGGGATCGCGGCTGGCTGCTGAGGAAGATTTGATTATTTTATGCTTCGGATTCGCTGAAGGGCTGATGCCACGAGCCAGTCCCCCCTTAACACCGGTTTCAAGGCCAGCACCATCCGCGCGAGCAACGAGCTTCTGCAGACTCAGCGACTGGGGTTTTTGGGGCGCTTCAGGGAGACAAAAGGGGTTTGTCTGTGTCCCGGGGCTGACCCCCAGCTCACCACAGCGCTCGGGCTGTCACGGCCGCAGTCGTGGTTCCCCTCGGCTCCCCGCCCCCGCTGCCCCCAGGCTTTCCAGCTTCCCCTCGCTGCCGCAGCTCCGCAGCCCCTTCGGTGACCGGCAGCCCCCAGGGAGCTGCCGGCCGTGGCCACATCCTCCTGGGCCCCGTGCTGGACCCTGACCCCATGGGGGGAGCCTCCCAAGCGCATTGCCCCCCCCCGGGGCTCTGCTCGCCCCCAGCTGCCAGTACCCGGGCAGCCACCTCACCAGATGTTCCCCATTTTCTGCTTGAGCATTTGATTTCTCCTCCTTCCGTGCCGTGTGTTGTGGTGCGTTTCCTCCTGCCCTGTGTGCATGTGTGTGCTGGGTTTCTTTTTCTGAGCTGTTTCTCTTTATCGAGGTCAGTTTGAATTGCTCTCTGTCTCTCTTCCACCCTCTGTGATTGCAGATTTAACCCCTGTACTGTCTATCCTGCCAGCAAAGCTCTTAGTGTAAGGGCTGAGTGGTGCTCGCTCCCAGAGCCCTGTTCTAGTTGAAAGCCCTGCTTTTTTGGTAACAGACATTTATAATATCCAACATTTGGGAAGGGGTCAGCTTTAGTCATAACTTCTGGGGAACAGGGTAACTTTCCAAAATAAGACTGTTGCTTGCTTTTTGAAATTGTTGTAGGAAAACGTGCAGATGTTTCAGCTTAGCTTTTTTTATTTAAAACACTCAAGAAGAGCCACCCTCCCATGTTCTCTCCTCCCACCATCCCTCATCCCGTAACAGCAACCCTCATTTCTCCCGAGCTCCCTGCCACTTGTGAGCCCGGCCAGGAGGCAGGGGGGAAGCACTGGCTGCTGGTGCTGCCGCGCAGGCGGTGGAAGCTGGCTGCTCTCCCACGAGATGGGAAAATGCAGGGCCAGGGAAGCGCCTGAGGGGAGCGGGGTGGGAGACCAAACCTGGGCTTTTTGTCCCCTGAAACCCAGGGCTGGCCAGGTTTGCCCTGGCAGAGCCCCCGTGGGCTGCCAGTGCTGTGTCAGGACGCGGGGTGGGAGCAGGGGGTCCGGGGGGTCGGTCGCGGAGCTTCCTCCCAGCCGGCACGGGAAGCCACGGGCACGCCATCCAGCCGCTCGCCTTCGCGCTCTGCTGCTGTTTTGGGAAGTAGCTAATTTGGGAAATGCACAAAGGCCGGAGGAGCTGGCGTGGGGCGCCGGGAGCTGGAGCCAGCAGGGAAATTCCTCTCCCTGTTTTTGGTGGAAAGCGTTGATCCAGCCGGGTCAGGAGAGTTGAGAGAATCTTCACCAGGTGTCAGGCTGGCGGGTCTCAAGGAGATGCTTGCAAAAATAGAAGATTTGCTTTGGTTTGATTTTATTTTTTTTTTTTTAATTTGAAGCTGATTCATATTTTTTGTTTTACGCGCAGTTTAAAGTGGGTTTAAGGCTGGAAATTAGCTCTGTCAGAACAGCACTGAGTTGTGGTCTGTCCCGCGCTTCGGATCGTGAAACCCCAGAGTGTGACTTAGCACCGCTCGCTGTGGGAAGGGGCACTGACACGCATGAAGGGGGTGGGTGGGGGCCGGGACTGGGGCGCGTGTGCTGCCCTGCTGACGCCTTGGGCTTGCCCCCCTGCAGAACGCTTACCGGCGGGACCCGCTGCGGCTGGTGGCCGTCCTGAAAGCGATCCTGGAGGGTGAGAAGGCCGCCGTGCTCAAGAGGGTGCGTGGTCCCTGTCCCCCTTCCTGGGGTGCCCCGGGGCACGGGGCCAGCTCCGGGCCCCCCGCTCACCCCCCTCTGCTCTGCCACAGGACCGTCACCTGCCCCTCAGCTTCCACCGGCGGCAGGAGGAGCTGAAGTTCAGCCTGGGGCTGCAGCGGCTGCAGCACCGCGTCCGCGAGATCCAGGCGCTGCGGGACAACCCTGCGGGTGAGGGGATGGGGTGGGACGGGTCCCTGCTCGGTGTGGGTCCGCCGTGGGGCGCTGCCAAGGCGGCGTGCCCACCCCGGGGTGCTGGGCAGTGCAGTGCAGACACCAGCTCCCAGCACTGACAGGGCCACCCCCATCCTTCCCCAGCAGCCTCTCGGCAGCTGAACGTGCAGGACCTGCAGCTGAAGGCAACAGAAACGAAACCCCCGGAGAGCGTGAGTGGGGGTCTGGGGCACCGGGGGGGAAAGCCGGCAGCCCTACCCACCGGGGAAGGTGCAATCCAGCTCTGGGGCAGGGAGACAGAGCAGAGCTGAGGGTTTTGGTGCCCAGGGGGGGATGGTGTGAGGCTGCGGGTCTCTGCCAGGGTGACGGTGCAGTGCAGAGCCCCGTGGCCGGTGCTGCCCCACAGGAGCTGCCCACCCTGATCCTGGAGGCTGTGAAAGAGCTGGAGGTGGCCAAGCAGCAGGTACTGAAGAGGATCCAAATCTGGAAGAGGCAGCAGCAGCTGGCAGGGAACGGGGCCCTCTTTGAGGAGAACCTAGCTCCGCTGCAGAAGAGGTGAGGTGGCACGGGGCAGAGGTGGGGAACCCAGAGCAACCCTCCTGCTCCCTCCACTCCCCTGGGAGCCCGAGGGGCTGTGGGAGAGTGGTGGTCCAGCTCTGCGTTGGCTGAGGGTGCCCCTTTCCCCACGGTTCCCCCGGAAGGTGCGAGAGCCTGGTCGAGGTTTACTTCCAGCTGCACCAGCAGGTGATGGCGGCGAGCGCAGAGCTGGGGGCTGAGCTGCTGCCCCGGCTCCTGGAGCGGTTCAACGAGGTGTTATCCAGCCTGGTCAAGAGGTAACGGGCCGGGGGGGGGGTCATTGGTGGCAGAGGGGCAAGGTGGGTCTGCAGAGGTCGGCGGCAGAGCTGGCAGGGGTGTTGTGCCGGGCACCATTGTCTCCCCCCCTGTCCCCCAGCTCCTTCCTGGTGGAGAAGCAGCCCCCACAGGTGCTGAAGACCCAGACCAAGTTCCAGGCGAGTGCGCGGTTCCTGCTGGGCCCCCAGCTGCTGAAGGCATCGGCCAAGCCCTACATGGTGCGGGCCGACATGGTGACCGAGAAGCAGGCGCGGGAGCTGGCGCTCAGCGCCTACAGCAACGCCCTCAGGTGAGCGGCCGGCCGGCGCGGGGGCGAGGGGGCCGCCGCACCCCCGTGCCTCCCCTGACCGCCTCCTCTGCCTAGCGAGAGCACGGGGGAGATCATGCATAACGTGGTGGCCCTGGAGACCAACCCTACCAGCGGGACCTGCTGTGCCAACTTCAAGAACGTGGTGAGTTCCACCAGCGAGGGGCTGTACGGGGGCCACGGGACAGACTGGGGGGTGCTTGGAAGCCCTGGCGGAGGGCTGTCTGTGGGGTGGGCTGGAGGCCCCGAGGCCAGTGCTTGCCCTGGGGTGATGCTCAGCTCTCCCCTCCTTAGCTGCTGAAGAAGATCAAGCGCTGCGAGCGGAAGGGGTCCGAGTCGGTGACGGAGGAGAAGTGTGCCGTCTTGTTCAGCACCACCGTGGCCCTGACCCCCAGCAATCTCTCCGTCCACCTCCAGGTACCGGCCCCTCTCCCGCAGGACAGGGCTGGGAAGTGCTGAGCCTTCCCCGCGGGACACCCGGGCCCTATCCCGAGACGGTCCCAGGGCAGCCAGCCCCACTTCATTCGGGGTGGCCTTGGGGCTGAGAGGGGGCCGCTCTCTGCCCCCAGGTCCTGTCTCTGCCCATCGTGGTCATTGTCCACGGGAACCAGGACAATAACGCCAAAGCAACCGTGCTGTGGGATAACGCCTTCTCCGAGATTGTGAGTGCCACGAGCCGGGGGCAGGGGCTGCAGGGTGAGGAAAGGAGATGCTGGGATGCCAGGGTTGGTCTGGCTCTGGGATGGGAACCTCCGGGGCAGGCAGGAGCAGGAAACCCAGCACACGGGTGGGAAGCGGCAGGCTGGGACGGGGCAGCGGGTGAGCCGCTGTCCTGATGCCGCCCGGCCCTGCCACAGGACCGGGTGCCCTTCGTGGTGGCCGAGAGGGTGCCCTGGGAGAAGATGTGCGATACGCTGAACCTGAAGTTCATGGCAGAGGTGCAGACCACCAAGGGGCTTCTCAAGGAGCATTACTTCTTCCTGGCCCAGAAGATCTTTAATGACCACAGTGCCAGCCTCGAGGACTTCCAGAGCCGCAGCGTCTCCTGGGCCCAGTTCAACAAGGTTACTGGGAGGGCTGCCCAGGGTGGGCAGGGACCTGTATGGCCCTGGGGAGCCTCACACCCTCCCTCTGCCCCAGGAGATCCTGCCTGGTCGGGGATTCACCTTCTGGCAGTGGTTTGATGGAGTCCTGGACCTCACCAAGAGGTGCCTCAAAAGTTACTGGTCAGACAGGTGGGTGCCCAGGGACCAAGCGGGTTTTCGTGATTGCTCCAGGGCCAGCCCTGGGGAGTCCTGGTCCCGGCCCTGGCCCTGGCCCTGGCCCATTCTCCATCTGTCCATCCCTCCAGGCTCATCATCGGCTTCATCAGCAAGCAGTACGTCTGCAAGCTCCTGAGCACGGAGCCAGATGGGACCTTCCTGCTCCGCTTCAGCGACTCGGAGATCGGGGGTGTCACCATCGCTCACGTCATCCGGGGCAAGGACGGTGAGATGGGGGGGACAGCAGCTGCTGTCAGTGCTGCGAAGGGGAGGTCTCACCGTGGCCTGGGGACGTTGGGCGTTACGGGGTCCGAGCGATGGAGCCCCGTGCCGTGTCTCCCCACAGGGTCCAGCCAGGTGGAGAACATCCAGCCCTTCTCTGCCAAGGACCTGTCCATCCGGTCCCTCGGCGACCGCATCCGCGACCTGGGGCAGCTCCGCAACCTCTACCCCAACACCCCCAAGGACCAGGCGTTCGGGAGTCACTACAACAGTGAGTGGGTGGGGGCAGAGACGGGCCCCGGGCTTCACATCTGCCCCCCCAGCAGTGCTCAGCCAGGAGGGTTTGGAGGGAAGAGGGGTTTGGGTCCCGCCCGGGTCCTGCTGGCAAAGAGGGCTGGCATGGCATGGCCCTGTGCTGGGGTGGTGGTTCATGGATGCTTCTCCTCTCCAAGCAGAAGAGCAGACAGGCAAGGACGGCCGGGGCTATGTCTCCACTGCCATCAAGATGACAGTGGAAAGCGAAAGGTGGGTGTGTGTGCGAGGCCGTGGCCGTGCTGGAGGCGTGTGCGCAGGCGCTGAGCGGGCCAGGGCTTGCACAGACGTCACCGGGCCGGCCCGCGCATCAGTGCTGGGCGGGGGGATTTCTGACAGGGCAAAATGGGGATGTGCTTGGGAGCGAGGAATCCCCCGTGGGTATCCCGAGCTGCAGTGGAGCATGTCTGTGAGCGCACCGCCCTCGGGCTTGCACATGTGCCTCTTCGGAGGCTGGACCTTGCGATGCACGAGTCCTGCCTGTGCTGATGGGGATGACGCACTTTTGCAGGGACCAGCAAGCTCAGAGGGCTGTGGGGGGCCCCCCCGAGGCCCCCCAGGCTCAGATGCTCAGCCTGCCTGTGCTGCAGCCCGAGCTGCACCCCGAGAGCCTGCGGTCAGTGCTCAGCCCCATCTGGTGAGTGCCCAGCTCCGTGCCCTGGGCAGAGGCAAACCCGCTCTGCCAGGCGCGTGTGCTGGGGTGGGATGGGGGCTGTGGTGCTGAACACCCTCGGATGCTAACCCCCCCGTGTCTGTGTTTGCAGCCCCCCTGGTCCCTTCTGCCCCCAGCCCCTCCCCACGGGCTACCCCACGGGGGAGAACATCAACATGATGGTCTCCGACAACCTCGGGTCCTCCTTCCCCAGGTAGGAGCGGTGCCGATTCAGGGCAAGGGGCAGGATGGGCCCCCCACTGCCCCCAGGCACGGCCAGGTGGTGTTTCCCCCACCCCTAAGTGTTCCTGCTCCCCACAGCACGTCGCCAGTGCTCTCGCCGTCCCTGGTCATGGACCCCACGTTGCCTCGCTGCCAAGACCTTGCCTTCAGGAACCCCTTGTAAGCCCTGGCACACGGCCGGAGAGGGGCACCCTGCCCTGACCCCCTTCTCCCGACTGCCCCACGGCCCTGGGGCAAGCAGACCTGGAGGGACCTTCCCCAGCTGACCAGTGCTCCCAGTGCTCTGCACTTACTGGTGCTCCCTACAAGGAAACCCACCCCAGCCCCCTAAACCAAGCACTTCCCCCCCTGTGCCTTGGGGCTGGTGAGCACCCTGGGGGCAAGGGCATACCCCATGGCCTGCAGCAGCCCCCTCCCCCCCGGTTCTTTGCCCCCCAGGCCCTTCATGCCCAACCAGTACATGACGGAGGCTTCGTCAGAGCCACAGGACGAGGAGATGCCCGAGCTGGCCCCGTTCACGTCGATGGTGGACCCACCTCTGCAAAGCTCCCCAAGGTGGTAAGCACGGGGGGTCAGCAGGGGGGCCGGGGGGGGCACAGCCCCGAGTCACCCCGACGCCTCTCTCCCCAGGATGGCACCCAGCATGGACCTACCACCCAGCTCGGACTTCGAGCAGTTCCTGCAGGAGGTGTCCCTGGAGGGCCCCGCGCTGTGCCCCCCCTTCACGCCCCCCTTGCAGCGCAGCGGGTACCCCAGCCCCAACCCCTCGTGCTGGGGGCTGGGGGAGTCTCGGTGGGATGACAGCGTCCGGCCAGGGCATGCGTGAGGAGGCTGCAGGGCTGTTGGGGGGGGGGGGGGGAACGACATCGGACTGCGCTCCCCCCCCCCCCCGGAGCCTTGTCTGGGTTCCTGGACTCAATATGATTTGTGCTGGGGTGGAAACTCTGGCAGGGAGGGGGGAATTCTTGGGGGGGGGGTGGGGAGGGGAAAGCACTTTGGGTAACACCCTGCCCCCCCCTCCTTGTGTATATGCTGCACTTCGGAGTACAGAGCTGCCGCCTGCCCCCCGCTGCTGCTGGGGTCCTGGGGGGGGGGGGGGGGAAGGGGGGGGGGCGAGGGGCCCCGACCTGCACAGGGGGTGTCCACAGCCGAGCGCAGTGCCCCCAGCCCACGCTGCCGGGCTCAGCCCCCGCGGGGGCCGCGATGAGTCAGCTGCGGGGGTGGGAGGCAGCAGCGGGAAACGCGCTGGGGTGGAGGTGCCAGCCCGGTGCGTGACGGGACCCCCCCCCCACCCGGGACCCCCAGCACGTGGGGGACACACGGACCCCTAACACACCCACAGTCAGCGCTTGCTTTGGGAGCTGCCCCCCACCCCCAGCCTGGAGTGGGGCTGCAGCAGGGAGAGGGAGCCTGGGCGCGTGGGGGCAGGAAGATAAGCCATAAAATAAAGTTTTATTCCAAAATAACAAAATAAATAATCTACTGTACACGTTACAAAGGAAGAGTCGCTAATGCTCTAAAAAGACACCACACAGTCCTAAGGGGGCGGGGGACCCCGGGGCTGGGCATGGCTCGCGGAAAGGGGGGTGGGAGGGAACCCCCCACACACACAAGGGGCCAAGGGGGGCAGCACCGCCCCAGTGCCCATCAAACACCGCCTGCTTCGTGCTGGGAGGGGGTGCACACGCGTGAGCCCCCCATGGCATGTGTGTGACACCCCGTGGCACAGGGACCATGCATGGCAGTGCACACAGGTAATTGGGGGGGGGTGTGGGGGGGTGTGCGAGCTGGGGGGGGGGGGGGGGTGCGGGTGTGCGTGCAGGGGGGATGCGCTGTTGCTGAGCTGTGGTTGCTGGGGGGGATGGGGTGAGTGGTGGGGGTTGTATTTACAGCTGAAACGCTGCACGCAGACAGCGGGGGGGGCTGGGGGGGGGGGCGTGGGGTGGGGGGTTGCAATGCGTGTGCACGGTGCGCTCGCACGTGCGCGCTGCGCGGGGGGGTGGGGGTGGGTGGGGCTGGCGGCTGGAGCGTGGGCGCTGCGTGGGTGCGCGCGGGGCCGCGGGGGCGGCAGCGCTGACGTGGGAGCACGCGGTGCCGCGCGTGTGCCGGCGGTCCCTGCACCGTGACGGGGCCCGGGTGGGGGGGGGGGTGTGGGGTGTGTGGAACGACACACACGCAGTTCGGCTGCCCGAAGCGGCCCGGGGGGGGTCGGTCAGCACGAGGGGTGACCCCACGGGTGGGGGGGGGGCGGGCGGGCAGGAGGGGCTGTACAAGGGGCTTGAGTCCATCGAGAGCTTCCCAGCCCTGGGGGGGCGGCGGGGACCCAGGGCCCGGCGGGGACGAGGGTATTGCTGCTGCGGGGGGGGGGGGGGGGGGGGGGGCGCATCCCGCCGCGGCTGAGGTAACCAGGGGGGGACGGGGCCCTGGGGGGGCTGTGGCCAAGCCCTCACCGGCTCCCCGCACCCAGAGCACCACCGCCGCGCCGCTGGCACCCGTCCCCCAGCACGTTATTGCTTCGTTAATTGGGGGGGGGGGGGGGGGGCTGCAGGGGCCTCACTGCCGGCTGGTCTCCTGCTCCACCTTGATGGTGCCGCGGGGGGGCTCCGGGGGGGCCGGAGGACCCCGTTCTGCCAGCCCATCCTCGAACTCTGTGGGGAGAGGGAGGAGATGGTTTCAGGGCACCGCTTCTGTGCGGAGAAGGAAGGCATCAGTGCAAGCCGGACACACACACACACCCCCCCCCGGCAAACACCCCCCCCCCCCCCCCGGGGCTCACCTGGTCCCGGGGGCTTCCCGGGCAGGCAGGGGCTGAGCCGCCCCACGCGTTCATGTGAGACCAGCCGGGCCAGGCGCAGCCCCTCGTCCATCAGCGTCTGCTGGAGGATGTGGCGACTCCAGAGACCGTGGGGGGGGAGGCCAAGGGGCACGTCGGGGGCTGCACCGGGCGGCGGCGTCAGCCGGGGACAGGCCCCCACCGCTGCGGAGAAAGGGGCAAGAGTCAGTGCTGAGGGGCTGGGGGGGCCCCATGGGGCGCCCCGGGAAGGGAAGGGGCCCCCACTCACCCTGCAAGTGACCGTCGAGGCTCTCCCCAGAGAGGCTGGCTGCGTCCTCCTCCAGGCTGGCTCGGTATGCGGCCCCGGGGGGGTCCGGCCCCCCCGGCAGAGGCAGCAGCTCAGGGCGGCTCTGCTCTCCTGCCTGCCAGGAACACGGGGGTGAGCGCAGGGCACCGTGGATGGGCCCTATCCTGCCGGGGGTCCCCGTGCCGCCCACCCCAGGGTGCCCACGGCTGCACACACAGCACCAGCCCCACACCGCCTGCCCGAGCCAGCGTGGGCATTCCCGGCGGGGGGGGGGGGGGGGGGAACACGCCACACCGTCCCACCCGCGCGTGGGCGAGCACCTGCCCACGCTCCCAGGTGTTGCACACCTGCACCCTCGCGCAGGAGGGTGCACTCCCGCCCCACGCGCGTACCCACCTCCTGCTTGAGCCGCTTGGCCACGGTGGCTCCGCTCTCCTCGGGATGTGCCCTGCGCGGCGGGGAGGGGTGGGGGGTGGGAAAGAGGGGGGCTGCGTCAGTCATGGGGGTGGCCGTGCAGCGGCCCCACGCTGGGCACGCTCGCCCGGCCTCCTGCCACGCTGCGGGCAGCGCCAGCCGCGGCGGCAGGCGTGGGCGGCCGCCCAGGCAGGGCGGTGCCGCGGGACGGCGCGGATCGGGGCTCTGGCGCAGATGGAGCCGGGGGTGGCAAAAGGAGGGGGGGGGGGGGGCGGGGGGAGCAGCTGGAGAGCAAAGGGAAAAGGCAGCCCGGCCACGGCACCCATTGGCAGGGGCTTCAGGGGAAGGGGGCAAGGGATGGGGCAGCCCCCCCCTCTCCCAGTGCCTGTCAGCCCCCCCTTCCCATCCTCCCCACCTCCGAGGTCAGGCAGAAAACAGCCCACGTCCTGGAATGGGGAACTTGGGGCTGCAGGGTCCCAATCCCCATCCAGAAGCAGTGGGTTGTGGTGCAGTTCCCGGGGGAGCAGGAGGGGTGACAGCCAGGCCCCCCATCTCCCCCCCAGCCTGCAAGGAGGGGGTTTGTGGGGTCTGGGCTCACCTGGCGACCTTGAGCGAGGACAGGTAGGTGCTCTCCCGTGCGACCTGCCGCGAGAGCGAGAAGAGCTCGACGCGCCGCAGCAGCAGCGAGTTGTCCCGCAGGCAGAACTGGGCGGCCGCCTCGTTGATGATGAGCTGGGGGCAGAGGCGACGCGTGAGCAGGGATGGGGGACGGCAGCGCCCACGGGACCCCACGGCAAAGGCGGTGTCTGCTCTGGGCGGGCAGATGCCGCCTGGGTGGGAACAGACCCCAGCTCCCACCCCATCCTCCTCCCCCAGGCCAGTGCCTGTCCCCCCTCTTCCACCCCCCGGAGCCACCACAGCCCCCGCGTCCCCGGGACCTTCGAGCGCGGACCCTGCCACGCCGCCCACCTCGTGCAGGGTGAGCTGCTTGCCCTCACGGCGCCGGGCCTCGCCGCGGCCATAGATCGCGCTGTGCCGGCGGATCTCCTCCTCCTTGTGCCGGTCGCCATCCTCCAGCTGGAAGATGTGCCCCACGGCCTTGGCCAGCTTCTTGTTGAGCTTCATTAGCGCCCGCAGCTCGGCCTCACCGCCCCGGGGGTAGCTCTGCAGCAGCCGCTCCACGCTCTCTGCTACCGTCCGTGCCAGCTCCGGCTCCAGCGCCTCCGTGCCCACCGGCTGCTCGCCGCCGCTCCCGCCCGGGGAGAAGGGGGGACCCCCCGGCTCCTCATCCCCACCACCCTCCGACTCGGGGGTGCTCCTCCCCGGCCACGGTGGGGCTGCCGATGGCGACAGCTTCTCCCCTGCCTCCGTGGGGCTGCGGGCCGGGGGCGTCCCGGCACCGCCACCCCCCTTGCCCGCGGCCTCGCTGGGGCTGGCGTGCCCGTTGCTGAGCGCCTTGCGCCCGCCGGCCTCAGAGAGCTTGAAGAGTGGGATGCTGCTGACAGGGACGGCTGAGACGGGCTGGCTGAAGAGCCCCGGGTTGGAGGCCCACTCACGCAGGGCCTTCTGGAGGCGGCGGACGTGGAGGGGCTTGGTGGCCATGCCCACCAGCGCCATGATCTCCAGGAACTCCTCCTCGCCCGCCTCGCAGAGCTGCTGCACGTCGTCCCCCCCTTGCTGGATGAAGGTCTCGTAGTAGCCCAGCAGGTTGGCGCGCTGCAGCACCCGGTACAGCTGCAGCTCCCCCAGCGTGCGGGGCAGGGCCATGGCGAGCCTGCGGGACGGGCGCTGTCACCACGGGGGACCGACTGACCGGGGGACGGAGGGACGGACAGGCGGGAGAAGCTCCTTCCCCACCCTTTGGCCCGGGGTTACGGGGTTGGGGGGGGGGGGGATGGGGGAGTGCCCCGGGGGAATGGGGTGACATGGGGTGTTTTGGGGTCTCCAAAGCCCACGGGGCGCCCAGGCCCACCCATGCTCCCAGGGCTGAGATGGACCCTGTGGGCACAGCTCCCTCCGACACGGCACGGATGAGAGTGGGGCCCCCGTCCTTTCCCCCCTCCCCTCCCGGGGCCGTGCCCAGCCACCCCCCGCCCGGGGCCGCCCCAGCCCCATCCACGACGGTGTGGGACCAGTGATGTGCCGGTGTCCCGGCCCCGCCGGCGCCATCCGCCGCCGGGTTCCCCGCCCTGCTCGGTACCCCCCCGCTACCCCGGACCCATCCGGTGCCCCGGACCCTCCCGCCGCGCCCCCCCGGTCGCTCACCGCCGGTTGGAGCCGCCTCCGACCGCTACGCCCGCCCCGTGCGCGGCCGCCGTGCGCCCCGGAAGGGGGGGGGGACACACACACGGGACGGCGGAGGCTCCGGGAACGGCGACTCCGCGACGGGCCGGTCGCTGGGGCCGGGGGTCCCGGGGCTCGGGGGTCCCGCGGCCGGGCCGGTCGCGCTCGCTCCGCCGCGCCGCGCCGCTTCTGCGCGCCGCCCACACGGGCGGTACCGTGAAATAGCAGCGGCCCCGGCTGCGCCGCGGCGTGGGAGGCCCCGGGGGCGGATCCCGCGGCTGCCGCCCCCGCCGAGCGCAGCGCGGGCGGCCGCGGCGGGAGGGGGGGGGGGGGGGGGTGCAGCGGGCGGGGGCGGCGGCACCGGCCCCCCCCCCCGGGCGGGAGCGGCACCGGGAGCTGGGGGGGGGGGGGGGGGGGGGGGAGAGCGGGGACCGGCGCCCTGCACGGCGGCACCGGGGGTCCCGTAGCCTCTGCCGCGGGGGGCAGCGCGGAACCGGGCCGGTGTCCCGGACGGGGGACTGGGGCGGACACGCGAGGCACTGGGGGCCCGTGGGGGGGAGGCAGGACACCACATACACACACACACACCCCGCCCCGGAGACGGAGGGGACACGGGTCGGGGGGGGGTCCCGCCGCCAGCGACGCCCCCGGCCCCAGGCTGGACCCACAGGGGCCGGTGCTGGCGGGGGCACCCAGCACCCCGGGCCGTGCCCGCGGGACCCTCGCGGTCCCCAGAGGGAGTAGCCCCCTCCCCCGTCCCCAACCCCCGCCGGGGTCCCGCCGACTGCGCTGACAGCATCTCCGGTCCCTGTAGCAACCCGGCAAGGCACGGCGATGCTCCCGCTGTCCCCATTACCCCGCTCTGTCTCGGGATCCCCCGCCCACCCCCCCACCCCCCCCGGTGCCGGCGTGCCCGAGCCTCCTGCGGAGAGCTGGCACTTTGTGCCTCAACCCTCCCAGCCACCGGCAGACATAGGCTGCTGTCGATAGGCTTCAGGGTGAACACCGCCACGGCGCAGGCTTTGCCCCAGAGCAGCGAGATGGGGAGCGAAGGGAGAAGGTTCTCGGGTGGGGGAGACGCTGAAGCCCCCCCCGCCCTCAGCGGGAGCCCCACCAGCAGCACCTCGGGCCCCGCGGGAGGGTCACGGCCCCCACCCCGTCTCCGGCCCTGCGTGGCTTGGCGCTATTTATACCGCGGCTGGCGCGGCTGGGCGCCTGGCGTGGGTCCAGCCGCCCCCGCGCGATCCGGCCCGAGGGGGGCCGCGGCGGGACGCGGGGCACGCCCCCGAGGCTGGCGTGGGGTAGCCGGAGCTCCCCCACGGGCACAGTCCCCGACGCGGGGGGTCGCACCCCAGCCCTCCCTGCTCCCCCTCCGGCCGGCCGCCCCCCCCCCCCCTCCCACGCCCCCCCGCGACCAGGCGTCCGGCGCGGCGGGGCCGTTCCCAGGCCCGGCGCTGCCCCCGGCTGACGCACATCCTCCGCCCACGGCCCCGCCGCTTCCCGGCTCCACCGCCCACGACCCGAGGGGGGGGGCGGGGGGGGCCGCCCGATCCACCTCCCGCCCACGGGCGGTCGGCGCACCCGGCGCCCGCCGCCCCACGGTGACAGACCCACGCGGCGGGGGGCACCCCCCCCCCCCCCCTTCCCGGGGCCGGGGGAGCCCCGCACCTCCCCGCTGCCCCCCCGCGCCGGGAGCCCGGGCGTCATGTGGGGGACCGGCGCGGACGGACCCCCCCCCCCGACCCCGCGATGAGCCGAGCCTTCGCCCGTGGGATGCAAGTCCCCACGCTGCCGGGGCCGCCCCAGCCCCACGGGACCACCCGCTCGCCCCGGGCGGGGCTCGGACCCACGCCCGGCCGCGGCACCACGGGCCTGCGGGGACAGGGGCTGCGCGATCCCCGAGACCGAGGCGGCCGTGGGGGGGGCTGAGGGGCGGGACTTGCCTCTGCCCCATGCGTGACCCCCTCACAAAAACAACGCGAGACCGCATTTTGATAAGCGGACGCAACTGTCAATCACGCGGGATCCGAGAGAGGGCGGGCCGGGTGGAGCCTGGGCTCTGATAGGCTGAGAGGCGTGCCTGTCAGAGTCGTTACTAAGGCGGGGCTCGCGGTTGCACGGGCTGGGCGTGCCTCTGGATTGAATGGCGCTCGAGTTGGTCACTGTGGTAACCGAGAGCCGGACCGTGGCTGGTTCCTGCCCGGCCTACGCTGATAGGCTTCGGGCACCGTCAGTCAGCGCGACGGGCGGTGGCGTTGCGCGTGTGGGGCAAAATGTGGCTTCTGATAGGTCGGTTCAGCCGCCACTCGACAGTGACGCCAGGTGAGCTCTCGCTCTCATTGGCTGCCGCTCTGCACCTCGGCGGCCGTTGCCAGGAGAGAGGCGGTGGCGGCGGAAGCGGAAGTCGGCGGCGAGGCCGCGGCGGGAGGGATGAAACCGGCGGCAGGGCCGCGGTGGCGGCCGCTGGGCGCGCTGGTGCTGCTGCTGCTGCTGCCACCGGCGCTGCGGGGGGGTCCAGGTGTGCGGGTCGCGGCGGGAGCGCAGCCCGGGCGGGGGGAGCCGGCCGGGGCCCTGTGTGGGGCTCGGAAGCCCCCCTCGCCTCGGGGCCGAGCTCAGGCACGACGTGTGCTCGCGTTGCGGTTTCCCCGCCGTGGGGGGGGGGGGCTCTGGAACGGGGAGCCGAGCTGGAGAAGAGAGCAGGGGTGGGTTTGCATTGTTCCTGACGGCCCCAGGGGCGGGGTTATCCCGGGAGAGATCCTGACAGCGCATTCCGAGGAAAAGAGAGGAAGGGCTTTAATCTTTACTCGCCCAGAGCTCTAGGAAAGGGGAGCAACGGGAACAGGGGCCTTGTGTTTGCTCTGCGTTGCTGACCCCCTCTGCTCCGTGCTGCACAGATGCCAGGGAGTCGGTCATCCCGCTCCACGAGGGCCACGTGTACCATTACGCAGCTTCTCACCGCTTCTGCTACACCAACACACGTATCCCGCAGTGGCACGACATATGGACGAGGATGCAGGTGAGAGGGGAAGGCAGGTCCCCCCGGGTTGTGGTTGGGCCGAGCTCCTCCAGCAGCTGCGGCCGTGCCCCCCCTTTGCTTCCCTCCCCTGCCCAGATCCGGGTCAACAGCAGCCGGATGATCCGAGTCACCCAGGTGGACAGTGAGGAGGAGCTGGAGGAGTTCGGCGTGTGGAATGTCGTTTTCTCCTTCCTGAAGGAGAAGCTAAACGACACCAGCATCGACGTGGATCTCTACAGCAACAAAACCTGCCTGAAGGTCGAGCTGCTGGAAGCCGGCACCACCTACTGCGTTGTCCTCTTCCGACGTACGTCTCCTCTGTGGTAGGGGTGGGTCTGGCTGTGCCAGCACTCCTGAGGGGATGACAAGGATGTGGACAGGCGAGCTCATGGTCTGAGGGCCAACAGGGCTGGTCCATCTTTGGGAGGGAAAATGGGCCTGCAGAGGGATGCATGTTTCATCCACAGAATATAAAATGGAGGAATTTAGGGGACTTGTCAGAGCTTCACCTGGGATGCTGTCGCTTCCCTCTCCTTGTAACTGTGTCATGAACTGAGCTCGACCCAGAGGGCACCGTGCCAGGGTTCCTCTCAACCTGGGCTCATTCTCTTTCCAGGCTTCGACCCTAAGCTGTTCCTGGTTTTCTTCCTGGGCCTGCTGTTGTTCTTCTGTGGGGACATGCTGAGCAGGTGAGTCACCTCCTTTCCCCCTGCTGTGAGCTGGGAATGGGGAAGGTTGAGTGGACAGTGCCTGGTTGGCTCTGCATACTCTCAGGGGGTTGCTCCCAGCGGGTGTGTCTGTGCACAGGCATCCCTGAGCTGTAAAACACCTTGTGCACATGTATGATCTCTGTAGGAGCCAACTCTTCTACTACTCAGCTGGGATTAGTTTTGGCTTGCTGGCCTCGCTTCTTATCCTCGTCTACATGATGTCCAAGGTCATGCCCAAGGTGAGTGTCAGGCTGTCTGGGAGCGAGACACCTTGCAGCAGTAGCCCTTTCTACACCTGTACAGTTGCTCTGGTGAGAGTGCTGGAGTAGCTGACCTTGGGGTGCTGGGTTGTGCGTCTGTCTTTGCATGGAGCAAGGCTCAGCAGCTGGGGGGAGGTAGCCATGGCTGCCCGCTGCCCCACTGCATGTCTTGAATTTTCCTTTTCCTCTCTTAGAAAAGTCCTGTCTACTTCCTGCTGGTAGGAGGCTGGTCCTTTTCCCTGTACTTGCTTCAGCTGATCTTCAAGAACCTACGGGAGATCTGCAAGTCCTACTGGCAGTACCTCCTAGGTAGGTATGAGCCCTTCTGACTCAACAGTTCACCAGTCTGCATATCTCCTACTGGAGCTGCAACGTGCTGGTGAAAATTGGTGAGGCTTCCTTCTCTCCTTGTTGCTGGAGACGCTGCCCTTGTGCTCCTGAGAGAGGTGGGCTCTGGCACCGAGTTCAGCTGCAGCCCTGGCAGATGCTGCTCAGCCAGGCTGAGCTCGCTGGTTCCTGCCTGCCCGACCCCTCTGCTCTCCTGCAGGTTACCTGCTGCTCGTGGGCTTTGTGAGCTTCGGCGTGTGCTACAGGTACGGCCCGCTGGAGAACGAGCGCAGCATCAACCTCCTTTCCTGGGCCCTGCAGCTCCTGGGCCTGTTGCTGATGTACTCGGGCGTCCAGATCCATCCCATCGCCTTGGCCTTGGTGATCATCGCCATCTGCACCAAGAACCTGGACTACCCCATGCAGTGGGCCTTCGCTGCCTACAGGTGAGGACTGTGAGCTCCTCGGCTTGCTCCCAATTCCCAGCCTGGATGAGCTACTAGGAGCCTGTGTTGCAGAACCAGGGTGTTTTCGCTGGGGCTTGGGGCTGGGGTGGGTATACCGGAGGGGTTGTGTCCTGTTTTCCCTGCGGTTTGTGCAGGAGAGTGCCCTGCTCCTCCTCACGGCTGGGAGCCTCCCTCGGAGGAAGGAGCAGTGTCTGGAGGGACGTGTTCCGCTCCTCCAGCGCCAGCTCTGACTCGGCTGCGCTGGGGTCCTGCCCCGGCTGGGTGAGCAGTAACTGGTGCTGCTCTGCTGACAGGAGAGTGCAGAGTGCCAGGCTTGGTCCAAGCCATCCTTGCCTGCTGACAGAGGAGGAGTACCGGATCCAGGGCGAGGTGGAGACACGCAAGGCCCTCGAGGAACTTCGGAACTACTGCAGAAGCCCAGATTTCTCTGCCTGGACTGCGGTTTCCCGCATCCAGTCTCCCAAGAGGTAATGTCCCCTGGCAGTGCGCTCAGGGTGGCTGACCTGCATCTCCATGTGCTTCTGAAAGCCTGCGGTTGCTCTGTGCTCTCACTTATGGCTTTAGAGATAGGGAGACGGTGACACAGAAGGTCTGTGGTGTGTGGAAGCAGGGCGTGCCGGGAGGAAGGACAGATAACGCCCTGTCCCAACACCAAAGCTCTTCACCCCAGCTCCTTGTGTGCCAGGGCCTTGCAGGAGGCTGCCAAGCCTGCATGCACAACACGCTTCTCTGCGGCTTCTTCCCAGGTTTGCTGACTTTGTGGGTGGTGCCTGTCACGTCACCCCCAACGAGGTCTCTGTCCATGAGCGGGAGTACAGCCTGGGCAGCATCTTCCTTGAGGATGAGCTCTCTGACGAGGAGGAGGATGTCTCTGACAAGAATCACACAAGTTACTCCCTGACCCACAACCACCTGGATGCCGATTGAGGTCAACTGCCCCAGGCCCATGGAGGTGAGGGGCAGAACTCCTGGTTCCCCACTGCCCTGATGCCTGCAGAACACAAAGCACGTCTGCTCCCAGCACCCCCGATCCCAGCCCGAGCTGGGCTGCAGTGAACACTGTACCAGAGGCTGGTGGGAGGACAAAGGGGGGGCAACACTCTCAGCCTCCCCAGGCAGCTCCTGCCAGGCTCAGCCGCAAAAGCTTTTGTCAGCACAGCCCTGAGTGTTTCCAGGGGAGACACAGGGAGCTCATCTCGGCTGGGGACCGCAGGGCAGGCGAGGTCTGCGCTGCCGACAAGTTGTGGGATGCTGCTCCTGTCTGAAGGTGGACTGGAGCTACCCTGGCTTTTAGTGTGGGTGCTTGTGAGCTCCCAGTGCGTGAATTGTAGGGGCAGGGACCTCTTGCCCAGGCCTGGGCACTGCTCTGGCTCCCATGTGCACCCTGAGCCCCGTCCCTCAGCGTCGCCACTCTGCCAGCAGACGGGAGCCCCTTTTCCCCATCCTGCTGCCTCTGGGCTGCTGGGTACCCAGGCTCGGCCGGGAGCATCTCTGCCTGCTGGGGTAGGGATGAAGTGAAAACATCTGTCTTGCGTTCAGGTGCCTGTGAGAGTGATGTGTATGAGAGGAACTTTGGACCTGTCCCACCGCTACCTGCGTGCTCAGCATCTGCCTGCTGCCAGGCTGCTGTGGGGAGGGAGCAGGCAGCGGGTGACCTGCTGCTGCCCCTCCTGCTCTTACCAAAGATGCCCGAGGGCTCCGCTGGTTGGGCTGTGTCTCTGCCTCGGCCTAAATCCCGCGTGGATACCAGAAACCCCAGCGTCTGCCTGATGGAGATGTGGCTCTGCCGGCCCCTCCGCATGCATGTCACGGAGCTGGGGAGAAAGCAGCCTTGAAGTCTGTAGCCCCTCGCCCCACTCCCTCCCCCTCAGCGCTGTGTTGTGGCGGAGGCTGTGCTCAGCCTGCCTCTGCCAGGCAGTTCCTGAGCTGAGGATGAATGTGGACGTGCTTCCTCCTCCCTGCCTTGCTGGCAGCTAGGTGCTGGCTGCTCCCTGTCCCCTTGAAGCTGGTGCCCTCTGCCCTGAACCTGCTTCTCTGTGGGTCCCATCCCCACCGGGCTCCTCTCCCGGCTGCTGCGGGCAGGGGAGGGGGATGGCCCTGCCTGTTCTTGCTCCCTGCGCTGGGAGCAGGGCTCTGCTCCCTGGCAGCCAGCTCAGTGCCACTGGTCCTCGGCCTCGCAGAAGCACAAGGCTGGAGGGGACGCCCCGATCTATGCAACTTTCTAAGCAATAAAGCTGCCCCTCTGGGGCCTGGGCTCCCCCAGCCCATACCTTGTCTGTGCCACTGCTGGAGTTTTTGCCATTGGTTTCTTTCTGTCCCAGGTTTACTCCCCTGCCCTCGCTGCGCTTTCCCCCCCATGCTCTGGTGTGAGCAGCCTCTATTATTGCATCTCTCCATCCCCTCTATGTGGTTAAAGACTGACTATATTTTCAATAAAGATGTATTTTGTAGGTAATGAGCTTTGTTTGTCTATCCTGCAGTGACCCCAGGGCTCATTCTTGGCTTTGGCTCGTCTGCCTAGGGGAGCTCACTCTGCTGAGGATGCTGCTTGCGGGACAAAGAACAGGTTCCTGGTGTGGTGGGTTCCCTGTGGCAGCCCCTGAGCAAAGGCAGGACTGACCCTGGGCACAGGTCTCTCTCGCCTGTGCTGCAGGCTGGTGTCTTCTCCCCGGGAGCAGCCCTAGGCACTCCTGGCTCTGCCAGCCCCTGTACCTTGCCCTGGTTTCCCGCAACCCTGGGAGGAAGCTCCTTTTGTTTGCTTGGCTGCAAGTGACTTTCTCCGCTTGTTCCTGCTACGAGCAGCCGGGGCGGGGAGCAGAGCGCTGCCGCAGCCCAGCCAGGCTGGGACCCGGTGCAGGGCACGTTTAGGGGCTGGTGGGCAGCTTCCCAGCAGGTTGGTGTGCTTCGTGCCTCAGTTTCCCTGTCTGCGAGCAGGCGTGGTGCCCTGAGGGAGGTCCCTCCAGCCCTCCGCCCTCCGTGGGCCGGACTGGGCCAGCACCCAGCGTTGGCCTGCGCTGAGCCCCACCGGGCTCCCAGGCAGCCCCGGCTGAAGCCGCACCAGGAGTCGCTGCTCCGCGACTGGGAGGTGAGTTGTGGGACCCCCACCCTGCTCCCAACCACCAGCCTGAAGCACCCGAGCCCCCCACACCCTGGGGCTGGCCGGGGGCACCCTTTCCCCCCTATAGCCTCCACCCCACAGGGTGGGCAAACTCCAAGACCCGGCACTGTGGGGAAAACTCGAGTGAGTCTGGGGTTGCCCTGGAGCTGGGGGGGGAGGTTCTTGCTCTGGTTCCCACCTGTGGGTGCTTACCATGGGGTCCCACGGGGATACCGATGGTGTACCATGGGGGTCTCGGCGCCGGCGCCCTGCACAGGGGGAGGCTTTCAGGGAGGCCTGGGAGGCTCTGCCATCTTCTCCAGAGGCTGCTGCTGGTGGGGCAGCTCCTGATGGAGCCACGTCCGTCACCCCATTCACCCCATCCTTCCCCACCTCCTCGCTCGTGATCTTTCCCCGAGCACTGATAAGTGGGGCTGGGTTTACAGCCCTGCACCCGGGCTGTAAAGCGAGGGTGAAGGTCACCCCGAGGAACGTGGTTGCTCTGTAAGAGGCAGGTGAGGGATGAGTGGGGCGTGGGGGGAAAGCAGCACGGTCTCTCGTGGGAGCCCTTGGGTGCTGCTGGCTGCAGGGCTGTCCGGGGGGGGGGGGGGGGAGCTGGGTCCCCCTGGCCCTGAGCCTGTCCCCTCCCCGCCCTGGCTTCCCCCTGCCAGGAAGGAGGGAGGAAGCGGAGGCTGAATTTGTCCCTGCCCCAAGAATAGGATCCAGGTGTCCGTATTTCCTGGCTGGGCCTCCGCTTCCCCCGCAGCGGTGGGCAGGAGCCCAGCATCCTGCCTTCCCCTCCCAAGCGCCCATCCCCAGTATGGGGTCCTGGGTGCCAGGGTGCCCGAGGAAGGAGTCCTCTGTGCCATCGTGGATGTGTGACTGCTTTGTCCCCTGTCCCCAGGGGCTGCTAGCCCCAGCACGGTGCCTGGGGAGCTGGGCATGGCAGTGTCAGGGAGCAGCCAAAGTCCCAGCTGCATCTCACTGGCCAAGGGCCGCATCCTGCCCTGCACTGGGCTCAGCTGCTGCTCCAAGCCTTGCCACGTGTCTCAGTGGGTGGGTGTCCCCTGGGTGCCTCTAAGGGCAGGGGATAACCAGGGGTACGGGGGCTGCTGAGGACTTCGGGGGGTTGTTTTGGGGAAAGGGCTGTGTGTCCATGGCTGCAGCCCCGGTTCCGCTCTGCCCCAGCTGCCCCGGAGCCACCCGGCCATGGAAGCCACCAACTCGCTGCTGGATGCCGCGGCGGTCGGGGACCTGGTGCTGCTGGACCCGCTCACCGAGGAGTCGCTGCTCCGCACCCTGCAAGAACGCTTCCGCCGCGGCGACATCTACGTGGGCACCGGCCAGGGGCGGGGGGAGCTGGGGGGGCAGTGGGGCTGGGGTGGGGACCGGGATCTGGGCTCTGGGATGGGGGGCACCAGGATCTGCGCTGGGTCATCCCGGCCCCGCGCCCACGCCGTGCCGCCTACCCACAGACGTACATCGGGAACGTGGTGATCTCGGTGAACCCGTACCGGCCCCTGCCCATCTACACCCCCGAGAAGGTGCAGGAGTACCACAACTGCAACTTCTTCGCTGTGAAGCCCCACATGTGAGCACGGGGAGCCCGGCAGCCCCGCGGTGCCCTCAGTTCCCCCGGATCCTGCCACAGGCGAGCCTGAGGCTTCAGGGTCTGGGGGAGCCCACTCGGGGCAGCCCCACAGCCACAGCGGGGGCTCTTGGAATTCCCTGAAGCCCCCACACTGCTCCAGCCCCCTTCTAACCCCTCCTTGCCCCCAGCTACGCCATTGCCGACGATGCCTACCGCTCGCTGCGGGACCGGGACAGGGACCAGTGCATCCTCATCACTGGAGAAAGTGGGGCTGGCAAGACAGGTAGAGCCAAGGCTGCCGCTGGTCACTCTCTCAGGGCTGCGAGGGGCTCGTGGGACGGGTGGGCACAGCCTTGGCACCCATGGCCCATCGCTCACAGAGGCCAGCAAGCTGGTGATGTCCTACGTGGCGGCTGTGTGCAGCAAAGGGGAGGAGGTGGACAAGGTGAAGGAGCAGCTCCTGCAGTCCAACCCCGTGCTGGAGGGTAAGCACCCACACCTCCCACCCTGCGCCCGTCCCAGGGCTCGGCACGGCCCCCCCCGGACCATGCTGTAACCCCATCCTGCCCCTGCAGCCTTTGGGAACGCCAAGACCGTCCGCAATGACAACTCCTCCCGATTCGTGAGTGACCAGGGAGCCGGGGTGGTGGAGCCACATCCCGCGGGGAGCGGGGCCAGACCCCGATGGGGCTGGAGGCATGGCTGAGGACAGGGATGTGGACATGGGGAGCGGGGCTGCCACCCCCCATGGGGTCCCCCTGCCCTGACCCCAGCCCTGTCCACCAGGGCAAGTACATGGACGTGGAGTTCGACTTCAAGGGGGAGCCCCTGGGAGGGGTCATTAGCAACTGTGAGTACTGATCACCCATCGTGGGGGGGTCCCACCTCACGCACCCCAGTGACGCTGACCCCTGCCCTCAGACCTGCTGGAGAAATCCCGCATTGTCCGGCACGTGAAGGGCGAGAGGAACTTCCACATCTTCTACCAGCTCCTGGCCGGGGGCTCGGCGCAGCTGCTCCGTAGGTCCAGGCCCCCCAGCACAAGGGGCCAGGGGGGGTCCAGGAGCCTGGGGGGGGGCATGGCTGAGCCGCCTGCTCCCCCCCAGAGCAGCTGAAGCTCCGCCAGGACTGCCGGCACTACGGCTACCTGAACCGGGAGAGCTCCAGCCTGCCTGGCGTGGATGATGCAGCCAACTTCCGCGCCATGCAGGTACTGCCACTCTGGGAAGCCACAACAGCCCCCCCCCCGCCCCCCCCAAACACCCTGAGGCCGACCCTATCCCCCTGAGCTGCCCGTGCCCGTCCCCAGGATGCCATGAGGGTCATCGGCTTCTCGCCCGCTGAGGTGACGGCGCTGCTGGAGGTGACGGCCGTGGTGCTCAAGCTGGGCAACGTGCAGCTGAGCAGCAGCTACCAGGCCAGCGGGATGGAATCCTGCAGCATCGCCGAGCCGCAGGGTAGCGATGGGGACAGGCTCGGGGCGGGTGGGGGCCCCCCTGCCAGGTCCCCTGCTCAGCCCCAGCACCGCTGCCTCCCCGCACAGAGCTGCAGGAGATCTGCGAGCTGATCGGGCTGGACCCCGGCATGCTGGAGCGGGCGCTGAGCTCCCGCACAGTGAAGGCGCGGGACGAGACCGTGCTCACCACCCTCAGTGTCCCCCAGGTGAGTGGGGACCATCCCCTCCACCGGGGTGATGCCCAGCAGCCCCCCAGGAGCCAGCATGAGCCCCTCGCCCCTCTCCTCAGGGCTACTACGGCCGGGACGCGCTGGCCAAGAACATCTACAGCCGCCTCTTTGACTGGCTGGTGAACCGCATCAACACCAGCATCCAGGTGAGCGCCCTGCGTGACAGGCACTGGCCCCCCCCCATCCTGTGTGGGGCCCTGGTCCCCCACCCCACACCAGACCAGGACACAGCTCAGCACCCCACCATCTCCCCAGGTGAAGCCAGGCAAGCAGAGGAAGGTGATGGGCGTCCTGGACATCTATGGCTTCGAGATCTTCCAAGCAAGTGCAGAGCCCACCCGGCCCCATCCTGCTGCTGGGGGGGCCGGAGGCAGCGGGTGGGACATGGGCCAGTGCCAGGGGCTTGGGCACAACTTGCCATGCAGGACCCTTCTCTTTGCAGGACAACGGCTTTGAGCAGTTCATCATCAACTACTGCAACGAGAAGCTGCAGCAGATCTTCATCTTGATGACCCTCAAAGAGGAGCAGGAGGAATATGTCCGAGAGGTACCCCCAGACCGTTCTGGTCAACCTGGATGCGACCCCTCTGCCTGTGTCAGAGCAGAGCCCCCGAGGAGCCTTGGCCCCCCCGGGGACAGGGAAGTGCCGGAGACAGCTCCGCAGCATGTCCCTCCCTCGCCCCGCTCCCCGCCGCGAGCAGATTCAATAGCAGGAAGGCAGGGAGGGATTCAGGATCCCCGTCCCCGTGGCCGGACGTCCGGTTCCTGCCCCACATCAGCTGGGGGGTGTCCGTGGGGCAGGGTCCAGGCAGTCTGTGTGCCCCATGTCTGGGGATCTATGCATCTGACCCCCATCTGCTCCCAGGGCATCCAGTGGACCCCGGTGGAGTTTTTTGACAACAGCATCATCTGCAACTTGATCGAGAACGTGAGTTGCACCCCCCGTGCTGGCGTCCCAGCTGCCCTCATCACACCCAGCATGAGTTTGGGCTGAGCAGAGCCTGGAGCAGCCCCGGTTCAGTGGGGTCGGGGCCAGGGCTGGTTTGGGGTGACACTGTCCATCACGGCGCAGAGCAAGTGCGGGATCCTGGCCATGCTGGACGAGGAGTGCCTGCGGCCCGGCGTGGTCAACGAGGGCACCTTCCTCACCAAGCTGAACCAGCTCTTTGCCACCCACAAGCACTACGAGAGCAAGGAGACACAGAACGCCCGGCGTGTCATGGACACCAGCCTGCCACCGCAATGCTTCCGCATCCACCACTACGCTGGCAAGGTCTGCCGGCAGCCGCGGGCACCCACAGCCCCGGGCCCATTTCCCAGCTTTGCATGGGAGCTGCGGGGCTGGACTGGGAAGGGGGATGGAGGCACTGAACCGTAACCTGCTCTCTCCCTCCCCGAGCACGGCCCCCCGTGCACCCCACCGAGCACTGACCCCGCTCCTGCACCCAGGTGACCTACAACGTGACGGGCTTCATCGAGAAGAACAACGACCTGCTCTTCCGTGACCTCTCGCAGGCCATGTGGGCCGCCCGGCACGCGCTGCTGCGCTCCCTCTTCCCCGAGGGAGACCCCCAGAAGGTCTCCCTCAAGCTGCCCCCCACCGCCGGCTTCCAGTTCAAGGCCTCGGTGGCGACGCTGATGAAGAACCTCTACTCCAAGAACCCCAACTACATCAGGTACCAGCCCTGGGGGGAGCCCCGACCCCAGCCCTGGTGCCAGCGGGACACCACACACACCCCCCACCCTGCCCACCACTGCCCTCCCCAGGTGCATCAAACCCAACGAGACCAAAGCGGCGATGCTCTTCACGCCGGAGCTGGTGCTGGCGCAGGTCCGGTACCTGGGCCTGATGGAGAACGTGCGGGTGCGGCGGGCGGGCTACGCCTTCCGCCAGCTCTACGGCCCCTTCCTGGAGCGCTACAAGATGCTCAGCCGCCGGACCTGGCCCCGCTGGGCTGGCAGCGACAGGTACGGGGCTGGGCCGGGCCACGGGCGCGTCCGGTGGCCACGGGGCACTGACCGGCCTCATCTCCCGGCGCGGGGCAGGCAGGGTGCCGAGGTGCTGCTGGCAGAGCTGGCGTTCCCCGCCGAGGAGCTGGCATTCGGCCACACCAAGATCTTCATCCGCTCGCCACGCACCGTGAGTCCCTGGGGATGGGGGAGCGGGGGGCACCCTGCTACGGGGCAGCCGGGGGGAAGCAGGGCCTGACCCGGAGCGGGTGCCAGCCCCAAGGGTCCCCTCTCCCCGCTGGTGTCCCCGAGCCCATCCTGGGGGCTACTGGGTGATGCCCTGGCCGGGTCCCTGTCCCCACTCGGTGTCCCAGCGCTCGTCCTGGCTGTCCCCAGCTCTTTGACCTGGAGAGGCAGCGCCAGGAGCGGGTGTCCCAGCTTGCCACCCTCATCCAGAAGATATTTCGGGGCTGGCGGTGCCGGTCCCAGTACCAGCTGATGCGCAAGAGCCAGATCATCATCTCCGCCTGGTTCCGGGGCCACATGGTGAGGAACAGGGCGGGCCCTGGCCATGTTTTCTCTGCCCATCCCTCAACCCCTGTGCAGGGACCCCTGTCTCTCCCAAGCCTCCCGGCTTACCCCACCTCTCCCCACCGCAGCAAAAGAATAAGTACAAGCAGATGAAGCGATCGGCGCTGATCATCCAGGCGTACGCGCGGGGCTGGAAGGTGAGAGCTGGGCACCCCGGGGCCGGCAGGTCTCCCAGCGCGGGCAGCGGGGTGCAGGGTGCATGGCAGGGGGGACAGGGGTTTAGCGTGCCCCACGGTGGGACCAGACTCATCTCCTCTCCCTAACTTCTGTCCTTCTCTCCCGCCTGTCTCCTGCCTCTCTCCCTCTCGCTCCATATCCGTGTCGGTCTCCCCGTGCCTCGGGCTCCCCGGGCTCTCACCCCCTGCAGTCTCGCCGGCTCCTCCGGGAGCTGAAGCTGCAGCGTCACCGTCACGCAGCTGCCGCCACCATCGCTGCTTACTGGAGAGGGTACCAGGTAACAGGGCCAGCCCCGCCGCAGGGCCGCACACCCTGCCCGCTGCCTCTGTCCTGCTGTCCACACCGCTGCGTCCAGGGCTGTCTGTCTGTCTGCCCACCCTGGCTCCTTGCCCACCCTGTCGGGCTGGGGTACCTGTCCTCTCCTCCGGGGCCGAACGGGGACAGGGGGAGGGACACCGGTGTCCCGCGGGGGGCTGGCAGCAGGGAGGTGGCGCGGTCCCGCGTCCCCGCCGCTGACGGCCCGTCTCCGGCAGGTCCGCAGGGCGTACAGGAGGTATTTCCGCGCCGAGGCCAGCGCCCGCCTGGCCAACTTCATCTACCGGCGGCTGGTGAGCGGGGCCGGGGGGGGCAGTGGGGGCACGGCACCTTCCCAGCCCCCCACCCCTGGGGCGGGAGCGGGGACCCTCCTGACCCCCCACCGCGTTGCCACCCCCAGGTGCAGAAGTTCCTGGTGGGGCTGGGGAGGAACCTCCCGCCACTGTCGGTGACGGACCGGACCTGGCCCCCCGCGCCGTACAAGTTCCTGGCCAATGCCAACCAGGAGCTGAGGAGCATCTTCTACCACTGGAAGGTGGGAGCAGGGAGGGGAAAACGGGGGGCTCCGTTTGGGACTTTGCGTCCCTCTGCGCCAGCCCCAGCCAGGGGTCTTTGGCGGCACTGAATCGCCCCCCTCCCTCGGCAGTGCAAGAAATACCGGGAGCAGCTGCCGCCGCAGCGCAGGGCCCTGCTGCAGGCCAAGCTCTGCGCCAGCGAGCTCTTCAAGGACAAGAAGACGCTTTACCCCAAAAGGTGCCAGGGCTGGGGGCTGGCAGGAGGGGGGGGTGCACGGGGCAGCGCTGTCTGACAGCTTCTGTCCTCAGCCTGCAGCAGCCGTTCCGGGGCGAGTACCTGGGGCTGAAGCAGAACCCCAAGTACCATAAGCTCCATGCTGTGGCCAAGGGCAAGCTGGTGATGGCAGATACTGTGAGGAAGGTGAACAGAGCCAGCGGCAAGGTGAGACCCTCCCTGTCCCCGTCACCCCCTGCCCCGGGAGGGCGTACGGGGCCACGCTGACACCCCCCACCACCACCACCCACAGACAGTCCCACGCCTGCTGCTGCTCACCACTGAGCACTTGGTCCTGGCCGACCCCAAAGCCGCCCAGCCCAAGACCGTGCTCAGCCTCAGCGACATCCGCAGCGTCTCTGTCACCCGCTTCTCTGACGGTTTCCTGGCCCTGCACCTCAAGGAGGTACCTGGGGAGAGGGTCCCTGGGGGGTCGGGGGGTCCCCAGCAGGACTGACACCCCCCCCCCTCCCCACAGACCTCCACGGGGGGGGCCAAGGGAGACTTCTTGCTCGTCAGCGACCACCTCATCGAGCTCGTCACCCGCCTGCACCAGACATTGATGGCTGCCACGGCCCAGGCCCTGTCCCTGCACATCGCCGACCAGTATGGGCGGGGCAGGGGGGCGGGGCTACCAAGGGTGGGGCTGGCAGGGCAAGGCTTGTGGGGGTGGAGCTTGCAAGGGTGGGGTTCACAGGGTGGGGCATCAGCTGGAGGCAGCCAGGCAGCTCATTGGGCAGGAGGCGGGGCGGGGCTGGGCGTATCCCCACCCCACCCCCTGCCCTCACCTCCCCCCCCCAGGTTTTCCACCCGCTTCCAGAAGGGCAACGTGGCCGTCACCGTGGTGGAGTCGGACAAGGCGAGCAGCAACGTCCCCATCTGCAAGAAGCGGGGCAGCCACAAGATGGAGGTCCTGGTCCACTGAGGGGACCCCCACCCCCTGCCGGGACCCCCACCCACGCCCCGGCACCCCTGCCCACCCCCCTTGTGTCGCCCCCCCCACCCCACCAGGTCCTTCCACCACCCAGGAATTGCTGCAAACCCATTAAACAGATGCTGTGGTGTCAGTACCCAGGCGGTGTCGCGGCGGGTGCCCCCCGTTACAGGCGGGGCAGGGGGACCCGGGCATGCCAGCCCCCCAGGACACGGTGCCGCGGTGCTGGAGCAGGGTGGGGGCAGAGCCCAGCCCCGGGGATGGAGCCCCCCCGGCCCCCTGCCTTTCCTGCTGCCTGATTGCGGCTCGGCAGTGATTCGAAAGGCCCCAAATTGCGGCCACTTTTCCCATTAAGTGGGAAAGCAGCTCGCTCTGCTGCAGAGGCAATTTCTGGGTGGCCGCGGGTGGCTGGCACGTGAGGTCCTTGGCACCCGCCTGCCTGTACTGGCTGTCTCCGTCTCTCCCGGCCCAGGGCCCCCCCACTGTGCTCCCCCCGCCAGCTGCGCCCCTGCACCAGCAGCCCCTCCCCGGACCTGGCACCACGTCTCTGGCGCTGGAGCCACATTTGGGGACCAGGGGGACAGAGAGGAGCCACCGCACAGCCCCAGTGCCACCACTGCAGCCGAGGTCCTGCGGGACCCCCACCAGTCCTGCAGCCCCCAGGAGCTGGGGTCCCCGCACAGCTTCTATGGCAGCCCCCCCAGCCCCCGCCGCCTTTTCTCTCCTGCACTCATCAAGCTCTTGGAGAGGATTTTTTTTTTTTTTTTTTTTCCCTGTCCCCACACGTCACCTGCGTTACCCTCAGGAGCTGACACCTCCCCGTCACGTCAGCACCAGCACCAGCTCCCAGGTGGGCCCTGGAGCAGCGATGCGGTTTGTCGTGCATGGGGGGGGGGGGGGCATGTGCAGGCACGCGTGCCAGGGCACTTGGGCAGCGTGGGCACGTGGGGGGGGCACGTGTGTGTGTGTGCGCGTGGGGGGCACTTGACTGCGTGGACGTGCCCCAGCTCCAAGGGCTCCCCCCCTCTTTGCACCGTGGGCTGTGTCATGTCCCAGCACAGGGACCTTCCCGCCTGTGCGTGGGGAGGGGCGAAAGCCGTAAACAATCCCGCCGCAGCCCGGGGCACCGCAGCTCTTCGCGGCTGCGTCGCACTTGGCACCACACAAGTAGGTGTTATTAATTAATTAGGCCGTTCTCTGGCCAGGCTCCGATTTAATTAACGTCCCCAGCACTGCAGATGCTGCCCTGCCCCGGGCTGCGCTGCCACGTGAGCCGCCGCTGCCAGGCCGTGCTCCCGTGGGGCTGCCGCAGCCGCCGGCACGGCCGCCTGTTGCGCTGAAGTCGCTGGCTCTCACTTGTTGGCCCGTGTGTTCCCCCTTCCCCTCCGCTTCCCCCCGACTTTTCCTCCCCCATCTTCCATCTCTGCATACCCCAGATCCTGGCTGGGGCGGAGGTGCTGGGAATGGGGGGATTGGGATGCAGGATGAAGCCCAGATTCCGAGGAGGCCGAGTCGGGCTGGGGTCGGGGGGGCTGGTGCTGGTGGTGCTGGCCCTGTCTGGGTCATGGAGGGGGGGCCTGGGGAAAGGCAGCCCCATGTGGGGCTGGACCTGAGGCTGCCAGGGCCTCTGAGTCGGGAGCGCTCCCCATGGGCAGCACCGGGCTGGGCTGGGGGAGACGGGCAGGGTGTGTGATATAGAGCGTGTGTGGGCACACGTGTGCATGCAGTCGAGCTGTTTTGTGCGTGTGTGTGTGTGTGTGTGCAGATGACCGCGTGTGCACAGCGTGTGCATGGTGGGAGCCTGGCTGATCCCTGCTGTGGCGTGAGACCCCCCCCCCCAGCGCCCGGCTGCAGAGCGGCTGCGCCAGCGCAGCACTTGGGACCGCTCCCATCGTGTGTGTCCCCACATGTGTCGGCAGCTGTGTCGTGCTGTGCGTGTCCCCCCATGCCTGCAGCGCGAGGAGGGACCGGGGGCTGCGTGGGCACGGCGCCCGTGCGCCGGCCCCCTACCACGGGGTGCTGTGGCGCGGTGGGGAGCTGGCGTGCCTGCGTGGGCGCGCTTGTGTCGTGGTGTGACTCTGCGTGTGTAACGGCTGCCTGTCGGTGACACCGTGCCTGTGTGGGCGTGAAGCTGTGGGGTGGGGGTGCCGCCCCCCCCCCCCCCGGCCCCCATTGGCAGGTCTCCTCTCGCCCACCCACGCTCTGCCATGGGCAGAGCCCCTTATTTAACTCCGCACAGCAACCAGCACCCCAGTACTTCGCCTCCCAGCCGAGCCTGCACTGGGAGAGCCGTCGGTGCATCTCACCTCGCCGCATCTCCTGCTCCACAGCCGCCAGCATCAAGGGTCACTCTGCCCCCCCACTCCACACCAGGAGACCCCTGAGGGCTCAGCAGGTCTGTGCTCCCCCGGCCCTGGGGGTGGCCCAGGGTTCTTTGGGGGCTGCTGCATCCCATCCTCACCCAGCTCGGGCTGGGAGAAGGCAGAAGGGAGGAGGCGGAAGGTGGTGAAGGTGCTGGGGAGGGCATGGGCCGGGAGGTGAGAGGGGGTGAATGTGCCACTTGAATTTGGGGTAGGGCTCGGGGAGGGGGGGCTCTGCAAGCAAGTCGGGGTCTGGAATCTGGCTGTTGGCAAGCATGCGTGTGCCAGTGCATGTGCCAGGGGACACGTGTTTATGTGCCAGTGCATGTGTGTGTGTCAGGGGACATGCATGCACCAGTGCATGTGTTGGGGACACATGTGTGTGCCAGTGTGTGTGTGCCAGGGGACACATGGGCATGTGCCAGTACATGTGTTGGAGACACGCATGTATGTGCCAGTGCATGTGCCAGGAACATGTGTGTATGCCAGGGGACACATGTGTGTGCACAAACACGGATGTACGTGCAGGACAGTCCAAGCCGGTGCTTGTGGTCTCTGGATGCCCATGCTTGCTCTCATGTGTGTGTGCATGGTCTGGCACAAGTGCAGCCCCACGGGCACGAGTGGTAGCATGGGACCCCCGGGCCCACAGCGGAGCTGTGTCCCCCCTGCACCACCCCCCCCCCCCCGCACCCCTGTGACACAGCCCCCACAACGTGCCCCCCCCAGGACCCCTGTCAGGCAGCCCCTGGGCTGCAGCCCTCTCCCCAGGGTGCTGCCAGCCCGCAGCTTGAGAGAGGGGCAGGATTTACTTTGCCCCCCGCCCCTGCCACCACCCTGGGAAGAGGCGCGGTTCCTCCGGCTGCAAACACGGGCGGGGGTCCCGCCGCTCCCTCCCCCCCCCCCCCCCGCCCCTTGTCGCTGCTTTCCCTCCCCAGCGCTCCTCCCGGTCCCGGTCCCGTCCCGGGCCACCCCGCGGAGGGGCCGCTGGCTCGGGGCGGCCCCGGGGCCCCCCTGCTCCGCCGCTGACCGCCGCCCCCAGACCCCCCCGAGGATGAGGAGCCGCCCGGTGCTGGCAGCACTGCTCGTCCTGGCGCTGCCGCTCGCCCTCGCCCGCCGCCCCCCCGCCGCCGCCCCGCCGGGCCCCGCGCCCCCCGCACAGGTAGAGCCGTCGGGGCGCGGCCGGGGGCGGGGGGGAGCGGCGGGCAGCCCCGGGCCCCCCCCATCCCCCTCCCGCTCAGCCGTTCCGCCTCCCGCAGGGGATGCCCGTCCCGGAGCCGCTGCCCTGGAGAGCCCGTGGCAGCCCCGGGGCCGTGTACGCCGCGTTCCTGCAGCTGCTGCGGGAGGAGGACGCCGGTGAGCCCCGGGAGGGCGAAGGGGGTCGGCCCGTCCGGTTATCCACCCCCCCCCCGACCCCCCGCCGCTCACCCGCTTCGGTCTCTTCCAGGTCCCCCCGCGCTCTCGGCTCCGCAGAAGCGTAAGTCCCGCCCGGTCCCGGTCCCGGCCGCGCAGCCGGGCCCCGCGGCGCTGACGGCGGGTCTCTCCGCAGGGGACATGCACGACTTCTTCGTGGGGCTCATGGGGAAGCGGGAGGCGGGGCGGGGGAGCGGCAGCTCGTCCCCCCGGTGCTCCTCGGGGACCCCCGCGGCCGGCGGGGCCGGGCTGCGAGCGGCCTGAACCGCGGGCCGAGCCGGCGGGGCTGGACGGGGCGCGCCCCACGGACCCCACCCACGGGGGACGGCCGGGGCCGTGACTTGCAGCCCGGGGCGAGGCACCGGCACCGGCACCGGGCGCTGCGGCGGCTGTTACCGGCTGTGCCGCCGCCCCACGGACCACGGAGCCGTCGTGGGACCCGCGCCGCCGGGCTCAGCTCTTCCGACCCACGCACGCGTGTCCCTGCGCGCGCCCTACACCCGCACCTACAGCTGTGCGTGTCCGCACACGCGTGTACGCACACCCGTACCTGTACACACGCGTCCGTTTATGTACACCCATATACATCCACCCGTGCCCGTGCGGGACACACGCCCGGACCGTGTCTGTCTTGGCTGCGCCGTGCTGGGACCCCACGTGCTCGGCGCTGCACGCGCGGGACAGCCCACGGGGACGCGCCCACTGGGAGGGGTCCGGAAGGGTGGCGCGGCGAGGGCCCGTGTGCCTTTGGGCTACAACGGCCTGTCCCCGGCCCCCGTACATGAAAAGGTGCCCGTGTCTGTGTCCGTGTCCGTGTCCCCGCCCGTGCCCGTTCCCGTGTCTGTTCCCGTTCCCCCGCCTGATCCCGCTCCCGTGTCCGTGTCCCCTCCTGTGTCCATTCCCGTTCCCGTGTCCCCTCCCGTGTCCGTTCCTGTTCCCCCGCCCGGTCCCAGTCCCGTATCCGTATCCCCTCCCGTGTCCGTTCCCGTTCCCCCTCCCGTGTCCGTTCCCGTTCCCCTATCAGTGTCTGTGCCCGTTCCAGTGTCCGTGTCCGTTCCCGTTCCCATGTCCGTGTCCGTGTCCCCTCCCGTACCCCCGCCCGTTCCCGTTCCCGTGTCCGTTCCTGTTCCCGTACCCCCGCCCTCACCCCCTCCCGTGTCCGTTCCCGTATCAGTGTCTGTGCCCGTTCCAGTGTCCGTGTCCCCTCCCGTACCCCCGCCCGTTCCCGTGTCCGTTCCCGTTCCCGTACCCCCGCCCGTTCCCGTGTCCGTTCCCGTACCCCCGCCCGCACCCCCTCCCGTGTCCGTTCCCGTATCAGTGTTTGTGCCCGTTCCCGTGTCCGTGTCCCCTCCCGTGTCCGTTCCCGTTCCCCTATCAGTGTCTGTGCCCGTTCCAGTGTCCGTGTCCGTTCCCGTTCCCATCTCCGTGTCCGTGTCCCCTCCCGTACCCCCACCCGTTCCCGTTCCCGTACCCCCGCCCGCACCCCCTCCCGTGTCCGTTCCCGTATCAGTGTTTGTGCCCGTTCCCGTGTCCGTGCCCCCTCCCGTGTCCGTTCCCGTATCAGTGTTTGTGCCCGTTCCCGTGTCCGTGCCCCCTCCCGTGCCCGTTCCCCGTTCCCGCCCCCCCCCTCCCCGCCGCTCTCCTCCGGGCCGCGGGGGGCGCTGTGGCCCGGCGGCGCGCGCGGGCGGGCGGAAGGCGGCTCCGGCGGCGGCCGGGGCGGACGGAGGGCGGGTCGGCGCCTTTGTGTGAGCGCGGCCGGGATGGTGCGGGGCGCCGGCCGGGTAAGGGGCCCCGCCGCCCGCCGCCCGCCCCCGCGGGGCCCGCCGCGGAGCTGCGGGGGCTCCGCGCCGCCCCTCGCCGCGATGGGCTCCGCGCGGTGCCCCCCGGGGCCTCCCGCTGCCCCCCCCCCCGGGGCTCCCTCCTGCCCGCTCCCCCCCTCCCCCCCCCCCCCCCACCCCGTGGGTCCCCTTACCGCGTCGCCGTGGGCCCCTCGCCACCCCCTCCCGTGCCCCCCCCCCCTCCCCCCCCGAGCCCTGTGCTGTCCCGCGTGGCTCCTCCAGCCCGCGCGGGGGTCCCTGCCGCCCCCCCCCCCCCCCTCCCCGCCCCGCTGCTCCCTTTTCTCCCGGGGCAGCGCCGGGGGTCCCGGTCCCCCCGCGGGGACGGGAGACGCTCCTGTCGGCCTGCCTGCGGGCAGCAGGGCCTGTCCGCGCCCCCCCCGGGGCCTCCCCCGGGGCCTCCCCCTGCCCCCGGCTTTCCACTGCCCTCCGGGACCCCCCTTCCCTTCCCCGTCTCTCCCCCGTCCCGTCCCCAGGCCGACCCCCCCCCCCCCCCCCCCCCCCCGTGGGGGTCCCCACGTGGCAGGAATTGCCCACGTCCGGGGTGTTTCCTGGGCTGGTGAGCACTTCAGCCATCCTCATCCTCCCCGTCCCCCCCAGCTGTGAGTGGCGTTTCCCCCTGCCCATCCTTGGCTCCTTTTTGCCTTTCCCTGGAGCTGGGGCAGAAGGCAGCCCAGTCCCTTTCCATCTGCAAACTCCCACTCTCTCTGCTGGCTTCTGGGGTCGTTGCTCTCTGTCGCAGGGAGAAAAAGGCAGGGGATATGGGGTAGAGCCCCTGGGGTAAGTTCGTCCAGTCCTCGGGTGGCCTGAGAGCTGGCTGAGCACTTGTGAGTGGGACAGGGTGACAGAGGCAGTGGGACAAGCTGGAAGGACAAGCTCGGGTGGGAATTACGGGTGACGTGGGCCAAGTGTCTAGTGGCAGCCTGGGAATAATGCACAAACCGCCCAACTGAGAGCACTGAAAGGTGCTGCGAGTAGGTGTAGCAGAGGAGAAATCCCAGGGGAGGCAGAGAAGCTGGTGTGTAGGGAGACTCAGGAATGAGATCTCACCTGGAAACCAAAAGTTACCATGTGGGTACGGGAGTAATCTGAAGCAAAGGTATGAAGTGGTGGTGGCTGGAGAAGACCTGGAGGCGAAGCCGACCAGTGTGTAGAGCCTGAATTTCAGCCCTCCAGACAGGAGCGTCCTCCCTGGCCCGGGGAGAGGGGATGTCTGTGTAACAGGCACCGGTTGCGGCTCAGCTTCAGAGCTGAGTGGAGCTGCGAGGCAGAGGGACCTCTGTCCATGCTCAAATAGAAGCAGGAATTTCAGGCTGTTGCTGGCAGAGTAAATGACTTTTTATTTTGTCTGTTTGCACCTTTCCCTTTGCGCATCTTTACTTTCATTTCCCAAAGAGTCAGTCTTGGAAGTTTCAAGATAGGTTTTAGTCAACTTCCATCTAAGCAGCTATGCTGCTGCTTCTCTATTGCTTGTTGGGAAGGTGGAAAATCTGAGGTATGACTAGAATGATGTCTCTTTGGTTGTTAAAGTAGTATCACTTCTTGAATTTTCTTCTATCTAGAGCCCCTTGCCCTGTCAGTTTCTGGATGCCAAGCTGCTCCTGCTCGTGCAGCTGATGAATGTGTGAAGAAGCAGCTGACCAGGAGAGGGACTCTTAAGCAGCTGCTAAGATGGGCATGAGGATCAAGTTGCACAGCACCAATCACCCCAACAACCTGCTGAAGGAACTCAACAAGTGCAGGCTCTCTGAGACCATGTGCGACGTCACCATTTTGGTGGGCACCCGCTCCTTTGCTGCACATAAGGCTGTTCTGGCCTGCGCCGCGGGCTACTTCCAGAACCTCTTTCTGAACACGGGGCTGGATGCTGCTCGGACCTACGTAGTGGATTTCATCACGCCGGCCAACTTTGAGAAGATCCTCAGCTTTGTGTACACCTCGGAGCTCTTCACAGACCTAATCAACATGGGCGTCATTTATGAGGTGGCAGAGCGGCTGGGCATGGAAGATCTGCTGAAGGCCTGCCACTCAACCTTCCCTGACTTGGAGAGCTCAGCCATCACGAAGCAGCCCTCCCTGTCTGTGAGCGAAGGCCGGTCAGGTCCTCTGAGCAGCACCTCCTCGGAGCAGAGCCATTCTTTGGGTGAAATCCGGAGCGGCGGGGAACATTTTGGCCCTGAACGGAATTACATCTTGCACGGGGAAGTGGCAGGCAGCTACAAAGAGGACGACAGGAACACTGTGAGTGAAGCCAGCCAGACCCTTCCCCTGATGCACCCGCAGCAGCCTCCCAAGACGGAACAGGAATCATCGGATCAAGGGCAGTTCGCTCCTGCTGCGAGTGTGGCGACCCAGCCCAGCCTGGGCAGCGTGAACATCCTTGTTCAGACCACTACAACCTCCTGCCAGCAGTATAAGGTCCAGAGCAATGGTGACTACGGCAAGGGCGGCTTCTTTAGCGCTGATCCTTCCCTGGATGTCTCCACAGGGAGCAACTCCTGTCCCAGCAACAGTGACCACTCCAAAGAGCCAGGTTTTGGGCAGATGGATGAGCTTCAGCTGGAGGATTTGGGCGAGGACGAACTGCATTTCGAAGATGCCAGTGAGGAGCTGGGCCCATCAGAAGAAGTGATTGAGCTGAGTGACGACAGCGAAGAGGAGCTGGCCTTTGAGAACGACAGCCGCGATAGCAAGGCCATGCCCTGCCAGGTGTGCAAGAAGGTCCTGGAGCCCAACATCCAGCTGATCCGCCAACACGCGAGAGATCACGTTGATCTGCTCACCGGGAACTGCAAGGTCTGTGAAACCCACTTCCAGGACCGGAACTCCAGGGTCACTCATGTTTTGTCCCACATCGGCATCTTTCTCTTCTCCTGTGACATGTGCGAGACCAAGTTCTTCACCCAGTGGCAGCTGACCCTCCACCGGCGAGAAGGGGTCTTTGACAACAACATCATCATCCACCCCAGCGACCCGGTGCCAGCGAAGATCACTATGTTTGGGGGAGGGCCTGGCTCGGAGCTGGCGTGCGCTGCCTGCGGGAAGCCTTTGGCCAAAGATTTCCACACTGTCCGCAACCATATCCTGGACCACGTGAACTTGAAAAGCCAGACGTGCGGCGTCTGCGACCAGAGGCACCTCAGTCTCTGCAGCCTGATGTGGCACACCCTCTCTCACTTGGGGATCTCGGTTTTCTCCTGCTCTGTTTGTGCCAGCAGCTTTGTGGATCGGCACCTCCTGGAGAAGCACTTGGCCGTTCACCAGAATGTGGAGGAGGCTCTTTTCCGGTGCCACTTCTGTGGCCAGAGCTTCAAGCTGGAAGCGGCGTATCGTTACCACGTCAGCCAGCACAAGTGTGGGGGCAGCTTGGACATCCGACCCAGCTTTGGGGACCGTCTCCAGCAGCAGGGCCTGCAGAAGAGGAAGCTGCCGGAGGAGTTCCTGAGCGAAGACTTGGCGTTGCAAAACCAGCCAGGCAACAGCAAGTACAGCTGCAAGGTCTGCGGGAAGAGGTTTGCCCACACCAGCGAATTCAACTACCACCGGAGGATCCACACCGGAGAGAAGCCCTACCAGTGCAAGGTGTGCCACAAGTTCTTCCGCGGCCGCTCCACCATCAAGTGCCACCTGCGGACGCACTCGGGAGCCCTCATGTACCGCTGCACTGTGTGCGGGCATTACAGCTCCACGCTCAACCTCATGAGCAAGCACATAGGCGTGCACAAAGGCAGCCTCCCCCCGGACTTCACCATTGAACAGACTTTCATGTATATCATCCATTCCAAAGATGCGGAGAAAAACACGGACAGCTGATGGGGTGAGGCAGGGCAGGGCCAGCAAAGGAGCAAATGCTAATTACAGAAGCTGTGGAAAAAAAAGTCATTATTTTTATTTAACGGTCAGGCATCATGGATGGAATCCTGCTTTTCTATTTTTTAATTTTTTTTTTTGGCCTTGCTAGGGCTTTTTAGATTGGTGGCATTGTACAAATGAACAGCACGTAAGCTACATCACTGTTTCCAAGAAGTCTGTTGTGTTTACTTACCTCTGATCCTGTTAGAGGCCATCGAGCTCTGTATTTTTAGCATTTCTCCCTAGGTTTTGAATCTAGATTTTTTTTTTTTTTTTTTTTAACCTTTTAGCCCACTTGACTAGGCTAACCCTCAGTTTGAGCTTGTCCACAAACTGATGCTGCTAAGATTTTTCACACCTGACCTCAGTAGAGAGGGACAGAGCCAGAGCAGGATGGTGCTGGACTTGAAGAAAAGGAAAAAAAAGAAATACAGAAAAAAGGAAAAAAAGACTCATTCTGGGCATCACTGGGGTTCTGCTGCTATTGCAAGGAGATAAGCAAAGTCTGTGTCACAGAATCAGCCGTGAAGTCGTTGCTCCGTTGCAGGGCAGGCAAGCAAGCAGCGTGTGAGTGTGCACGTGCAAATGAGGAGGGATTGCTGTTGGTAAATGAGCGAAAAATGGGAGACTGTGGCTCGCAAGGGCAGTTCCGGGCAGTGCCGCTGGTCTCCAGGAGCCCTGCCCGAGCAGGGAGTGTGGCTGGCGATTTCTCTGCCGTGCCCGTGACACGCCGCTTGCTCGTGCCCTGGGAGCCCATCTCCGAAGGAGGGGATGATGAAGGAGCAACAGCACCTCCGAGGAGCCCGAGCAACGGGGCGGCTGCGTGGGAGGAAGCGGATGGACGAGCAGAGGGATCCCTCGGAGGAGTCGCTGAACTGGAGAGGGCAGGGGGAGCAGGTCCGTGTCGAGGGGTTGGCTGCTCCTTGGGAGGTGTTTTGTGCTGGCACTTCAGGCCTAACTTCTGCCGGCCTGCAGCTGGCCGTCGAGAGAGTGCCGACGTCTCCGCAGCTCTCTGGTGACAGCAGCCGTGCACGTCGGGCTCTGCCGGCACAGCCTGTCCCGGGGCTGCTGGTTGCCTGAAGCTCTGGGTGCCGGAGCGCAGCGTCGCTGCGGCCGCGTGGATCCCAGCAGACCAGACGTGATGAAGCTGTTGCCTTAACTCCCAGGAAGGCACCTTGGAGGACCCTTCTCTCTGCCGAAGGGACGGCCCCTCCCGTGGCTGCCGCCGTGGACCGCCGCATCCCGGACACGTCTCGTGGCAAATGCAGGATGTTGTTGGCACGATGTGAGTTTGTTCGTCGTTTGTCGAATCGTGCTGTAACTTCGGCAGGCGCCGGCTGGGGGGCTGCAGCCGAGCAGCTCCGGGAGCCGGCAGCAGTAGCAGCTGAGCTGAACCTTGGCTCGGCCTCGCCTGGACGCGCGTCGGGCGCGGGCCGGGGACCCCTCCTTGGCGTGGTGGGCTCTCTGGCTGCGCTGGCGAGGTCAGCCCCATGCCGGCAGTGTTTACACCAGGAAGGGTGGGGATCAGCTTTTTCCCATGTTATCCTGCTGTGGGGCAGAGGTGGAGAGGAACAAATATTTCCGATGCCGCAGCATGAGTTATGACTGCCCTTAGGTAACTCATTCTACCTCACAAACAGGAAGCGCTCAGGGCTTTCAAGCCACAGTCATAGTAAATTGGCTCCTGCGCTTCTGTAAAGATATGCTGTTACAAAACAAAACTAGTGATTTGCAAACCCTGTAAACTCGTCCTGCTTTTCCCTCCTCTCGAAGGGACAGCCAGTGTCAGAGGAGCGGCATGAGCTGGACGTGTGGTTGGTGAGCTAGGAATTCCTGGGGGTTGCTCCCCCGGCTCCGCTGTGGCCTTGGGCAAGTCACTTCACCTCTTTGCCTCAGTTTCCTCATCTGTAAAATGAGGGTGGTAACACTTGTGGTACCTACCTACCTCCCGGGAGTGCGGTGAAGATTGCTGGCTCGTACCTGCAAAGCGTGTGGGAGATGCAAAGCGCTTAGTGAATATTCATGTTTAGTGTCCTAGGGAAATGACAGCCTCTATCCTTTCCTGTTCTGTGCCAGTTCCTGGACCTGGCTGGGTCGCTTTACTCCTGTTACAGCCTCCCCTGTCAAAAGCAAACCTTCCTTTAGCCACATCCCTGCTGCAGTCCTGCGAAACAAGCTCTGTAGCAATACAAGTGGCGGCTCAGTGCTGCCGTGCTTGCGGAAGGGCCGGGGGTGTGCTGGAGGGTAGGGGCACAGTAACATCTCCTGGGGTTTGCAGAGCACAGCTCCCCATCTGCTGGTCATGTTGCGTCGAGAGAGAGGATTTCGCATCCTGGGGAGAGGGGTTGGAGGATGCAGAGGTGTGCAGTGCTGGGAGCCCCCTCCCTTCTGCTCCATCCATCCTCCGATCCCTGCGGTTTGCCTGTAAAGCTGTGTTCTCACTGTGGCAGCTCCAGGTCCAGCCCCGCTGTGATGGGGGAAGAGACGAGTCGGTGCTGACCCCCGGTTGGACCTAATGACCCTTCCCAGGCAGCTCCTTTGCCCTGAGCCTGTGTCATCCTCGGTCCTGCAGTACCCGAATCCAATCCCTCTGCACAGAGGTGGGGTGGAAGGAATGGACCTTGCTGAGGAGGAACTCAAGGCCACTGGGAGTTTGTGTCCTTTCCCCAGTCCCTGTAATATTGGCCAAGTTTGGGGCCAGCTGACATCGCCCTCGGGTAGGGTGTTAAACCGGACTTGTCCTGGTTTTGGTGTCTGAGCCTGTTTTCAGAGGAGGAGAGGCACCAAAGAGATCGCCAACCCTGGGGCTGGCCAGGCTGTGCCGTGTCTGCCACTGGAGCTCTGGTTTCCACACGCTGGTCTCATGATACCGGTCAGCTGCCAGGCCGCGGTCTGTGATCTCTGGCTGGTTTGTGGAGCCATGTTTAGCTTAGTGTTATTAAGTTTAAAAAAAAAAAAAAAAAAAATTATTTTGAGAACTCAAGGCGCTCTGCAAAAGCATGGGAGTTGATGGCAGTTTGCTGGAGGCTCCTCTGAGGAGCTCCTCAAGTTACGGGGTTTCTTTCGGTGTCCTGGTGGTGGCAAGACGGGCTGGTAGACAGGAATGGATGTGACCTGCTCTGCTCTGGAGATTGCTATGAAGGATGTGAGGGGGGTAGATGAAGCTTGGGAGAGCGGAGTCCTTAAAGCTTCAAGACCCTCTTAATAAAATGTCCCAGAAGCTGTCACAAGCTTTTGGATGGGTTGCGGCGCTGCTACGTGGTAGCACCTGCAGCCCCGTATCTAGCTAAGCTGTGAAGCAAAAGCCTTTTGTGCACATAAACCAAATAGAGAAGCTTTTACACTGAAACACTAATGGGCAAAGCAAGCCCACTCTTCTGGGCGCAGGGTCGTGAGAACAAAAGCCCACCCCGTTTTCTGCCAGTCGTTTTCGGCTGTGGGGATGGGGAGAGCGCTCTGGTCCGTGGCATTTCTGTGTCTTGGATTCTTTCCTGTGTTATAATGAATCATTCCCACGTGAAACATCCTGAGATCAGCAGCGAGTCCCGTCTGCGGAAGGGATGCGGGGATGGACCTGGACCTGCAGCATTCCCGTGCTGGGCCGGCCTCCTGCCGCTCCTTCTCCTCGGAGGGGTTTTCCCAAGAGGGGTCAGAGACCTGAGCGCTCCCTCCCCTGGGAGGGTCCTGGGCCTCTCCAAGCCCACAGCTAGCATCAGGGCTCTGTCGTCCCTGTCCCCGAGTCTGGCCAGCCTGGCTGGGAGCTCCAGCGTTCCTCCGGAAAGATGTGCAGCCGGGCATGGTGGGGTTGGCCGGAGCGATGGGCTCATCCCGAGTCCCCCACAGGCTGCGTTGCCCTGGGGAGATGTAGCTCCCACCCGACTGCATCGCGGTGGGGGCTCCCGGCGATGGCAGGGGCTCCTGGCCAGCGGCACGGGGCTGTTTGCAACAGCCAAGCGCCGTTTGCAGCATTGCGGGGAGCCAGGGCAGAAACTCTGTGCCCAGAGTTGTTCCTGCTCCGCCGCTGACTCGCGGTGCAGCCTTGGGCAAGCCCACTCGCCTCCGTGAAGGTGGCGATGACACTTACCTACCTCGCCTGGGGCAGCCGTGAGGTTTAACTCGTGTTTGCAAAGTGCTTTGGGATCCTGGGGCTACAAGAGGGGAATGAAGAGGGGAAATGCTTTGCTGTGAGCCGTGCCGGTGGCGTTTGCAGAGAGCGGCTGGGTTGTGGGTCCTTGCAGGAAACCCTGACACAGAATCCCCCTCCGAAAGGCACAGCTTCGAGACTGGTCTTCTTCCGATTTCTAAAATGCAAAGTTCAGTTTGATTCTCCCCTTTGTCAAAGGATCCAGGTCTCTTATCAGAAAAATTAAGCAGAAGAGAGAAAAAGAGTTGAATTGCTGTCTAACCTTTTTGTTAAGTTAATAGTAGGTACTGACCTCCTGATATTTAAGTGTTTACTATCTATTTGCTGTAAAGTTTTGTATATTTTGTAAACTTTCCCCCCAAATAGTAGATGTCTAAAATCGTTGTACATCGGGTTCTTTTATACTCCATTGTTCAGCACAAAGTGTGGTTTTTATTTAGAATAATAAAATGGAAAATGTTGACCTCTTGTACCTTGCTTCTTTACAAAACTCGTTTCTTTAAATGCGCAGACTGGCATTTCTGTCTCTTCAGGAGGGCCTGGGAAAGCACGTGGGCCATTCCTGGTGTCCTGCTCCTGTGCTGTGCTCTGCAGGATTTGGGGCTCGAGCCCAGGCAGCCGAGGCCTCTTCCCGCCGCCCCCTGCGGCACCCAGCGCTGCGCGAGGACGGGCTCTGGCATTTCTGCAGGCTTTTTCCTCAGCAGGTTGGGAGCAGAGCCCCCATTAGAAACCCTTTAGGAAACTCTTGGGGTTTGTGCCTTTTCTGTGCTGCCAGCAGCGCGTTTCACTGAGACCCGGGCCTTCGCAGGCTCGGAGCTGTTGGCTGGCAAGCCAGATCAGAGGGCAAACGCTGCTGGGGTTTTCACGAGCTGCTTTAGCTTTTTTCCAGCAGCGGGGCTTCCTTCTCGGTTCGGGGCTGGGGTGACCTGCCTGACGCTGGGGCCGAGCTGCTCTGGGGAAACAGGTCCCCATCGCCGAGCCAGCGACCAGCAGTGGCCACTGGAAATCCAGCTGGGCGGGTGGTCCAGGGGCATATAGCCAGTAACTGCTGCAGGAGCCCGGGGCTGGGCCAGCTGGCCCTAACGGGTGGTGAAGGCTTTAAAGGGAGACTGAAGAACTTGCTGGGTTTCAAGCCCAGATCAATGCATGGGGCTGTATGAGGGTTTATTTGAGGCCACCCTGGCCCTGAGGTCTGTGAACAAAGTTGCAGATACATTAGGAGACTTTAAAAAAAAAGGTTTAATAAGTCAAATAGCAAATTTTACATATTTAAGTAACTTGAAATTTAATATATTGTTGTCCTGGTTATGTCACACATCAAATGTCTTGTTACTGTGTGCTTATCTTCCATTCTTTCATTGAAAACAGCAGGGTATTAGCAAAAGGAAGCCTTAGGGAGGATTCAGGATCAGAGCTGTGGCTCGTGTCAGCGTGAAGATGCCTTTGCGTTCACCAGCCGCTCGGCTTCGCTGCGCACGCTGTGCCCAGGAGGGTCGCGGGGATGAAGGCGAGGAGGTCCCGAAGGACAGCCTCTGCCCCGCAGGGCTTACACTCGAAGTGGCTCTACGCTCACAAGTTGTGAAACTGTTGAAGTAACATAATGAAGGCAGAGGAACTGCGGAGTTTCTTCCCTGAACACGGCACTCTTGTGCCTGAGGGACTGGCTCCTTCCCCAGCTACTGTACAAAGTATTTCTGTGGAAGAGACACATCTGGCTTTTTCTGTCAACACTGGGATCCCTTGGTCGTAAGAAGGAACGACACAGTGCATAAGGAGCCCTGAAGTATTTAGTGGTTTACCCCATCACAGGACCCCGTAAATAGCAGAGCTTGGTGATAACCGAGCGTCCGTGTTAACCCCTGGTCATGGGCTTCTCCTGCAGCCCGGGACATCCTGCTTCCCACCCACTGCTCCGGGCCGTGAGCATCCTGTCCCTAGATTTGCTTACTCTTTGCTTTTTTAAAAATGTATTTCTTGAGCAGCTCAAGGCCTTCGGTAGATTTATGGACTGCCTTCCAGTGACTGTCACTCTTTCACCTTCCCCTGCCAAGGGCTTGACCTGCAGCATGTGACTTAGCAGAATCCAGACAACGATGAACTTTCTCCGGATGCTGCAGTTTCTTACACAGCCAAAATCCCGGCCTGCGCTCCGGCTCCGAGGGTTTCTGCACGTGTACGCGCTCCCACGGGGCTTCAGCGCGATCTTGGTTGAAAGGGAGCGCATACGAAGGGCTGCGGGTGGTTAGAAATGCTCCCGGTGGCCTTGGAAGCATGCCAGGAGGTGCTCTAAAGGAGGCTGGGTTTGATGGGATGGGTCTCCTGCTGCGAAGCACAAACTGGGAACCCCACCTCTGCTGGCACCGGTCACTTTTGGAAGCAGCTGTGCCCAGTCAAATCCACTTTTAACCTTTGCCAATTTACTGCTGGGTTTGCAACGTTGCTCTCAACGAGTTGCTGATCTTAAATAATTCCTCCCCTCATTAAAGCTCAGGTCTGTGTCATGCTCAGCCCCTTGGGGACATGTTGCCTTCATTTATGTAAAATCAGGCTTTCGGCCATTTACCAGGCATGGGGAGGAGAAGTTTTGTCTTTCAAAGGAATGAATTTCCTCTCTCCTGCTCGGGGTGGCATCACAGCAGAGGAGCAGCATTCACCGGACACCCCTGCAGTGCGATGTAGCTAGGGCCTGTGTGTAAGTGATAGTCATGGGCTGCGGAAAAAATTGTGAAGGGAAAAGATGATGTGCCCCCAGCCCCACGGCTCGAGGGGAGTGTGGGCATCAGGTCCCAGGGGCTGGATTTGTGTTCAGACTTCTGAGTAATGCACTTTATTACTGCAAGTGTTTCTTTTGGAAAACAGGAAATATTTCATTCTCTTATTTTTTCTTTAGCTAAAAAGATTTGATACAGCAGCACATCAGAGGCAAGATGTCTGTAGCTCCCCGCACCACCTCATTTCACGTTTCACACCCTACCCTCAGAGCACAGGAGGTGGCCAGCCAAGAAGTATCGTTTAAAAGCAAAGTGTCTGCTTATCACCAGGAAAACCAATCTTACTGACCTGAGTGAGTGCAGGGAGATCCCCCCCAACCACTTGCCAGTGATGAGTGGGGGAGTCCCATCTCCCTTAATTGGGAGGGTTGTTGTCCTTTGTGATGACTATGGAGTGCTGCGTGGTGGAGGAGGAATTGTCTGCGCCCTTCTGGCTGCCTTGTTCTTTGGGGATGTACTTAACCACAGCGGAGACGAGCTTGCTGCGGAAGTTTTTGCTCAGGAAATTGTAGAGAATCGGGTTGATCACGCAGTGGAGCAGGGTGAAGCAGTCTATGATGTCGTAGAAGAAGTAGAGGAAGTGGGCGAAGGTGCAGTGGAGGATGATGTGGTTGCCATCGAGGGTGAGCAGCGTGAGCATGATGTGGAAGGGCAGCCAGCTGATGAGGAAGACGATGATATAGGCGTAGATGAGGAGACAGTGCTTCCTGCTCTCCGGCTTGGTGCGCTTGATGAACCTGGCCGTCAGGATGTTGAAAACGGTGATGATGGGGAAGGGGATGAGGAACCCAATGGTGGTGGTGGCCAAGCTGACTGCCAGCGCCCACTCATCATAAGTCTCAAAGGGGGCCATGAAGATGCAGATGGGCTCTCCGGTGTTGACCAGCTGCATGTGAGCAACCTCCAGGAACGGGATCGCTGCTGCCAAGACCCAGCTGCAGGCGCAGATGATGCGGCGCGCGCGGTGCTGGTGCTTACGCCAGAAGAGGGAGGAGCTGGTCAGGGACACGTAGCGATCCACGCTCAGGCAGGTGAGGAAGAAGATGCTGGCATACATGTTAGCAAAGTAGAAGTAGTGCGTGAAGCGGCAGAGGAAGCTGCCCCAGAGCCAGGTGTAATCCAGCATCACCTCCAGCATCCAGATGGGCAGTGAGAGCAGCACTCCAAGGTCAGCAATGGCCATGTTGATGATGTAGAGGTTGACCAAGCTCTTGTTGCCCCGTGTCTGCCAGTTGACCCAGATGACAAGGAGGTTCTCCACCAAGCCAACCACAAAGATGACCAGGTAAAGGATGAAGAGGATCACCCGCTTGACATTCTCATCCAGGCTGAACTCACAGAAGGTGTAGGTGTAGTTCAGGAGGTGGAACAGCTCGGACCAGTTGTGGTAGTCCCCGTACTCATTCAGGAGAGTGTGTGTCTCAGTGGGGGCAGTGGTTGCCTCAGCCATCCTGGTAGCTGCAAGGAAAGGGAAAGCACTGAGTTGTGGCTCGGTGGCTGCATTGAGCCAGACAGCTTGAAAATAGAAAGAGCCGCTCTCTCCTGTCAGAGCTCAGTCCTCACGGGAAGCTCTGAAAGTACCCTTCTGTATTTTTTTTTTTAATCCAATTTTCGCTTCTATGGTGACATCAACCCTCAAAAGATGCCGTAGCCACATCAAACAATAACATCATGTCCCAGACAAAACGCAAGCCACAAACACCAGCCACTCGTGCTCCTGGGTGGTGTCTGTCCCCTGTCCCACAGCCTGGTCAGCCGGGGCCACGGGCCGGGGACAGGCAGTGCTGGGGACCGACGAAGGACAGGTGAAAATGGCCACCAGACCCAAGGCTCATCAGCATCGGTCACTGCAGAAACAGAGCTGGCAGCCCGTGAGTGCAGCAGCCCTCGGGTGGGAGCTGCTCCTGCCAAGCCTCGCGCTGTCTCCCGACACCCCCGGAGCTCAGGTCCTGCTGCCACCGAGCCTGTGGGAATCCCGACCCCATCTCTGCTGCTCTGCCCTTGCACGCAGCAACCAGCTGCAAGGCACTGGAGACACGGGCAGACATCCAGACCATTAAATGCACCAGCCACCACATCTGCCCAACTCCACACCAGTGGGAAAGCCCCTGTCCCCCACCCCGAGCCACTCACGTGCAGTTGCCTTATAAATCCAGCCAGCTGCCCTCGCTCTGCCCATCCCACAGCTGAACTGCTGGGACCCGTTGGGACTTCCAAGTAGGTCACAAAATTATAAACTTAAAGGAAATGTAGTTGACCTTAACATCCTTTTATTGCCCCAAGTATGAGAGCTCCGATCCCAGCACAGCTGCATCCGCACAGCGAAGACGCCACGGACCGCATCCAGCCTCGTGCCGCTGGAAGAGCTCGCAAGACGAGCCGTTCCCCTGGGACAGCTGGAGGAGCATGCCATGCTGCTGGGGCACTTCATGGCACTCAGAGCCCGGCGAGCCACCCTGCAAAAGCATCAGCCCTGCGGCCAATGGCTGTCAGCCGCCCGCTCCCAAAAATGTGGAGGAGAGGAGAGCGAGACCCCGGGGCTGGAGCCCCCCATCCCTGGGGCTCCTCGACATCCCAACCCTGCCAAGCTGCAGGTCCGGAGGGAGGCCAGCAGGAGAGGGGACAGACGGACACGGCCGGAGAAGGAGAGGTGGTGGCTCACCGGCGGCAGAGCCGAAGGCTGCGCAGAGGGGCTCCTCGGGGACCACGGCAATCCTCCCGGCTCAGCGGCTCGCGCGCCTCTGGGAAAGCGGAGCCGCGGCGGCAGCGCGGAGCTCGGGGTGGGCTTGTTGGCTGCTTCCCAGCAGGAAATGACCATCGTGGTCCGACATCCTGAGACAGCCCAGCGCGGGTGACATTTGACTCGATTTCCAGCCCTGGGGCTCGGCTCCCATTTGATTTTGCTGCAGGACTGGGGATGGGCACAGGGAGGCCCTGGGCAGGTGTCGGTGCCGAAGCTGCGGGTGCCCGAGGATGGAGCGGGGATCCTCGGGGCTCCCCTGGGCAGGTCCCCTCCCCTGTCACTCCCGTGGGACCTGGCTGGTCTCGGGGGATGGATCCTGCCCGGTTCCTGCTGTGACTGTGGGCAGGAGGGAAAAATGCATCCCCTGGGCTGGCCCCAGCTGAGCTGGGTCCTCCCCCAGCTCTGGGAGTCCCAGGGGTTGGGTGGGTTAAGGCGAACGTGCCACTGACTGTCCCTGATGCTCACACAATGCTGGGGTGAGCTCAGGGCTTTCTCTGGTGGGAAAAGGGCTGAAAGCTGAACATCTCTGCCAGGCCAGTGCTGCATGTCGCTCCAAGCGGTCGCAGGAGTTGACAGCAGATGGTTATCACCGCAGAAACACCTCTGGCCAGGCAGCAATTAATCATAGAGCTGTGATTGCCTGGCAGTTTTGCAGGGGAAGAGAAGGGGCTTGAGCCTTGCCCTGGCACTGGGGAGGGGGCTGATAGGCAGAAAATTTTGCATCGAGCTGCAAGTCCTGCAAAACAATTGCAGGAAATCTCCTTTTCAAGTGCAGACAAGACTCTGTGATCAACAATCGGCTCGGAAGGAAGGCACGGCCGGAGCGGGGAAGCACGAGGGCACTGATAAGTCGGGTCTCACAACAACAAGCCTGGTGCCGGTGACCCTGCACGCAGGTACCCAGCCCCAGCGGGACAGAGGCCCCGGGCTGCAAACAGGAACTCGGGGGCTTTTTGCTCGCCCCAAGTGTGACAGGAGGCGTTTTGGCTGGGCTGCAGAACGGGGGCCGTGGGGGGCTGCGAACGGCTGCCCGATGGGCTGGGGGGGGCCTTTGCCTCCCAGGCGGGCAGGGATGCCGTTCGGCTTCTGTTTAACAGGTCAGGAAATTTCCACACGGAACTCACGGATCGGGAAGGACCTGGGTGCCGTCGGGGTTTGCAGAGGAGGGGCTGATCCTGGTAGGGATGGGGAGGTCGAGGAGCCCGTTGAGCTTCCAAGCCGTGGGGAGTGGGGCAGGCGGCTCAGCCCCTTCTCCCCATCCCTGCTACTGTGCTTGGGGTGCCCCAAGGCTCTCGGCACCCAAAGGTGTACCCAGGAGCTCCCAGCCTCCCTAAGGGCTCTGTTCTCCCCTTTGTCTGGAGGTAAGTGGGAAAAAGCCGTTTCCTCTCTGGAAAACAGCCGTTTCGATCCGAGTGGGTCCTTCGGAGTGCAGCAGATCAGGGGTTGGGTGGACGGCGTGCAGGAAGGCAAAGAGGAGAGGCTGATAATGGTCCCCGTGGGCCTGACCAGTTCCTCCTTCACCTGCCAGCACTTCGCTCCAGGGTGGAATACGGGCGCTGAGGTGGGCTCCAGGCAATGGCAGCACCAGGGATCTGCTGTTCTCCCACCCATCCCTCCCCAGGCAGCCAGCGCTGGCCCGGGATGCTGCCAGAGGGATGCAGGTTGGGGGGTCGCCGGGCAGGCACAGCCGAGGCCACAGTGTCACCTCCCAGCAGCTCAGCACGCAGCCCAGCCCCTTGGGGACATGCGGGCCTGAAACGTGACATGTGGGAGCTGCTGGAGACGTCTTACTGGTTTGCTAAGCCGAGCAAAGCGTTTAGGAAAGCTTTCTTGAATGGGGAAACAGCTCGGCGAGCTGTAATGCAGCTTGCACAAGGGCAAGCTGCCTCCTGTCCTGCCGTAGCTCCTCCTTCCCCTGTCGCAGCCCCGGGGTGTGTTGGTCTCGCGTGGGCTCAGCATCTATGTGTGTGGGAGTGGGGCTGCTGCTAATGCTGCTCTAGTCCCGCAGGCAAGTGCACAACCTCAGGGACCTAACCCCCAGCTAGTCATCACTAATCAGCCCTTAATTAGAGGTTTGAACGACACACGAGGCACCACCTGCATGCCAGCTCCCCGTGCCAGCAGTGTCACGGGCTGGTTAATGATGGTGCCTTTTCCAGCCCGTCCTCTGGCAGCAAAGCTGAGAGCTGAGCCTGCCCCAGCCACGCCAGGCTCATCCCTGGCAGCGGCAGCTTCCTCTGTGTTCCACCTGATCACCCTCTGCCAGAGGAGACCACGGACACCGAGCCACGCGATTGCCAGTGTTGTGCCGGGAAGGGAGTGCTGGCTGCCGGGCCCGAGCCCGAGGTCGCCCGTGGAGGGGCTGGGAGGCTGTGCCGGCGCTGGCGAGCCCCCAGCAGCCAGGGAGGATGGAGCCGTTTCCAGCCGGCTCTCAGGTTTACCCGTGCAGCAGCGAGGGAGGAGATGGGGAGCCGAGGAGCAAAGCCCCCACCACCTGAGCTGGACGCACACGGGGAAGAGCTGGGACGTGGCAGAGCGGGGGGATCCCAGCAGCTCCCAGCAGAGCTGGAGCAAAGCACAATCAGCTTTGGGGTCCTTTGCAAAGAGCAATTGCTCTCACCTCTCCTCCGAGAGGGAGCTGTGAGCCCAGAAGGCCCAAAGGGCGGTGCTGTAGAAAGCAGCAGGCTTGACGGGAAAAATGTCTTTAACAGGTCACAGGGCAGCAGCATCCCTCCGGCACGATGCAGCGGTGGGGAGCCAGGGCACCACGATCGGTCACGCCAGTGGGTGCAGGTTGGCCTCCGCCTCTGCCTGCCAGGATGAGCTGGATCCCCCCGCCCAGCCACCGGCCCCTCGAAGGGCTGCGGGGGCAGAGACGATGCTGTGCCGCAGCTCGGGCATCCCCAGGGACCCCGGGGGCTGGCGCCAACCCCACCAACGTCACGCTCTTGGACACCTCCAAGGCTGGGGTTCACCGTGGGCAGTCCCTCGCTTCGCACCAGCTTTATTGAGCACATTAAGGGGGGCCCGAGGCGAGCGGGTGCCTGTGGGTGCTGTGTCTGCATCCCCGGCCTGGTGGCCGTCCTCAGGGGTGCGCGGGCGTCCCCCCCGGCCGGGACGGGCAGTAGCTGAGCGGCAGGAGGGCGAGCCGGGCGTCCCAGCCGGCTGCGTATGGGCTGCAGGGGAAACGGGTGAGGAGCGTGGGGGCCGTGGCGCTGGTGACACGGGGCAGGCGGGAGCTGCTCAGGCGGTGCAGCAGGACAGTGTTCTTGGTGTCTGGGTGGGCAGAGGGGGGGTCAGCACGGCCAAGCATGCTGGGACGCTGATCGGCAAGGGCCGGGGCCATGGGGGATGCACTCACAGGTCTCCAGGTAAAGGTGGCTGTAGGCTGACTGGATCTCTGCTGGGAGCTGCTCCCAGAGGTGCTCGAAGCCCCTCACCACCGTTGTGGGGTCGATCATCGCCGTCCGGAAGCCGCCAGGTTTGATGATGGAGACCTGGACCCCGAAGGGACGCATCTCGCGCCTGGCTGTGGAGGGGCCGTCAGCCCCGTGGGCAGAGCCGCTGTCCCGTGCCGAGCAGGGACTGGGGGGGAACTGGGGCTAAGGCGTGCAGGGGGAAGCCCATGACACCCCCCCAGGCACCCCGTTGTACCCTGGGTGGGTGCAGAGCAGCCCTCTCCTTGCTCAAGGGTGTCTCAGAACTCTTCTTCTAGTTGCACAACTGCTGTTGCAGCCAATGCCATTTCCCAACCTGTGGGCAACCATGCTGGTATTTCACAAGCCCCTGCCCTGGCTCACTGCTGCTCTGCTTTATGAGGAAGGATGTAACTGGGAGAGACATAAAACCCTGCATGGGAAAGCGGGGCAGAGATGCCCGGTGTGCCTGTACCTGCCAACATGTGCCTGGCTGCTGGATGAGCCCCGGGACGGGGGAGCATGGGGGGCTGCCAGGGCGAACACCACCGTACCTGAGACTGTCGGAGAAGGCCTCCACGCCGAACTTGGAGATGCAGTACCCCCCGCCAAAAAAGGAGACACGGCCCATCACGCTGGCCACATTGACCACCCGGCCCCGCGCCCGCTGCAACAGGGGCAGGAGGCTCAGTGTCACCTCGATGAGGCCGAGCAGGTTGACGTCCAGCACCTTGACGAAGTCGCCCTTGGTCAGCCACTCGTTAGGGCCGGTGGGAATGGCGATCCCCGCGTTGTTCACCAGCCCCCAGAGCCCTGGGGAGAGGGGACGGGGTGAGCCGGGGCTGCTTCCCGTCCCACGGCCCCACTCCAGCCGTGGCTGTGCCGGCGAGGTTGCCGGGGGGCTGGCAGGAGTGACGCTGGGGAGAGGTTCCCTGTCCTATCTGCGTCCCCCACACGCTCGCGGACCCAGGCGGTGGCGATGCTCTGGCTGGAGGTGACATCCAGGAGGATGGTCTGCAGCCACAGCTAGGCAGGCGGCCAGCACCCGCAGCCCCCGCGCGTCCAGCTGCCGTGCCAGCAGGTTCCCGAAGCCGCTGTCGCAGCCCGTGATCAGCACCGACTTCTCCGAGAGCCTCGGCACCGTCTGCCGCTCCCGGTGCCAGCGCCGCAGCAGGCACAGCCCCACCAGCACCACCGCCAGGCACAGCCACATCCTCGGGCACCGGGAGCAACAGCCCTCTGCGCAATCCGCATTCCTGCCATATATATAGAGTTTGGTGTGAGGGACCAGCCCCAGCCCATGAGTTGGGCCGTGTTGCTGGGAGAGTTGGGGGCTGGGGTTGCTCCAGGACACACTGGAGGAGAGGCAGGATTGCAGCAGCACCTGGAAAAACTTTTGCATCTCTCAAGTGCAATTCACGGCTTTACCTCACACAGATCCGTGTGCCGGGAGCTCTGCTTTGGCCTTTAATAGCTGTTTGTGCTGGCAGGGTGGATCCAGTTCCCCCACGGAGCTGGATTTGGCTGAACTCTCCAGACACGGTCGGCAGTGCCCAGCCCCGGACTTCTCCCTCTCGCCGGCCGCACTGCACTCGCCCAGCTTTGGTCTGGTGCGGGATGGCAGCCTCGTCCCCTCACCCCACGATGGGCCCTGCACAACGAGGCAGCAAAAATGCCTGGGCACAGTTTGCTGGAGCGGGGCAGCCTTCACCAACCGGGCACTGAGGGTCTGCAGAGACATGCACGGCAGCAGGCGCTGCTCGGGATGCCCAAGGCACACTGAGGAGGAAGAGGAGGAGGAGGAGCAGGACTTGACCAGAGGCTGCCCAGCCCTGTGCCCAGAGGGAAACCTGTCCAAGTTTGTACAGGTCTGGTTTTTATTCATGTGTGTTAAATGATGGAACAGCAGCTCTGGTGAGTGCAGCTCTCACACCCTGGCAGGAGCTGGACCCTGCACGGAGCAGGCACTCAGGGGAACGGCTGGAGAACCCAGGAGCTCCCGTGGCACGGCATGGCACGGCACAGCATGGCATGGCACGGCACGGCACAGCATGGCATGGCACACCATGGCACTGCACCGCATAGCATGGCACGGTACGGTACGGTACAGCATGGCACGGTATGGCACGGCATGGCCGGCGGCAGTGCTGGTGCTGAGGGGGGAGCAGGGATGTGGCTGTGATGCTGCACCCCAGGCTGAAATCAAGCCCTGCCAGGTGCAGCGGAGGAGTTGTCTTTATTCAGAAGCAAACAGGTCTGCTAGCAGGGGACAGCGGGCTGTGAGCCGTACATTGCGTTAGAAATTCAGGACCCTGTTGGCACGGCCTCGGCTGAGGGCGATGCCGGAGCCCACGCTGCTGCTGCCCGTTGGCTGCCAACGCCGCGCCCCGGCTTTAGGCTTTCTGGGCAGGTTTGCTGTATAACCAGGTGAATATGGTGTCCGTGAGGGCTGACGGCAGGTAGCTGAGCGGGATGTAAAGCAGCTTGGCGTCCCAGCCCGCCGAGTAGCGGGCACGGGGGTAGCGGCTGGTCAGCGCGTGCTCCATGCAGTCCGTGACCAGCGTCAGGTTGGAGTTGCACATCTTCTGCAGCATGTTGAGTCCCACCAGCACTGAGGGGGCAGAAAGCACCGGTCAGGCTGCCGGGGCTGAGACCCGCGAGCCGAATGCAGCCCAACAGCTCGGTGGGATGATGGGGTGGTGGAACACCCCACGGCCCCAGGAACGGGCCTTGTGTCAGGAGACAAATGCCATTTCTTAACCTTTAGGTGAGGTACTTACACTCCTTCAAGTACTTCTCCCCGTAACTTGTTTTGGTTTCCTCAGGGAGCCTCTCCCAGAGGGAAAGAATCTCATTCTCCATGTTCTCCTTGTTGAGGAGCATCGTCTTGAAGTAGCCTGGCTCGATTATGCTGACCTTCACCCCAAAGTTGTGCATCTCAAGCCTGGAAGGGATAAAGCCCCATGGGACACGGGAGCAGCTCCTGAGAGCATCCACTGTCTGCCAGCACAGGCTGCGCGTGGGCACCGGCTCTCGCGCGGGATGCACAGCAGCCTCGTGCTGGAGGTTTGGGGGGGAGCCAGAGACCCCCCAGCAGACCCCACGCCAGCCCCAGCACGTCTCTGAGGCAGCGTGTGAGCAAATGTCTGCCGAGTCTGGATGGCACGGGGCCAAAGGAAATCTGGGGACTGCAGGGCCATTGCCCGCGGGATCCGGTACGGGGGCAAGGTCTGAGGGGACAGGCTCGGTGCCAGGGCAGGCAGTGCCAGCCAGCATGGCCACAGCCTCCTTGCTGCTGGGTAGTAAACAGGCAGGGGAATGAAATCAAAGTCCTGCCAAGTCTTTTGCCTTCCCTCACCCAGGGCTGCCTCTGCATGAGCTTGGCTGAAAGAGGAGCAGAGGCTGCCTGTGGCCCACAAGGGTCCCCCTGGCCAGGAGATCGCTCCTGTGGGACCCAAGGCATCGTGACATCTGGTTCATGTCTTGGGCGTCCCCGCAAGCCCTCCTCTCGTGCATCGGCAGCAGCTAAGAAAAGCTCCCCCTGCGTTCGCTCGCTGTTGTGCAAGGATGAGGTTTGACGGCCAGAGGCTCTGCCGGCCAAAGCCTGTAAAAACAAACTGGGAAACTGGGGCAGTGTCTGTGTGCCAGCCTTACCGGAGACTGTCGGAGAAGGCCTCCACGCCGAACTTGGAGATGCAGTACCCCCCGCCAAAAAAGGAGACACGGCCCATCACACTGGCCACATTGACCACCCGGCCCCGCGCCCGCCTCAACAGGGGCAGGAGGCTCAGCGTCACCTCGATGAGGCCGAGCAGGTTGACGTCCAGCACCTTGACGAAGTCGCCCTTGGTCAGCCACTCGTTAGGGCCGGTGGGAATGGCGATCCCCGCGTTGTTCACCAGCCCCCAGAGCCCTGGGGAGAGGGGACGGGGTGAGCTGGGGAATCCCACGGCCCCGCGCCAGCCGTGGCTGTGCCGGCGAGGTTGCCGGGGGGCTGGCAGGGGTGGCGCTGGGGGTGACGCTGGGGACAGCTGCCCTGTCCTACCTGCGTCCCCCACACGCTCGCGGACCCAGGCGGCGGCGGCGGCGATGCTCTGGCTGGAGGTGACATCCAGGAGGATGGTCTGCAGCCGCGGCGAGGCGGCCGCCTGCAGCTGCGCAGCCCCGGTGTCGGTCAGGCAGGCGGCCAGCACCCGCAGCCCCCGCGCGTCCAGCTGCCGCGCCAGCAGGTTCCCGAAGCCGCTGTCGCAGCCCGTGATCAGCACCGACTTCTCCGAGAGCCTCGGCACCGTCTGCCGCTCCCGGTGCCAGCGCCGCAGCAGGCACAGCCCCGCCAGCACCACCGCCAGGCACAGCCACATCCTCGGGCACCGGGAGCAACAGCCCTCTGCGCAATCCGCATTCCTGCCATATATATAGAGTTTGGTGTGAGGGACCAGCCCCAGCCCATGAGTTGGGCCGTGTTGCTGGGAGAGTCGGGGGCTGGGGTTGCTCCAGGACACACTGGAGGAGAGGCAGGATTGCAGCAGCACCTGGAAAAACTTTTGCATCTCTCAAGTGCAATTCACGGCTTTACCTCACACAGATCCGTGTGCCGGGAGCTCTGCTTTGGCCTTTAATAGCTGTTTGTGCTGGCAGGGTGGATCCAGTTCCCCCACGGAGCTGGATTTGGCTGAACTCTCCAGACACGGTCGGCAGTGCCCAGCCCCGGACTTCTCCCTCTCGCCGGCCGCACTGCACTCGCCCAGCTTTGGTCTGGTGCGGGATGGCAGCCTCGTCCCCTCACCCCACGATGGGCCCTGCACAACGAGGCAGCAAAAATGCCTGGGCACAGTTTGCTGGAGCGGGGCAGCCTTCACCAACCGGGCACTGAGGGTCTGCAGAGACATGCACGGCAGCAGGCGCTGCTCGGGATGCCCAAGGCACACTGAGGAGGAAGAGGAGGAGGAGGAGCAGGACTTGACCAGAGGCTGCCCAGCCCTGTGCCCAGAGGGAAACCTGTCCAAGTTTGTACAGGTCTGGTTTTTATTCATGTGTGTTAAATGATGGAACAGCAGCTCTGGTGAGTGCAGCTCTCGCACCCCAGCAGGAGCTGGACCCTGCATGGAGCAGGCACTCAGGGGAATGGCTGGAGAACCCAGGAGCTCCCGTGGCACGGCATGGCACGGCACAGCATGGCATGGCACGGCACGGCACGGTATGGCACACCATGGCACTGCACTGCATGGCATGGCACGGTACGGTACGGTACAGCATGGCACGGTATGGCACGGCATGGCCGGCGGCAGTGCTGGTGCTGAGGGGGGAGCAGGGACGTGGCTGTGGTGCTGAACCCCAGGCTGAAATCAAGCCCTGCCAGGTGCAGAGGAGGAGTTGTCTTTATTCAGAAGCAAACAGGTCTGCTAGCAGGGGACAGCGGGCTGTGAGCCGTACATTGCGTTAGAAATTCAGGACCCTGTTGGCACGGCCTCGGCTGAGGGCGATGCCGGAGCCCACGCTGCTGCTGCCCGTTGGCTGCCAACGCCGCGCCCCGGCTTTAGGCTTTCTGGGCGGGTTTGCTGTATAACCGGGTGAATATGGTGTCGGTGAGGGCTGACGGCAGGTAGCTGAGCGGGATGTAAAGCAGCTTGGCGTCCCAGCCCGCCGAGTAGCGGGCACGGGGGTAGCGGCTGGTCAGCGCGTGCTCCATGCAGTCCGTGACCAGCGTCAGGTTGGAGTTGCACATCTTCTGCAGCATGTTGAGTCCCACCAGCGCTGAGGGGGCAGAAAGCACCGGTCAGGCTGCCGGGGCTGAGACCCGCGAGCCGAATGCAGCCCAACAGCTCGGTGGGATGATGGGGTGGTGGGACACCCCACGGCCCCAGGAACGGGCCTTGTGTCAGGAGACAAATGCCATTTCTTAACCTTTAGGTGAGGTACTTACACTCCTTCAAGTACTTCTCCCCGTAACTTGTTTTGGTTTCCTCAGGGAGCCTCTCCCAGAGGGAAAGAATCTCATTCTCCAGGTTCTCCTTGTTGGTGATCATCGTCTTGAAGTAGCCTGGCTCGATTATGCTGACCTTCACCCCAAAGTTGCGCATCTCAAGCCTGGAAGGGATAAAGCCCCATGGGACACGGGAGCAGCTCCTGAGAGCATCCACTGTCTGCCAGCACAGGCTGCGCGTGGGCACCGGCTCTCGCGCGGGATGCACAGCAGCCTCGTGCTGGAGGTTTGGGGGGGAGCCAGAGACCCCCCAGCAGACCCCACGCCAGCCCCAGCACGTCTCTGAGGCAGCGTGTGAGCAAATGTCTGCCGAGTCTGGATGGCACGGGGCCAAAGGAAATCTGGGGACCGCGGGGCCATTGCCCGCGGGATCCGGTACGGGGGCAAGGTCTGAGGGGACAGGCTCGGTGCCAGGGCAGGCAGTGCCAGCCAGCGTGGTCACAGCCTCCTTGCTGCTGGGTAGTAAACAGGCAGGGGAATGAAATCAAAGTCCTGCCAAGTCTTTTGCCTTCCCTCACCCAGGGCTGCCTCTGCATGAGCTTGGCTGAAAGAGGAGCAGAGGCTGCCTGTGGCCCACAAGGGTCCCCCTGGCCAGGAGATCGCTCCTGTGGGACCCAAGGCATCGTGACATCTGGTTCATGTCTTGGGCGTCCCCGCAAGCCCTCCTCTCGTGCATCGGCAGCAGCTAAGACAAGCTCCCCCTGCGTTCGCTCGCTGTTGTGCAAGGATGAGGTTTGACGGCCAGAGGCTCTGCCGGCCAAAGCCTGTAAAAACAAACTGGGAAACTGGGGCAGTGTCTGTGTGCCAGCCTTACCGGAGACTGTCGGAGAAGGCCTCCACGCCGAACTTGGAGATGCAGTACCCCCCGCCAAAAAAGGAGACACGGCCCATCACACTGGCCACATTGACCACCCGGCCCCGCGCCCGCCTCAACAGGGGCAGGAGGCTCAGCGTCACCTCGATGAGGCCGAGCAGGTTGACGTCCAGCACCTTGACGAAGTCGCCCTTGGTCAGCCACTCGTTAGGGCCGGTGGGAATGGCGATCCCCGCGTTGTTCACCAGCCCCCAGAGCCCTGGGGAGAGGGGACGGGGTGAGCTGGGGAATCCCACGGCCCCGCGCCAGCCGTGGCTGTGCCGGCGAGGTTGCCGGGGGGCTGGCAGGGGTGGCGCTGGGGGTGACGCTGGGGACAGCTGCCCTGTCCTACCTGCGTCCCCCACACGCTCGCGGACCCAGGCGGCGGCGGCGGCGATGCTCTGGCTGGAGGTGACATCCAGGAGGATGGTCTGCAGCCGCGGCGAGGCGGCTGCCTGCAGCTGCGCAGCCCCGGTGTCGGTCAGGCAGGCGGCCAGCACCCGCAGCCCCCGCGCGTCCAGCTGCCGCGCCAGCAGGTTCCCGAAGCCGCTGTCGCAGCCCGTGATCAGCACCGACTTCTCCGAGAGCCTCGGCACCGTCTGCCGCTCCCGGTGCCAGCGCCGCAGCAGGCACAGCCCCACCAGCACCACCGCCAGGCACAGCCACATCCTCGGGCACCGGGAGCGGCACCGGGAGCGCGGCGGCTGAGCGGCTCCGGCCCGACCTTGGCGCTGCCCGCGGCTCCGCGGTTAATGGTTAACGACCGCGGCTTCGGGCTCCGGCGCAACGGCCGTAGGGAGCCCGCGGGGCCGCCCGGCAGCACCGGGTCGCGCCTCCCCGGCCCTTCGCCGCCCCGCTCGGGCCGCCCCCTCCGCGCTTCCGCCGCCTCCGGCCCGCGGGTGCCCGATCCCGGTCCCGGGGCTCGGCTCCGGCACTACGCGGCTGCCGTCGGGGCGGGTCCTCTCGCAGCCGTCGGGGAATCGTTAACCCGGAGCGGGGCAGCCCCCGGGAGTCCCCGCACCCCTGCGCTGTCCCCCCCCCAGCCCCCACCGACCCGCCCCGTACCGACCCGCCCGTAGCCCCGGCCCCGCTCACCCCCCCCCCTCCGCGCCCGCCCCCGGGGCCGGACTACAGCTCCCGGCGGCCCCCGGGCGCCCGTCCCCGCCGCTTCCCGCCGCTTCGCTCCCGCCATGGCGCGGTTCGAGCCGGCGGCGCTGCCCGAGCTGCTCCCGGTTTTCTACCGGCGGCTCTTCCCGCACGGCGCCTACGGCCGCTGGCTCGGCTACGGCGGCGGTGAGCGGAGGGGGGGGCTGCGGGGGGGGGGTGGTGGTGGAGGGGGTGCCCCCGGGGTGAGGGCTGCGGGACCGGGGCACGTGGCGCGGGGGTCCCGGGATGGACGCACCGGCCGGGGCGCTGGGGGGCTCAGGAGAGCGATGAGGGGGGGCTTTGAGGGAAACACGCGGGAGGGGTCCGGCCCCCCGGGGCAGCGTCGGGGTTGCCCCCCCCCGCTGTCCCCGACCCCATCCGCACCCCCCAACCTGCCCGCACCCCCGCAGTGGTGAAGGGCTACTTCCAGCAGCGGGAATTCTCCTTCACGCTGCGGGACGACGTCTACGTGCGGTTCCAGTCCTTCGGCAGCCCCCAGGAGCTGGAGCGGGAGCTGCAGAGGACCAACCCCTACAAGATCGACATCGGGGCTGTCTACTCCCACCGGGTGAGTCCTGCTCCCTGCCCCCCCCCCCCCCAGCACCCCGACTTCGGGGCCCTGGAGGGGTCACAGCCCACGGCTCTCGAGCCCGTCCTGTCCCGCAGCCCAACCAGCACAACACGGTGCACCAAGGGGCCTTCCAACCCCAGGAGAAGGAGCTGGTCTTTGACATCGACATGACGGACTACGACGACGTCCGGACGTGCTGCAGGTGCCTGGGGGGGTGTTCACGGCCCGAGCTGCAATACAGGGCCAGGATTGGGGTGCGGGGACTGGGGGCAGTAGCCTGACCTGCTGCGCTCTGCCCCCCCCCCCCCCCAGCTCGGCTGAGATCTGCTCCAAGTGCTGGACCCTGATGACCATCGCCGTCCGCATCATCGACCGCGCGCTCGTGGGTGAGGGTCTGGAGGACGCACGCAGCCCCTGTCCTCGTGCACTGTGGACACGTCCTGACCACGCTCTGCCCCGCAGCAACACCCTGAAGCGGGGGTCGGGGTAGCACTCTCGCGGGGCTGGGGGGTCAGCGGAGGCTGTGCTGGTGCCCGGTGGGTTTGCTGCTCTGCCAGGCTCGGGTGGACGCTGCAGCCCGTCGCGATGTGCTCCTGCAGCCCAGCTGTTCCCCCCGCAGAGGACCTGGGCATGAAGCATCGCCTGTGGGTGTACTCGGGCCGGAGGGGTGTCCACTGCTGGGTGTGTGACGACGCGGTGCGGAAATGGTCCCCGGCGCTGCGGGCAGCCGCTGTGGAGTACCTGACCCTGGTGAAGGTGGGTACGGGGGGGTCCGAGCACCGCCATGCCCACCCCCCCCCCCCAGGCTGACCACCGCTGTCCCCCCAGGGTGGAACAGAAACTGTGAAGAAGGTGAACCTCTCCGAGCCCGTCCACCCCTTCATCAGGTCGGTGGGGATCCCCCTGCGCAGCCCCCGCAGCCGCCGGCCGCGGGGCGCTGAGCCTCCCCCTGCTCCTCCGCAGGCGGTCGGTCGGCGTGGTGGAGAAATACTTCGAGGAGTACGCGCTGGTGGGCCAGGACATTCTGGGCAGCCCGGAGAGCTGGGAGAAGGTGCTGGCCCTCGTCCCGGAGGATATCCTTTCCGGAGCGGGTCCAGAGGGAGGGTCCGTGCGGGGGGAGCGGGGTCGGCAGCGTTGGCCATCAGCCTTGACCACCGGCCACAGCACCGCGAGCCGCTGCAGGGCGAGTTCCCCAGGAAGCGGGACTCGGTGCAGCGCTGGGAGCTGCTGAAGGGCAGGATGGAGCGGACGCGGGTGAGTGGCCGTGGAGCCGCCCTGGGCGGGGGGCTGGGTGCCCCCCACCTGCCCCGCTGCCCCCTGACCTGTCCCGGCAGCAGCTGGTGGGGACCGGGAGGAACGTGCCGTGCTACGCAGACTGGGAGATCATGCTGCAGTACTGCTTCCCCCGCCTCGACATCAACGTCAGCAAAGGGGTCGGGCACCTGCTGAAAAGCCCCTTCAGCGTCCACCCCAAAACGGGTGGGTCTGGCGGGCTGCGGGGCAGCACCCCTCGGGGCTGGGCACCCCCGGCACTGACTCCCTTCTCTCGCAGGTCGCATTTCGGTGCCGCTGGATCTGCAGAGGCTGGACCAGTTTGACCCGTTCGCTGTCCCCACCATCAGGTATGTGAACAGGGCTGGAGCACAGTGCGGGGGGGTCCCGGCGGTGCTGGCAGCCCCCCACCGTGACCCATCACCTCCTGCAGCTCCCTGTGCCACGAGCTGGACACAGCCGGCAGTGACGGGGAGCAGGAGGACAGCGGCGAGACAGAGCCAAAGCGCCGTGTGCGGGGTGAGCAGGGCTGGGGCCGGGTCGCGGGGGGGGTTCCCCACTGCCCTGCACACCCCCCCCCCCACACTCAGCTCCCCCCAATCCTCCAGACTACAGGAAGACGAGCCTGGCGCCCTACGTGCGGGTCTTCGAGCAGTTTGTGGAGGAGATGGAGCGTGCCCGAAGGGGAGAGCGGCTCCGGAGAAGTGGTGAGAGCTGGGTGGGGATGCAGCTGGCTGGGGGACCCCCCCGGGCTCTGAGAAACTGCTCTTTTTCTGTAAAACTTGCCCTTTCTCCCCTTTGCAGACTTGAAAGGGGACTTCTGAGGCCTCGCTCCTCACCGCAGAGCCGCCGAGGGACTGGCACTGCCATTGCTGCCTCCACCGCTGTCACCCCCACCGGCCTCAAGGTCCCGGTGTTTTGGGGCAGGGGGCCCGGCTCCCCGCCCCGCTCCCCACGCGGGAGCATCCCTTCTTTTGTACTTTTTCTGCCCAAAGACCATTAAACATCTCTGCTCACCCATGTGCCTGCTCTTTGGGACCTGCGGAGGCTGGGGGGGGACGGGGCCCGGGAGGGAGAACCGGGGGGTGCAGCCCCTGCCCTGCAGCCCCCCCAAACCCCTGCTGAGGGGTCCCACCCCGCACCCTGGGGGTCCCACCCCGTACCCCAGGGGGTCCCGGCGGGGCCCGGAACGTCGGAGCGCGGCCGTTGGGGAGGGGGGGGGAGAGCGTCCGGGCGGTGGGGCGCTGCCCCCTGCCCCGGAAGCGCTCGTCCTGCCGGAAGTCGCGCCTTCAGCTGCTCGGTCTCTTTCCGCCGCCATCTTGGGCCCCGCTCCCCGCACAGTGAGTCCGGGCGCCGGGATCCGCCGCCATCCGCCACCGCGGGGGCTGCCCGTCACCCGCGGGCCGGCCGGGGGGGCGGTGGCGGCGCTGCTGGGGCCGCGGGCGGGCCGGCGGGGGCGGCTCCGCGCACCGGGAAGGGGCCTCCCGCTCCGGGGGTGGGGGGGAGGGCGGCCGAGGCCCCGGGGCGGGGGGGGGGAGCCCCGGTGTCAGCACTCGCTGGGCCCGGCGTGCCCGGTCCCGCCTGGGCGGCCGAGCCGTCTCCGCGGGCCTGTCGGTACCGTCGGAGGGGGTTGGGAAGGGAGCGATCCCGGGGCCGCCGTCCGACCGTGCGGAGCCCCGGCGAGCCCGGGCCTGTCGGCTTCTCGCTTTCCGCAGAAATGCCCGGCGAAGCCACAGAAACCGTCCCGGCCACGGAGCAGGAGCTGCCGCAGCCGCAGGCGGAGACAGGTGAGGTGGCGGGGGGGAGCGGCCCCGGCACTGCGGCCGCGGGGGGAAGCGGGGGGACTCCGGGATTCCGGAGGCTCTGGGGGCTCCCGGGCCGTGCCATACTCACTGGCCGAGGACGCGGGGCCCGCGGGATGCCGGGCTGCTCCCAGACCGGAGTGACCTTCCCGTGGGCAAAAGAAATCTGTATTCCGTGCTTTCCCACCCAAAACCGCACCGGTTAGCGCTGCAGAAACGCGACTAAAGAGACGTGATTCGCGGCTCCTTCTGTCACAAAATTTTGGGAGAGCGTTACTTCAAACTATCGTGTCTGTGTTCCTGTTACGGATCAAGAGTGATGGTGCAGCGGGAGGGGGAGGAAAGCGGCCGTGGCCGGGTCGGGGTACGGCCGGGCAGCGACTGGGACAGTCGAGGGCACCTGCAGACGTTAACGACCCCTCAGGTTTGGGAAGACGGCGCGTGGCTCCGTGACGGAAAGTCACAGCCGGGCTGGGGAGCGTTGCTGCACCAGCCTCTCTCTGCCTGGGGGGGAACGGCCCCGGGACTCGAGGCAGCTCAGAAACACCCGTGGGGTGGGGGCCGGGCTCCAGCCTGTGCTGCTGGTTACGCTGCCTTGAAGGTGTGCCAGGCATTGTCACCCAGCCTGGGGGAGCCACACGGCCCATGATGGTGCGTAGGGGTCTGCCCAAAGGGCGTGTTGAGTTTGGGGACCATGAGGGAGGCCAGGGCTTCCCCAGGGTCGGGAGGTGCTGGCAGAAAGCTTCGCTGGTGGCAGCTGTCAGTGTGACAGCCGTGATGTCGGGTCTCAGGGCGCTGCTGTGCTTTTGGTCTCTCTCCAGGCATAGCTGGGATTCCTGTGGTGGGGCCACTTCCCAGCATCTCCCCTCCTCTTCCCAGGACAGCTTTTCTCTCAGTCTCGGGTGACAACTCGCACCTTTTCTCCCCCCCAGGCTCTGCCGCTCTTGAGTCTGTAACAGCTTCATGGGGCACATGTAGGTCAGTACAAGCTGACTGTGGACGGCACGTGCTGAGCAGCAAATGCTGTTAAGAGTATCTTCTCCCCTGGGCCTGGGGGAGCACGGGGGGATCCCAGGAGCCACAGGTGGAGAGTGGAGACAAAGGGTGTGTGTGAGTGCGAGGGCCGCCGCGTTTATCCCATCTCTGCTGAGCCAGTTGTGTGAGATCTGGCAGCACAAGAGGAGCTGGGGATGCTGGTGCAGGGTTGGAAGTCACACCATGGGTGGGAGTTGTCAGGCAGTTTCCTTTGATGTTCATTTGATTCTTTAGAGCTTGGTTGGTCTGTGGAAAGCTTGTGAGGTTGGGCACAGTGGTCTCTAATCCAGCTGCACAGGGCTTCAGCTTTCAGGAGTGGACAGCTGGGCTGCGGGAGGCTCTGTGGCCTGATTGGTTTAAGCATCACTTAAAAATTATATGTGCTTTTTGAGAGTTCTGCGTCTCGCTGTGTTTGCAAGAGGGGCCACGAGAGAGGTGGGGTTGTCAGTGGAGAAGTGGTGAATTGGAAATACCATGCTTGTTGCAGGAACATCCTCAAATGGTGCTGGTGAGGTGTTGGTGGAGATGGAAAAGGAACAGGGATAAACGAGCTTTCCAGAGGAGGCCGTTTTCTGTGAAGGGCTCGGGACCAGCTCAGCTCTTGGCAAAGGGTTGTTGCTCCTTTTTGAGGTGCCAGTAGGTTCCCTGGGGCAGGAATTGTTCTGGTACCTGTTGGCACAAGGCTGAGTGGCTGCCCAGCTCCAGACAGGTTCCCATCTCCTCCCACCACCCTGTGTTTCGGGGTAGGTTGGGGAAATGGGGCGTTCAAGTGTCTTCTGGGCCACTGCGCTTGGGGCAGAGAAGGGGGAGGCTGCTGTGAGTTCCACACACGTGTTAGTGCTCCGGATGGTAGCGAGGCGAGGACCCGAGTCTGTGACAAGCCCATATCGCAGTGTGAGAGGTTTGGGTAGGGGCAGTGGACACGCAGGCAGTGGCAGCCCTGTTGTGAGTTGGTGGGTGACCTGTGCAGCGCTGCCTGTGGCTGCAGCAGCGGGAGCCAGTGCTCTGCATGGAAGTGGGAGGAGATCTGTTGCTTCCTTATCGTGATGGGATCTGCGAACTCAACTGTGATTTGGGCTCCACAGCCGCTGGTGGCTTCTCCTTGGCGGCCGGCCCGGCTGCGCTCCCCTCTGGCAGACGTGCTGGGACAGACGTGCGGGGACACGCTGCCTCCAGGTTGGGGTTGGTGCCGTGGGTGTGGAGCTGCGGAAGGGTGGGTGTGCGGCGGGGCTGGTTCTGCTCTCCCGACCTGCAGCGGTGCCGGTTGTGCTGGTTGGACCAGCGCTGCCCTCCCTGGCTCTCACGGCCTGTTCCCTGGGTGGTTCCCTTTGATCACCAGTTCACGCTGGGAGTGGCCGGGTGCTCTCTGGGCTCTCAGCGCTGGCTGGAGGCGGGTGTGTGCTCTCAGTCGCCAGGACTTGCCTTAATAAACTGTTGTTCTCACCCGTTCAGCTCCAGCTGCCCTTCCTCCCGCAGCCCCTGTTACTGCTACTGTCACAGTGCCAGGTACTCCCGGACCCTCCTCGTTAACACCTCGTGTGCCACATTAACCAGTTTGCTCTTCTGGGTGGTTGCAGTTACATTAACCCTAACAGCTTGCACAGGGGAGCACCGGTCACTCTGCATGGGAGTCAGGGCTCGGGGTCCCATCCCCTCGGTGTGGGTGTGCCACGCCACTCCCTGTGCCTCAGCATCCTCATCCTCAAAGGGCACCTGTCTGCCGGGAGGGTCTGCCTGTGTCACAGCGGGGCTGAAGGGGGGCTGCCCTCTGCCAGAGTGTTCCTGGAACAATTATGCATACCAATCTGTTAAATTTTACTTTTATTTGCAATTCTCGGGTGGGTTCTCATCACCCCGCTGCTCCCACCAGCCCAGGATGTGATTTCCCAGGCTCAGGAGCAGCACTGGGGCTCTGGCCAGGGCTCCGTGAAGGTTGTGGCAACCCCTTTGGTAGGGAAGAGCCAAGGGCAGAGCTGGCAGCAAAGCCAGTGCCGGCCCTGTCAGGTTCCTGTCGTGCCCAGCCCATTTCAGATGCCACCTCCTGCCATGCCAGGGCTTGAAGCCTGGGGTGGCTGTACTGACCCTGGACTGGGTTTTTTCTTCTGTCCCTTGCACCCGTCAGCTAGCTCACACACTGGCACAGCGCGCTCTGTAAAATTCATGCCAGTGTCCAGAAGCAGATGAACATCCTGCTCTGCTCTGGACCTGGCAGACGTTCGTCTGCTGCGTTAGAATCCGGGCACAAAGGCTGGGGGGAAGGCCAGGGCCGGCTGTGCTGGGCAGGCTGCCTTCTCCTGCCTTCTCCCTCTCTCCCATCTCTCACGGGTTCACTCTGTTTCTCTCCTTTAGCTGTTCTTCATGCTGCTCATTCCCCACCTCTGACTCCATCTCCAGGCCCAGCTGGCCAGGCTCTCCCAGCGGAGCCGACCAGCCCTGCTGTGGCTCTGCCTGACCCTGCCAGCCCCCCGGCCCCCATTTCCCCCGCTGTGGTCCCAGCTGCGGCCATCCCCGTGTTTTCTGTTCCCCCCCAGCTCCCTGCCCCAGCTCTGCAGGTCCCAGTTACCACTTCCCCTCCTCCAGCTCCGCAGTCCCCAATGGGTGTTGCAGCCCCAGGATCTCCAGGGCCTGCCCCAGTTAGCCCAGTGTCTCCGGGACTCCCGGCCCCAGTATCTCCTGCTCTGGCTGCTGTTCCTGACACAGTGACAGTAGTTCCCCATGCCACACCTGTGAGCCCTGGTTCTCCTCCTGCAGCTCTTGCCTCTCCTGTGAAAGCTGCCCCTCCTGCCACCCCTCTGAGCCCCACAGGAGCTGCAGCCCCGGCTCCTCTCCCTGGCCCCAGGGCAGCCTGTGCTCCTTCCCGAGGCCCTGGGGCAGCCCCGGTTGTTCTCCTACCACCCCCTTCCCTTCCCCTTGCCGCATTTCCCCCTCCAGCGTTCCTGCCCGCTCCCGCTGTGCCTCCCGAGGCTGCAGCTTGTCCCCAGAGCCCAGGCTCTCCTCTTCCTGCAGCAGCCCCTCTCTGCCCTGTCATGGCACCAGTAGCGGCTGCCCCGGCAGTACCGGTGTCTCCTGGCAGCCCTGCCTCCACCCCGCTGGCTCCTGTTTCGGCCTCTCCCCTGCCCCCCCTCACTCCTTCCCAGTGCCCAGCCCTGGCCAGTGCCATCTCTCCTCCTGCCTTCCTGGCTGCCCCCCTGGCCCCGCTGTCACCCCATGCACCTCTGGTGCCAACTGGGATGTCTCCTGGTAGTCCTGCTGCTACCCCACAGGGCCCAGCCCCAGGTGCTCCAGTCTCTCCACTGGTTCCAGCTGCTCCATCTGTTGCCAAGACCTGTCCCATAGGTCTTGCCCCAGTGGCCCCAGCGGTGGGGGACCCGGTCCCACCCTCCGTGGCCAGGACACCTCCTGGGAGCCTGGACCCTCTGGCAGCGCCTGCCTCTGTGGCAGTTCCCGTGGCTCCTGTCCTGTCCACACCTTCTCTGGGAGCTGCCACGTCTGCCCCAGAGCCACCAACAGCAGCAGCCACGGCTGCTTTGGCCAGAGCAGCTCCAATGAGCCCTGTCTCCCCACCAGCAGCTCCTGTGCCTGCTGCCCTCTCTGTCCCTGCCAGCTCCCCACCTGTCACACCGGCAATGGCAGCTCCGGCCACCCCTCCTGGGGCCAAAGCGGCTCCCGTGAGCCCTGTCACTGCCCCATGTGCCACCCCAGCCCCTGCCACACCAGCTCCTGCAGCTCCACCATCTCCAGCTGCCCCTCCTGCAGCCAAATCCCTTCCCATAAGCCCGATCTCTGCCCCCTCTGCCAGTTCCCTGCCTGTCACACCGGCGATGGCAGCTCCGGCCACTCCTCCTGGGGCCAAAGCAGCTCCCATGAGCCCCGTCACTGCCCCGTCTGCTCCTTCAGCCCCTGCCACCTCAGTTCCTGCAGCTCCACCGTCTCCAGCTGCCCCTCCTGCAGTGAAATCACCTCCCATGAGTCCTATCTCTGCCAGTTCCCTGCCTGTCACACCGGCAGTGGCAGCTCCGGCCACCCCTCCTGGGGCTAAAGCAGCTCCCGTGAGCCCTGTCACTGCCCCATCTGCTCCTTCAGCCCCTGCCACACCAGCTCCCGTGGCTCCACCATCTCCAGCTGCCCCTCCTGCAGCCAAATCACCTCCCATGAGCCCAATCTCTGCCCGCTCTGCCAGTTCCCCACCTGTCACGCTGGCAATGACAGGTCCAGCCACCCCTCCTGGGGCCAAAGCAGCTCCTGTGAGCCCTGTCTCTGCCCCGTCTACTTCTGCCCCTGCCTCACCAGCTCCCGCAGCTCCACCATCTCCAGCTGCCCCTCCTGCAGCCAAATCCCTTCCCATGAGCCCAATCTCTGCCCCCTCTGCCAGCTCGCCACTTGTCACACCGGCAATGACAGGTCCAGCCACCCCTCCTGGGGCCAAAGCAGCTCCTGTGAGCCCTGTCTCTGCTCCGTCTACTTCTGCCCCTGCCACACCAGCTCCTGCAGCTCCACCAGCTCCTGCTGCCCCTCCTGCAGCCAAAGCAGCTCCCGTGAGCCTGGTTGCTGCCCCCTCCACTCCCTCTGTACCTGCCAGCTCCCCACCTGTCACACCGGCGATGGCAGCTCCAGCCACCCCTCCTGGGGCCAAGGCAGCTCCCGTGAGCCCCATCACTGCCCCGTCTGCTCCTTCAGCCCCTGCCACCTCAGTTCCTGCAGCTCCACCATCTCCAGTTGCCCCTCCTGCAGTCAAATCACCTCCCATGAGCCCAGTCTCTGCCAGCTCCCCACCTGTTACACCGGCAATGGCAGCTCCAGCCACCCCTCCTGGGGCCAAAGCAGCTCCCGTGAGCCCTGTCACTGCCCCATCTGCCCCTGCCGCACCGGCGATGGCAGCTCCACCAGCTCCCACTGCTCCCCCTGCAGCCAAAGCAGCTCCCAAGAGCCCTGTTGCAACCACACCAGTTCCTGCAGCTCCACCAGCTCCAGCCGCTGCCCCTGCAGCAAAAAAGCCTCCTAAGAGCAGCCCTGTTGCTCCCCCATCTGCTCCCTCTGCCCCTGCTACTCCAGTGCTGGTGGCTCTGCCAGCTCCAGCTGCCCCCCCTGCAGCCAAAGCACCTCCCAAGGGCCCTGCTGCAGCCACACCAGCTCCAGCCACCCCCCCGGCACCTGAAGTGGCTCCCGAGAGCCCGCCAGCCCCCACCCCGGTACCTGGCATGCCAGCTCCTGCTCCAGGCACAGCTGCCCCAGCCCCAGGGGTTCCTGGTGGCCCCCCAAAGCCATCGGCTAATCGTCCTGCCCCTGCTCCCCAGAAACCACAAGCCACCCTTCCTGGCTCTGCCCCAGCAGGTAAACACCCCCCCGCTGCCTCTCCTGCACCAAGCGTTCCCCCCACGAAGAAGCAGACCCCTCCCAGTAAGGTCACCAAGCTGGCCCCCCGCCCTCCCCCATCCAAGCCCCCCTCAAAGGCCCCGGCCCCCATCAGCGCTGCCATCGACGACGACGACCTGCCGCCTCTGATCCCCCCAGAGCTGCCCGCTGCCGAGCCGCTGGTGCAGCCCATCCTGGTGGACCTCTCTCCCCGAGCAGCCGTGGCCCCCGCTGAGGCCGCTGCTCCTCCGGCCAAGCAGCCTGTCCTGAAGAATGACAAGGGTACTTGCCGCCGCGGTTTGCCGTGTGCATGGAGTGTCACTGGCTGCCCACTGGATACTAACCCGAATACGGGGCCCGGGTGCCCCTACATCGCTTGGTGTGTCGGTCTAGTCAAGTAGTCTGCGGAAGTGCCGCGGCAGAGGCAGGCCTGAACCATGCCAGAGCAAGCTCAGCCTGCCCGAGCAGCCGGTGAGCCGGGGAAAGGAGATGCCCCGTGGCCACAGGTTCGGCATGGTGCAGTGCCAGCGGGTCAGTGTCACTAATGCGCGTTCTCGGGCACGGAGCACGGTGTGGTTTGTGGTGTGGGCGCTGCGACTGTTGCCTGATCTGGCTTCACACTGAGGCTCTGGGAAGAGCTGCCATGTGCCTGTACTCTGTTGTGTGTGTGTGTGGTGTCCACCGTGGTTTTCCCCGTGTCCGTCTGCCAGCGAAGGAGCGCTGCGGGCAGTGCTGATGCCAGAACAGGCCTGTCCCCACGCTCTGGGGAAACTCCTTTGCCTGCCTGAGCTGTTGGGATCCCCCAGGCACGCACCGACAGCCTGCAGAGAGCTTTGCCAAAGGCTCCTGCGTGCTCAGCGTGGCTGTGGGCAAGAGGCCCTTTCCAGGGAAGGAAACGGGACCGAATTCAGGTAATGGCTGCGTGAGAGGGTGTCATGGTCACCCTCTGGCCTCCTCTGAGGCTGGAGACACCTGTCTCTGCTTTGTTCACTCCTGTGTGGTCAGACATGGCTGTGCCGTGGTTCGCAAGCTAATGGTGGCACTGCAGCAGTGGCGCAGGAGCTGGCAGCCCTCCGAGCCTCCCGGGCCACAGCAGCTTTCAGGACCTGGCACAGAGGTCAACCTGAGAGCAGAGGCCCACCTGAGCATCCAAAGATGCCGTTCCCTGATGGGGGTTTTCAAGGTAATTGCAAATCATCTCCCGTAGTGGAGTCATGGAAAGGTGCAGCAGCCCTGGGGACTTGGTGAATTGGGTCTTGTTTCTGTGCCATGTGGCTGAGCTCCTGCAGCATCAGCATCACTGCTGCCTGAGTGTGCTCGAGGGGCCCTGAGGGAGTCCCTGTCAGTGCCAGGCTGCTGCCGGCTCAGGGAGCGCTGCCCTGCGCTCCTGCCCGAGCCAGGCTGGCGCACTGGCCAGTGTGGTGCCTCAGACTGGGGGAGCAGCTCAGGCTGGGGCTGCCTCCTGGGGACTTGGTGTTCTGGAGCCAGCCTCCGGGCACCCGTGGTGCTTGGGCACCCGGCTTCCACCATGGTGAGAGTGCTCAGAATAGGCTCTTGGGCCACCTGCTGCTGATGGCGTTTGGGGTTGCAGAGAGAGCTCCTTCCACCAGACACTGCTTAACCATGCTAACTGGAACCTGCATCAGCACTCACAACCCCCGGCAACGAAGGCTGCACCGAAGCAGTGTGGTTCTTTGATCTTGCCGTGTCCCCAGGACCTGCCTGAGCTGGAAAGAGTGATGTGTTTTTGTTTCTGTAGGGTCTGGAACAGAGTCTGACAGTGATGAATCCGTACCAGAGCTCGAAGAGCAAGACTCCACACAGGCCACAACACAGCAGGCACAGGTAGGGCAGGTGGCATGTGCCAGCCACATCCCTGCACCCAGCAGCTGTGGAGCAGGATCGCTGCTGGTGCTGTCCACTGCAGTCCCAGGATTCTCATGGGTCCCTCTTGTTTTCTCTCCTTGCAGCTTGCAGCAGCAGCTGAAATAGATGAAGAACCTGTTAGCAAAGCAAAACAGAGCCGGAGTGAAAAGAAAGCACGGAAGGTAAGGTGGGATGATGGATGGACCAAACCCGTGTACAGCAAACAGCCTGCCCGTGGACACCTGAGCTTTGCCTCAGGGTCTGGCACAGTATCCCCAAGTGCAGGGGTCTTCGCCCAGTGAACCCTGTTCAGGGCTGCAGCTCCTCGCCTCCTGGTCCTGTACACTAGCAGCCGGGCATTTGGGAGCCGAGGGGTTTGTGCGACTTTCTACCCCCCCAGGCAGGGGGATGCCCCATTCATGGGAAAAATCCTTGTGTCTGGGGGCGGCTCGGGGCTGTGCTGTCGATGTCACCAGTCCTGGGACTGGAGTTCCCTCTCAGGCTCCCAGTGCAGTGTCAAGGCTAAAAGCCCAGGAGTGCTTCTCTGCAGCAGTTAAATGCACATTTTCATTTGTGTGAGCGCACCGATCATTGGACCCAGGTCTCTGGAGAGCAGATGAGCAGATGCATCTTTTCACAGGCTGGGCTGTCTCAGTAACTTCTCTTTCCCTCACATGTTCCTCTCGTGTTATTCAGGCAATGTCTAAACTGGGCCTTCGCCAGGTGACAGGAGTAACCAGAGTCACTATCCGGAAATCTAAGAACATCCTCTTCGTCATCACAAAGCCAGACGTGTACAAGAGCCCAGCGTCAGACACCTACATAGTCTTTGGGGAAGCGAAGGTGAGCCGACTGCGTGGTGTCTGGCAGGCCGCTTGGCTGCGGTTCCTCCTTGCCACCCGTGTGCCGCGGCTGCTGCCGGTGGATCCCAGCTGCCATGTGCCCCCCCGAGGGATGTGGGCAGGCCCGGGGTCTGTGCTGAGCGCCGGCTTCCCAGCTGGGTGGCACGGCAGAGCCGTTCGATGTGCCGGCACCGCTGCAGCACGTGGAGCACAGCTGCGGCTCTGAGCCTGCCTGCTGACACCCTGCTCTGCTCAGGGCTGGCCTCACTTACGCTTCTTCCCTTCTCCAGATCGAAGACCTGTCCCAGCAGGCCCAGCTGGCAGCTGCTGAAAAGTTCAAAGTGCAAGGAGAAGCTGTTTCAAACATCCAAGAAAACACACAGACCCCCACCGTGCAGGAGGAGAGTGAGGAAGAGGAGGTACGCCTTCCACAGCCTGTCTCAGCAGGGCTGGGCGCTTCACTGCGGACCTGAGCCGACCGCAAACCATCCAGAGTTTGTGTTAAGACCAGTGGTTTTCTGTCCTTCATCCACATCTTTGCCATGATGGCGAAGGGAGGGTGCTGGGTCCTTCGCCTGGAGGATCCTGTCCTGGGCACTGCCAGGAGACTGTCCCCAGGGCTGGGCAGTGCCCAGACTTGCTTCCCAGCTTCCGTGTGGCCTGAGTGGGAGCTGCCCCAATCCAGACAATCCCATCTTCCTCTGCCAGGCACAGAGCAAACCATGTGTCGGGCTGGCATGAATCCCGGGCTTTTGTCTCCTTTAGGTTGATGAAACCGGTGTTGAGGTGAAAGACATTGAGCTGGTGATGTCGCAGGCGAACGTGTCCCGAGCAAAGGCTGTCCGTGCCCTGAAGAACAACAGTAACGATATTGTAAATGCTATAATGGTGAGTGTCGGTGTGGCCAGGCGGGCCTGGCGCTGGGGGAGGAGGGATAACAGCTTGCGGTGGGATGTCCCTGGGGGCGGCAAGTGGAGGGATGTGCCTCCCGTGTCGGCGGCCAGGCTGGGGGCTCGGGGCTGCCTGGCCCCTAACACACCGTTTCTCTCTGCAGGAATTGACGATGTAGCCGCCAGAGGGAGGGGCCTTTTTTGGTGTTTCAGAGAAGAGTAAAATGTGACTAAATTTAAAATTTGTACTATTTCTATCAATTAATAAAAGTTGTGGCTTATTGTTGGTGAAACACTTTCTGCTCTGTGTTGGCTTTGCTGCCCTCCCCTCCCTGGTAGCCGAGGCCCCAGGGTGGAGCCTTCCTCCCGGGAAGATCTCAGGCCCGATACCCTGTTCTGTCCGGCCGCAGCGGAAGAACACCTGCCCATTCCCTCATTTCCTTCCTGCTGCGAAAGTCTGCTGGCCGTGAGCGCCGGCGCGGTGCCTGGGACACTGGGCTCAGGGATGCGAGGAGTCCGCTGCAGGGCGTCACCTCCACCATCCCCCCGGGTTCCCTTTGGTGACCGTAGGCTTCTCCTCGCTCTGCTGCAGCCGCGGGGCATTGCGCACCATCCAGCCTGATCCAAAGGGAGACTGAGGCTCATCCGGCTTCAGCCTGGCCGTTTCAACCGGCTGCCTTGCTGGAGTGGGGCCGTGCTCTGTCGGGCCTGTGGGAAGCCTGTGTCACCCAGAAAGCTGCTGCTTGCAGGCGGCGGGAGCCTTCCCCCCACCTCGCAGGGGAGTGAGCTGACATCTGCCCACCCACGGCCCTGAGTCCCACAGAATGCAGAGGCTGGAGCTGTGGAAAAGGGCACCTTGCTGCTGTCCAGTGGCATTTTTTCTCCCTTGCGCCATAAAAGCCAGGTTTTGGAACAGCTCGTTAAAGCTGTTGAGCGACACGGCCACGCAGGCCACTGGCGAGAAGCCTGAGAGGAAATAACGGGCGATGTCGACCGGGAGCCCTTTGTCACCCCAGCGCGAGGGGCTGCGAGGGCAGGCGGCCACGGCCCAGCCCGTGGCGGGGGGATCGAGCGGTGGCCTGGCACAGCGGCGCTTGGCAGTTTTAATTAACAAACCGGAGCGCTGCTGGCGCGGGGGTCAGCAATGGGGTTTCAGAGCAGCTCCCGGCTCCACAGGGTCAGAGCTGGAGCCCCGGCGAGGCCCCGTCTGCTCGGTGCAGCTTGTTTTCAGCTCGGTTCCCCCCCCCCCCACCATGTTCCTCCCCGCTGGCCGCGAGCAGCGCTTTGTGTCTGATGTGGCGCAGGGTTTTGTGATCTGGTTGCTCGGTGGGCAGGCGCTCCGCGGCACCGGGAGCTCCGGACTGGTACGGCGGCACAGCGCGGGCTCTGCTGGGTGAAGGGCGGCCCTGGCCCGGCCCCGGGTCCGGCCCTGGTAGGCAGCGTGCGCTCCGGCACGCCGGTGCGGGCAGCCCTGGGCCGGCCCGGGAGGGTTAACGCGGCCCCGGGGCCGATTGGAGCCGGGCTCCGCCGGGTGCGAGAACGGGGCCCCAGGACGGGTCCGTGCCCCGGTGCTGCGGCCGCCGGTCCCGGGAGCGGAGGGCGGGGCGCTGAGCCGTCGCCACGGCAACCTCCGGCCCCGCCCAGGGGCGGTCCCGGTCCCCAACGCGCCTGCGCGGCGAGAAGCTGCTAGAAGGGAGGAGGGAGCGGGGGGCGCGCGCGGCGGGCGGCGCGCATGCGCGGCGGGCGGCGGCGCGGCGGGGATTTTGCTGCGTCACCAGCGCCTGGGCGCCGCCGCTGCCCGAGCGCGCGGGGCATTGTGGGAGCGAGGCCGCGCCGAGCCCCGGAGCCCGCCGCCGCACGGCCCTGCCCTGCCCGCTCCCCACCCCGCCGCACCGAGCTGCACCCGCCGCCGGGACCCGCCTCCTTGCAGCGCCAGCCGGAGCCGCCGCCGTTCGCCATGTGAGGCCCGGGGGGGTGGGGAGCGGCGGGGGCGCGCGGCGCGGCCTAGCCCCACCGGAGGCCGCGGCCTCGCCGGGACCCCGCGCCCGGCGGTGGGGGGAAGGAGGGAGGAGGGTAACGGGGCGCGGACTCCCGCGTGGTGACCTTGGCCGGCCCCGCCGCCGCGGCCCGGGGTGACTACGGGCGCTCTCCCCGGTGGTGACGGGGGGGGGGGGGGGGGAGGGAGGGGGGCGGCTCCGGTCGGGCCGGTTCGCCCGTTTTTACCCCGGCGTGAAGCGAACGGGACGTGGATGTCCCGGCCCCGCCGCGGGTCCCGCGTGTGCCGAATGAATGGGGCTGAGGCGGGGCGGGAAGGGGCCGCCCGCCGCGGGGTGTGGAGCCTGCCCGGCGCTGGCGCCCGCCGAACGGCGGCGGGAAAGTGCGAAACGTTCCCGGTAAGTAAATGCGTCTGGCCGGCCGTAACGCGCAGGCACGCAAGTGGTTTGTTGATCTGTGTAGAAGCTTTCACCTTTCTACATTTAAAAAAAAAAAAAAAAAAAAAAAATGTGAGAAGGCGCTTCTCCGGAGCATTTGTGAGAGCGGGAAGCCCCTTCGCAAAACGCCCTGGGGGGAGCGGGCGGCCCCAGGCGCTGCTGCTGCCCCCCCCGCGGTGAGCTGCTGCCCGGGGGGAGAGGAGCCGACGCCGGGATTTCATCCCCGAGCACTGCCTCCCGTCTGTCCCGAGCGGAAACCTGCGCTCCGGAGAGCCCTGACACCGCAGGCGTGCTCCTGCTGCGCTGGGGAGCCCTAATTAGCTCACTTTATTGTGATTCTATTGAGGCTGCTTCAGTGACCCAAAACTGGTGGATGCTGCTCATAACAGAGCTCCAGGTGATGAGCGTTCGCTCGCTGTGCAAATGAAAGAGGAGCCGAACTTTGCGGCGTGATGCTTTGAAGAGCAGAATCTGACTGCTAAGGAAGAGGCGCGCTGCCATCGGGCAGTGTTACCCACTGACAGTCTGGATTTCCATGTGTTTGGCTTAAATGACTGAAGGTGGTAGCACTTTCCTGAGGTTTTTGTTCGTCAGAAAGGTTGGTCTGCTGCAGGTACTGAGGAGAGCATTGCCACTCGGTGAAACAACCGGTGTGACCGGTTGCTTTTTGCCCCCTTGTCCCAGTGAGGCATTTACTTCAGCCCAGCTGTTCTGAAACTGAATTGTGCGGCTGCTTCATCTTAACATGACTGAAAGTGAGAAGGATGTAATAAAGTTGGGAGTTTTTCATTTAATGTCTATAGAATACCTCATCTTGAAACTACAGTGCTACTACATCCCACTTAAAATTGTCTGTAGTCTGAAACTAGTTTTTTTTTTTTTTTAATTAAAAAAGCATTTCCAGAATGTGTAAATGAAAGCAAGGCTAATTATGTAAAACAGATTTCTTACTGTTGTGAGGGTGTAAAAAATCCTGTTCAGCAGACAACTTTTGTAGCAGCCTCGAACTGTAGGAATTGTCAGGATACTTTCCAGGAGACAAAGATGGGCTTCTGAAAGGCGCAGTCTGTGGAGCGGACAAGGACGGGTTTGGAAACTTCTTGAATCGCACCGAGCCGCAAACAGTAAGGCTGGAGATTCAGCTCATGAGTACTGCATGTAAGAAGCTGCTTCTGTGACTGTGGTTAAGCTGGAGACGGTGGCATCTGCAACAGAACTGCAGCTCCTGGTGGTGTGGGCAGCCCCAGGGCCGGAGGGAGCTGCAGGGTCTCTTGGGTGAAGCTGAGCCTGCACGTCGCCCATCAGTGGGAAAGCGCTGCTGTGAAGCTTCTAGAACCTGATCTACAATACTGTTGTCGTGATTGCCTTCTGAATGTGGTGACTGGAAGAGACTGTCAGATGCAGATGCGTGGTGGCCGTATCTGTTTAGGAAGTCACCAAAATGTGCGGGTGACAGCAAGTGTAGATTTGACAGAAGAAATCCTCACTGAGTGTGTAACATAGGCAACTTGTCCCCTGGGCTGTAAGCTACTCTCAGTCTGCTACAGTTTATTGCTGCACGGGATATAGCACATTTAAATCTCCATTTCAAAGAAATCTAAATGCTGTTAGGATGTGGGGACGATACCTAACCAAAGCACATACTCAGGTTGATGCTGTTGGCATAAGGCTGAAGTCCCTTGGGATTAGTTTGGTTGAGCAAGGAGGAGGAAACGTGTAACGAGTGACCGTGCTTAAAAGTCCTGGCAGTGTTTCTCTGTAAAGAGAGAAATTTTCTGTGGGTGTAGGGGAACCATCTCTGAAATGCTGGGAGCATGTGCATGCTTTACGATTGGCTTCCGCGTGTGCAGTTGTCTCCTAGGAATCTCCGTGTAGGCAGGCAACGCAAATTAGCTGCAACTTCCGTCTCATTCCTAACCTTGGTTAGCAGTTCCAACGTATCCTGCATTACTGGTTTGAATGGTAAGTCCTGACTAAAGCACTTCACAGACAGCCAACAGCCAACGGAAGGTTTCCATTCTCCCTTTGGGAGGATGAGAGATTTGAAAAACAGATAAAAAGAATGAGAGGCAACTGCAGCATAGCTTTCATTACGGTAGGCACGTTCAGGGTGGTAAGTGCTAAGTATCTGGGGAGGCAGCATGCCTTTAGTGTTAGAAACATGAATTATGTTCTAGTAAATTTTCTTTGGTCATTTAATTCCACTCTGTAGCTCAGATGCATGCGAGTTTCCTTCAGCTCTAGGACAGTTCAGAGTTCAGTGAGATTTTTGGAAGTTCTGTGAACAGACTGTTGGTGCCTGAAAACCCCTAATCTTGGCAGAGATACTGAGGTCATGTCCAAACCAAAGCTACAAGGCTGAGGAATGCATGCAGCTCCCTGGGAAGGCTGGAGATATCTCCATTGACATTGAAAACATTTGTGAAGTGTTCATGCTATTCAGCAGGAGCCCCTGAATCATCGTGGGCAGGGACACTGAGATTTCTGTTCTGATAACAGTGTGTTTGAGTGATGTACCAAGTTCTACGCAGTGGGATTTTTATCTTCCAGCGGCGTGAGAAATGGCTGCTGCACAGTTCCCAAATGCAGAGGCGCACACAGAGGGAACAGAGCAGGTCATTTCTCATCTTCTTTTTTTCCCCTCTGAGAGTCTTTCTTTCCTTATTAGAAGAGGAGACTTGTGTCCAATAAAGAACTAAAAATACCATAATAAGAAAATTGCTACTCTGCTCTTCTTAACCTGAATAAGTAGATGCTGTAGCATTTCCTAAAATGCTGCTAAAAGGGAAAGTGTTAGGTGTTCACCCAGTGGGACAGTATCTTACTTGAAACTACAAGTTGCATTCAGAAACCACTTGGGTTTTATGCTCTCAGAAGTTAAAATGCTCTGTTACTGGCCTCTGATCAGGTGTTTTCTGCACTTAAAATGGGTGCTAATGCTGGAACAGGCAGTCACGGCCACTTCTGCTGCTGTACTGGCCTTTGAGCTGTCACCAGTGCTTGTACAGCTGAATTGCAAAGTCTTGCAGTGCTGATGGAGCTCAAAGCTGGCTACTCTGGGGTTCACCCAGGTCTGGGTTGGGTCATGCTTCAGCTTATCCTGCAGATCCGTGGGTGGGGAGCAGGGCAGCAGCGGGCTGTGGGGCGAGAGACCAGGGCCGCTCTGGGCAGCGGTGCAGCACTCGGTAAGTGACTCTACTAAACGTGTCACAGTTGGATACCAGGGATTGAACTGGTTGATCAGGTGAGTCAAAATCTGTTGTGAAAGTTTAGCAACGGTCACCTTCATAAATGTTCTGAAAAGTTAATTACTCTTCTGTCAGGTTATTGTGCTGTAATGCTTAGAGTGCGATACTGGGACCAAACATCCACTCCTTAGTGTGTGAAGTGGAAGCCACTCTGTCACGTAGAATTAGGAATGTTGGCTTTCTTTGTGTCCTCGTCTGCTTTAGCTTCCTGTAGTCACTGTAGTCGCGATAAATATCGCGGTAAGTGACCATTCAGCTCAGAACATTTAACTTCAGTCCCACTTGCGGTTAGGTCTTTGAGGTCTCCTCTGCAGGGGCATTAGCTATGAAACCCCAGCTTTGATCTTGCACCTCTGGAAGATAGCCGAAGTGGGAGAAGCACCCGTGGTGTTCTGTGCCTTAGCAACGGCAGCTCGCTCGCGCTGGGTGGCTGTTTGCTTTCTCCTGGAATGCAGGCATGCAGTTGTGGGCTTGGCCTGAGTTGCCAGGAGAATAACTGAAAGCGGTGGGGAGTCGGTGACCGAGCCAGGGCCGCGTTTGCCGGCCCATCGACTATGGACGCACTTGCATGTTGCAGGTGAGTTCTTGCTGTAGAACTGCTAACGTGCAAGAGTTGGTCAAGAGCCCTGCAGCATTTTCTGATGCCCTGGACAGGCTGTTGCTTGTTGTGGTGTTTGTGGAGAGCCAGGAGGATACCAAGGGGCATGAGAGTTAGTCTGTGTACCTAGAAGGTTGTAGCAAGATGTGAGAACGGTGATTCTCCAGCCCTTGCGCCTGTACGGACTTCACCTGGGTCTTGCTCATAGCACATTTGTTGAACGGTCCATTTTTTAATAGTGTCAATGTCCAGAAAAGTGAGATTTCTGGTGGTTGTGCTTTCCTGTTTTAACTCCTTGGGTGATAAAATGCATAATGAAGTCTGCCTATGTAGCTGTTGGAGGTAACTGGAATTTTGTCATCATCTGTAGTAGCTTGTCTGGAAAAGTTTGTCATTATTTTGATTTGCTGTAATATTTATTTTAGTCTCATAGGCTTTGATAGCTTCTTCAGGGAACATCAGCATGAGCTTTTGGGGGGCATTATGCAGTGAATGCCGTGTATCTCTTTATTCTTCACATCCTTTTTCATCCTTAAGCAGCTTTTAAAGATTATTAAGAAGCAGCTAGTAATGCAGCTTTTAAGAACAGGAAGAAGTCTTTTAGTTGAACTTCTCTAAATGCAATAAAAAAAATTAAACTGCTCAAGTTGTGTATCAGGAGAAATGTAAGGAAAGCCAATGTTAAGTTTACTGGCAGCATGGAAGGGTGAGTTTTAAAATTTTTTCAATATTGAAAGATAGGAAGCTTGATTTGAACTTCTCTTAAATGGTCTGTTTACAGGCAGCCTGCTTCTGCAAAGTGGTACGACCGAAGGGACTATGTCTTTATTGAATTTTGCGTTGAAGACAGTAAAGATGTTAATGTAAATTTTGAAAAATCCAAACTTACGTTCAGGTAAGTACCTTGGGCCTTGACAAAACTGAAAGGCACAGGGGGATACCTAAAGGCTCTGCTGGTACTGATTAGATGACTTTTTTTCTTAAAAGTAACAAGTTCTGTTAAGCATGTTTGTTCTATAAAATGTTTCATGCTAAACACAAACTTTTTTTTGTTTCTCTTAACAGTTGTCTTGGAGGAAGTGATAACTTTAAACATTTAAACGAAATTGACCTTTTTAATAATATTGATCCAAATGTAAGTACCCTCTTGGCTCTCCTCTTACAGTGTTTTTAGTGCTGTATCCTGAAAAATACTGTCTGCTCTTCAGGTTGCTTCCACTATTGTGGGCAAATTGTTCCTTAGTCTGTAAGAGCCTGCTTAACGCTCAGATCCATGGAAGCATCTCTGGACATTATTTTTTCAGGACAGAATAAGTTGATAGCTTAAGACAAATGAGTTTAATATAAACGGTTTGTGATGATTGTATAACAGATATTTGCTCTTTTCTTTTTCAGGAATCAAAGCATAAAAGAACAGACAGATCTATCTTGTGTTGTTTACGAAAAGGAGAATCTGGTCAGGCATGGCCAAGGTTAACAAAAGAGAGGGCAAAGGTGGGTCTGGGCTCCGTGATGGCCAGGGTGGGGAGTGCCTGTTGCCTCTGCTGGTTTTTAATTTTGTTTAAGATTTGGGTCGTGTTTAAATTACATAGCAGTTAATGGGTCACTTCTGATCAGAGCGGCAGTTCTTATTAACCTTCCTTTTCTAACAGTAACAGCTTGGTACTACTTGCTTGTCCTTAAATAACTTCTTGTGTTGATGTGCAGCTCAACTGGCTCAGTGTGGACTTCAACAACTGGAAAGACTGGGAAGATGATTCAGATGAAGACATGTCCAATTTTGATCGCTTTTCTGAGGTACGGGAGGACGAGTGCCTGGAGGTTTGGGTTTCCTTCTGGGCTGCGTGTAGGCAAGCAGGGATTGACAGCCGTGGGCAGAGTCGTCTCCCTCAGCGTTCCTGGTGCTCTCCAGGCCGCTGCTCTCGGCGCAGCCGCTGCCAGCTCCAGCGCGGAGATGGACGGTTTATGTTTGTTACCAGCTGCAAAACGGATGTTGTGTCCCATCATAGGTGCCGGTGCTAACTCTGTGCACTGGTTGGCTTGGCAAGGCAATTAATTTGAATATTTTTTTGCATGCTCACCTTGTAATTTTTGCATGGGGGCAGCTGATTTGTCAAAACAACCGGTGGCTGTTGGTTATAACAATTTTAAGCTATTTTTAGATTTTTTACAGTGCTCCCCTAGTTCACGTAGAGAGTGCGGTTGGCTTCACCCTGTTAACTTGGCTATTGTCTCTCTCTGGAACAGATGATGAACAACATGGGCGGAGATGACGACGTAGACTTGCCAGAAGTAGATGGGGCAGATGATGTAAGTACTTTACGGTACATAGGTGCAGCTCAGCTCCCTGCACATTCATTGCTGCTTGCTGAAGTCAAACTTGCACTCCTGCTTCAGCACTGTTAAAAGCTCAAATGGCACCAGACCTTGTCTGGACAAATGATGTCACCTGGCAGAGTCATCCTCCTGCCCTCCGTCAGTGGTGCCGAGGGCCGCTGGTGTGTCATGGCTTGTGGTGTCACCTGCCTCCGCGGGGACCACCGGCTGTTGCAGGTCTGCAGGCTCTGTCCTGTGGAACCTGGAGTTCCCCAAAATGCTTTGGGAACAGCAGCTCGCCCGTGGGGTTAGTGGTGGCAGAGGGAAGAGTGCCTTCCAACGCAGTTGGCTCCAGTTCATGTTTCTTCTTCTTTCCAGGACTCACCAGACAGTGATGACGAAAGTAAGTCTGCGCTCTCGTTGGTTTCTGTGCGCTGTGCAGCAGTGCGAGTGCTTGCTGCGGGGGCCTTGGGCAGAGCCGGCAGCTGCTCGCCCTGTCAGCTGCCAGCTAAGGCCAGTGCCTTGCCTGAGCGCTGCGAGACAGTACAATCTAGTGAAACCCTTTCCACACAAGTGTGAAATACAAGCTTGACCTTCCCAGCCAGCTGTGGTTCTGGGGAGGCTTTGGCTTTAGGAGCAGCGGGGGCGTGCACGGGGCTGTCGGTGTGTGATGGCTCGGGGAACCCGGGCGCTCGCGGCCGTGGCTGAGCCCAGATCTCCCTCATGAGGAAGCGGGGGCCTTAAGCCCCCCGTGCCCTTGGCTGAGGGCTGGATCCTCCTGCTCGTGGCCCGTGTGATAGAACGGGGCTGCTGGCAGCGCTTAAAAAACAAAACCAAACAAAACAACCCCCAACCACCATTCCATTAACGCTCTTCTCTTTCTCTCTAGAAATGCCAGATCTGGAGTAAGGAAAACTGTCGTCTTCAGGGTTTGGGGGAAAGAACTTCATCACAACATTTCATAATTGAGATAAGAATTCCTGAGTTGATAGCCCTAAAGGGAGATCCTGCATCCTTTAACCCATTTTCAGTCCATTTTAAATGGCTTCACTGATGGTAGGTGTGTACCATTGCACGGGGCGGTCTTAAGCCACGAGAGGCAATAACGTTATGCATGAACCGTTTTCCAGACTTCCAAAAAAACCCAATTGAGGTGTAGGCAATCGATACAGAACAGTTGCAATAAAGTTTACAGAGCCTCCTTGCCTCGTAGCAGATGTAATTACAATGGGAGAATCCTGAATTTACACCAAGTGGTAAATGAGCATAATTTTTTTTTTTTTTCCCCTCTGCGGCCTGAAATTGGACGCTTGTACCGGGAACAAAAATAGCTGAAACAAGGCTGTTGTGATTGGCTCACAAAATTCGGCAGGTGATGCGCAGTACCTCTGTGGTGTTTTCAGGTCTGTTCCACTAAAGTTTGTATTGGAAAAAAACCCTAAAATTCTCCTCATTTGGTGTTTAATCTGAGTCACAGGTGGCTGGAGCCTGTCCCCTGGTACCGTTTGACCCCAAAGCTTTCCATCTCCCCATCCGGGGTGTGAGTGGCTGTACGTCTTGCTTGTCCATCTGTACGTTTAGACCAAATCGTATTTGCACTGTGGGTGTGGAAGCGAGTGACAGACCGTTGGGCGTACACGCGCGGGCGGCTTCTAACCGGGCTGAAAAAACCTCAATTTATGTTCAGAGCAGCGGGGAATTTTTTTAATGTCTACATTCTTTCTAATAAACTGTTGAAGACTCCCTGGCTCTCCTCCTGCCTGGGCTCAGACGGATCGGGGCCGGGGAGGCGCGGGGGGTGGGGGGTGGGCAGCGGGGCCCGATCCTGGGCCCGCTCCCGGTCACGGTGCCCGCCCCAAGGACAAGCGCGGGACACGTGCGCTGCTGCTTCCGGCGCGGCCCGCCCCTTCCCGCCAGTCCCGTCCTATCGCGTCACGGCGTTCCCTGACGGATACAGCCGCCGCCCAATAGCGAGCAGGCGCAAAGCGAGCGACTCGGCGAGCCCGGCCAATGGGAGAACGAGTGCGGGCGGCGCGGCGCCCAATGGGCCGGCGAGGAGCGCCGCGGGCCCGCCCCGCGGGGGCCGTGTGGGGCGGGCGGGCCGCGGGGGCTCAGTCGGCGCCGCCATGTTGGGGTTGGCGGGTCGGTGCTCGGCGATCGCCGCCGCCGCCGCCCGGCCGCTGCTGCGCCGTGGGGCCGGGCCGCGGCGCGACCTCCTGCCGCTGTTCCTCAGCCGCGGGGCCGGCCCGGCCGCCGCCGCCGCCGGGGCGCGTGAGTGCGGGGCGTCATCGGGGGGGGTCACCTTGGGGCCTGGGGGGTGGGGGGGCACCGCTACCGGCGGCCCGTTATCGGGGCGGGACGCGCCGGTCTGGGCCGTGTGATCAGGGTGAGGGGATGGACCGCGCCAGCGGGGCGGGGGGGGGGGAACAGCGGCCCTTGGGCGCGGCGGGGGCGGGGGGAGCCTCGTGGGGCCTGGGTGCACCGAGGCGGGGGGTACGGGGGTCCTGGGTGCACCCGAGGTGTTCTTGAGTGTTGCTGGGAAGCTCGAGGGGTGTGTAGGGGTCCTGGGTGCACTGAGGGGTGTTTGGGGGGTCTTGGGTAGATCGAAGGCTGCAGGGGGTCCTGGGTGCACCGAAGGGTTCTTGGGGGGGTCCTGGGCAGATCGAGGGGTGTGCAGGGGTCCTGGGTACACCCGAGGGGTGTTTTGGGGGTGGTCCTGGGTGCACCGAGGGTTGCTCGGGGGGTCGGGCACATCCAGGGTGTGCAGGAGAGCCCTAGCCCCACACCGCCAAAGCGTGCAGGACCCCCGCGCTGCCCTTTCCCCGGCCGACCTTGACTCGTCCCCCTCCTCCCCCCCAGGACGGGACTATGCAGCCCAGCCAGCCCCGGCCGCCAAGGCCGGCTCGACCACCGGCCGCATCGTGGCCGTCATCGGTGCGGTGGTGGATGTGCAGTTCGACGAGGGGCTGCCCCCCATCCTCAACGCCCTTGAGGTGCAGGGCAGGGAGACCCGGCTGGTGCTGGAGGTGGCTCAGCACCTGGGTGAGCATCTGCCGCAGAAGGTCTGCAGAGGGTGGGAGGGGTCCTCCTGTGATGATGTCTTGATGACTTTCGTTCTCCTGAGCTTGCTGAAGCCACGGATTTCAATCTGAGGAGGAGGAAAATGGCTGCCAGAAGGCTCAGGCCTGCAGGGCTGCCGTTTGAGCGTGGCTTAGGCTCGGTTTTCCTCTGTGATATTTTGTTCCCGGGTCCCGCTGCTCCTCTTGGTCCTGCCACCAGCAGCTGTCCCCCAGAGTCAGCTCGAGGGCATTGCTGTGACACTGTCCTTGGGTTTTGGCAGGGGAGAACACCGTGCGCACAATCGCCATGGACGGGACAGAGGGTCTGGTGAGAGGACAGAAGGTGCTGGACTCCGGCGCGCCCATCCGCATCCCTGTCGGCCCCGAGACCCTGGGCAGGATCATGAACGTTATCGGGGAACCCATTGACGAGAGGGGCCCCATCACGACGAAACAGTGAGTGATGCCGCGGGCCCGGGGCCAGCATCGTGTGGGGTTTGGAGGTGGGGGCACAGGTTCTGGAGCGGGAGACGTGTGTGAGCAGGGATGTGGCACGTCCCTGCCACGCTCCTGCTCTCCTGGGTCACAAGGAGGGGCTGCGCTTGCGTGGTCTCTTGCCAGCACCCCGACCGAGGGTCTTGGTTCCGCTGCTCAGCTCCGTTTCTCTCTGCCTCCTGCTGCAGGTTTGCTGCTATCCACGCTGAAGCCCCCGAGTTTGTGGAGATGAGCGTGGAACAGGAGATCCTGGTGACAGGGATCAAGGTGGTGGACCTGCTGGCTCCCTATGCCAAGGGCGGCAAGATCGGTACGTTGTCCCCAGACAAAAGCGGGGTGCCTGAGGAGGGGGGCACCCTGCCAGCCCTGCCGAGGCTCAGGACCGCAGTAGTTTCCTTCGCTGATGAGTAACTATTTGACTTTCGTTCTTCTGAGTTTGCTGAAGCCACATTTATTGATCTGAGGAGGAAAGGGGTGAAGGGAGACACCAGGGGCAGCTGGCTCGGCGTGGGGCTGAGCAGGACTTTCTCCCCCAGGTTTGTTTGGAGGTGCTGGCGTCGGCAAGACGGTGCTGATCATGGAGCTGATCAACAACGTGGCGAAAGCCCACGGCGGTTACTCGGTGTTTGCTGGCGTGGGGGAGCGAACCCGCGAGGGCAACGACTTGTACCATGAGATGATCGAGTCTGGGGTCATCAACCTGAAAGACGCCACTTCCAAGGTGTGCTGGGTGTCCCGAGGGGGCCGGCCGGGGTCCCGGGGCAGCAGAGCAACACCGTGCCCACACCTGGCTCCTGCCCACAGGTCGCCCTGGTCTACGGGCAGATGAATGAGCCCCCGGGCGCCCGCGCCCGGGTGGCTCTGACAGGATTGACGGTGGCCGAATACTTCAGGGACCAGGAGGGTCAGGACGTGCTGCTCTTCATCGACAACATCTTCCGCTTCACCCAGGCCGGCTCAGAGGTCTGTGCTCGGCGCGGGGCCGCTGGTGTGCAGGCTCCCGGGGGGCCCAGTGTGGCAGGGGACACCCAGTCCCCTGCTTCGTGCAGCCTCTCACAGGCTCTGTCCTTGCCCCCCCACAGGTGTCGGCCCTGCTGGGGAGAATCCCCTCGGCCGTGGGCTACCAGCCCACTCTGGCCACCGACATGGGCACCATGCAGGAGCGGATCACCACCACGCGCAAGGGCTCCATCACGTCGGTGCAGGTGAGGGCAGGGCCGGCCCCGCCGTGCTGGGGAAGTCACAGCCCCCGCTTCGGGCCCACCGCCCCCTCCTCACCCCCCCCCAGGCCATCTACGTGCCGGCCGACGACTTGACCGACCCGGCCCCCGCCACCACCTTCGCCCACCTGGACGCCACCACTGTGCTGTCCCGTGCCATCGCCGAGCTGGGAATCTACCCAGCCGTGGACCCGCTGGACTCCACCTCCCGCATCATGGACCCCAACATCGTGGGCCCTGAGCACTACGACGTGGCCCGGGGAGTGCAGAAGATCCTGCAGGTGAGGGGGCTAGGGCAGCCCCAGCAGGGGGGCTGGGGGGGCAGAGAGCCCTGGCCGCTCACCCCCCGGCTCCCCCCTGCTCCCCAGGACTACAAGTCCCTGCAGGACATCATCGCCATCCTGGGCATGGACGAGCTCTCCGAGGAGGACAAGCTGACCGTGGCCCGCGCCCGCAAGATCCAGCGCTTCTTGTCGCAGCCCTTCCAGGTGGCCGAGGTCTTCACTGGCCACATGGGCAAGCTGGTGCCGCTGAAGGAGACCATCAAGGGCTTCAAGCAGATCCTGGCAGGTGAGGTGGCCCCCGGGGAGGGGGAGCTGGGGGGCTCGGGGGAACCCGGGCTGGGCTCAGCACCCTCCTCCCCGCACTGACACGGCCTCTCCCCCCAGGTGAATACGACCACCTCCCGGAGCAGGCCTTCTACATGGTGGGGCCCATCGAGGAGGCAGTGGCCAAGGCTGAGAAGCTGGCGGAAGAACACGCCTGAGCAGGGCCCCCCCCGCTGCCCCCCCCCGGCTCCGCCTGGGGCCGGACCCCCAGTATTTAACATTTCCAATAAAACATCAGTGAAAACTTCCCCCCCCGCCCCGTGCTTTGTGTGCTGCGTCTCCCGGTTCTGAGGGGTTGGGGGTCCCGTGAGCCCCCTGTCCGGGTCACTGTGCGGCTGGGCTGTTCCCCGGTGGGGGGGGGGTGTCCCCTCTGCTGGGGAGGGGCAGGGAGCAGCAGGATGGGCATAGTGAGGGGCTCAGCTGCCACCCGCAGCGTGGGGACCCTTGGCCTGGGGTGGGGGGAGACAGACCCCCCAGGAGTTGAGAGGGATCCCCCCTCGCATGGGGTGAGGCTGCTTGGGGAGGTGGGGGGCAGATGTCTGTCTGTCCGTGTGTCTGTCTGTCCCCATTTTCCCCCCCCCCCCCACCCCCTGTTCCGGCTCCACCATTTTGCAGCACAAAGAGCCGCCCCGGCCCCACCAGCTGCTGCTTTGTCCGCGGGGTCTCGGGGGGCTGCGCCGGCCCGGCCCGACCCCCACCCCCGGTACGGGGCGGGGGGGGCTGCAGCCCCGGCCGCGCCCCCAGGGACCCCCCCGAGCCCCCCGGGGGCTGGGCCGAGCCCCTTCACCTACGGAGCGGGGTCCGTGGGGGGGTCCCTGCAGCGGGGGATACGACGGGGGCACGGGCCCGGTGCGAGGGTCCTGTCGCGCGTGCGTGCGTGTGTGTGTCCAGCCACGAAGGGACGCGGTCCCTTTAAATGGCGGCGCGTCCCGCGCGCGGAGGGGGCGGTGGCGGCCGCTGACATCACGCGGGGCCGGGAGCACCTGCGGCGGCACCGGCACCGGGCGGACACCGGGACCGGGCACCGGGCCGCCCCCAGGTACGCACCGCGCGGGACGGGACCCCCGCCCGCCCCGGGACCCTCGTGGAGCCGGGCCGGCTGCATCGGACGCCGGGCTCTGTACCGAGCCGCCCCCCTCCCCGCCGCCCCCCGACCCCCCGCCGGGCTAGGAACCCCCACACCGGGCCCCCCCGCCCCGCACTGGGCAGGGATTTCCTCCCCCCCGCCCCGCTCCCCCGGCGATGCACCGGGACACCCCCCGCCACCCTCCCTCCGCCCCGGGACCCCCTTATCCGCCTCCGCTCCGGTGCCCGGAGGCGCCCTCGGTCCCTGCGCAGCGCGGACGGTGCCGCGTGACGTCACCGGGGATCCCGGGAGGTTGTGTGTGGGGGGGGCGCTCCGGTGTCCCCGCGGCCGCGCCGAGGAGCGCCCGGGACAGGGGGGGGCCCCGGTGCCGGTGTCGGTCCCGGTGCCGCCATTCGCCGCGGTCGGGCCGAGGATGCGGGGGGCGAAGGAAAAAACGGACGGGGGGGCGGGGGACGGCCCAGGTGGCACCGGAGGAGGTGGGGGGGGCACGGCACCGGGAGGGGGGAGGGTGTGGGGGGGGGGGGTGTGGGGGGGGGGCGGCCCCGCGTGGGGATTCCCCCCGCCCTGACCCCGCCGGGGGCGGGGATCCCCCTCCCACGTGGGCACGCGGCCCGCCCCCCGGTGACGCGCGGCGCCGCTCCCGGTGACGCCATCGCGGCGGCGGTGACGTGCGCGGCGGGGCTGGGACCGCCCGGCGGCGCGAGGCGCTTCCTGCCGCCGCTCGGCTCCGCGGGCCCGGTGCGCTGCGGCCCGGCCCGGCCCGGCCCCGCCCGAGGGGCCGCGCCATGCGGAGCCGCGTCCCGCCCCGCGCCGCCTGAGCCGGGCCCGGGGCGCCCGCCGGGCCCGCGCCGCCGCTGCCAGGTGCGGGGTCGGGGCGGGGGGTGGGGGGCAGCGGCGGCCCGTAACGGCCGGGGGGGGGGGGGGGGGGGGGGGCGGCGGTTGGGGCCCCGGGGAGATTCCCCTCCTCCACCTCTCCGTCCTCTCCCGACCACGCCGCGACCCCCCCATCCCGGTGAGCCCCCCCTTTACCGGGCTCCCCCGTCCCCGCTGGCCGCTGCGGTTCCGCTCCGCTTTCCCCTCCCGGACGCAGGAGGGAGACAGGGAGACACCCCCCCCCCCTCCCCGCATCGTCCGTCTGTCCGCCCCCCCCCCCCCCTCCGTCCTGGGCCCCCCCCTGCGGCGAGTGGGGGCGGGGCGCCCCCCCCCCCCCCCCATCCCTCGAGACCCGGCGGGGGGGAGGGGGGATGTCCTTGCCGCAGGGACCGGGGGGTCCCCGCCGGGTGCGGCACCGTGGCGGGGGGGGGGGGGGCCGTGTCCGTCCGTGTCCGTCCCCCCGCAGGAAGTGGCCGGGAAATGGCAGCCGGTTGTTGCGTCTCGTTGTTTTTGAAACGTCCTTTTTAATCAGGTCGCGTCTCGCTGCCGGGGTGGGGGGGGGGGGCGCTGCCCCGAGGGGGGGGGGGGGGGGGAAGGTGGGCGGGGGAGGGGGGAGCTCCCTGCCAGGCCAACGGCACCGCTCCAACGTCACCGACAACCCCCGGTGTCCCCCCCCCCCCGTCTCCGGGGGACGCTCGCTGCCTACCCCTCACCCCGTGTCCGGCGTGGGGAGACCTGCCCGGGCGCCGGTGGGTTTGGGCTTTAACGCCACGTCGGCTCTGCAGCCCCCCCCCCCCGCCGGGAGCAGCCCCCGCCTCGCCGCTGCCACCAGGCCCGAGGCTCCGGTGCTGTCGCCGGCCCTCGCCGGCTCCGGTTACGCGCCGTGGCCCAGTTTGCGGCTCCGTCACGCGCTGCCGGCCGGGGGGGAGCGGGACCGCGGCGGGCAGGAGCCCCAGCCCGGGCGGGAGGCCGTGGCCTCTGCCCGCACCGCGCCCAGCGCTGGCCACGCTCCCGGTGATGCCGAGGGGCGGCTCCGGCGCTCGCAGCACCCAGGGTGTCCTCGCACCGGGGCTGGGCCCCATTTGTCCCCGGAGCAAGGGCACCGCAGCCCCCGGTCCTGCGGCACGCTGGAGCCCGGCCCCACGGCTGAGCCAGCTGGTGTGTGTGTCCGTCCCCCCCCCCCAACTCGCAGCCCCGCTGCCCTGGCTTTTATTTTCCCTTCTCGGCCGTGACGCTTCTCTCCCGGCCCCCTCCCCGCGCCTGGCGTGCTCCCAGTCCATCCCAATCTGCGGCGCTGACCTGCGGCTGCCACCTGTCCGGTTCTGGCACGTCCCTTTGCCGCCTCCTCTGACCTCCAAAAGCCGCCAGCGGTGTTCCCGGCCGGCGCATCACCCGCGGGGTGGGACCGGAAAGGTTTTTGCTTTTTTTCAGCCACCCTGCAGCTGGTTTTCTGTGCCGGCCGGGGGCTCCTGGTGGGGTCAGGGCAGGGGCCAGGCTGCGCCAGCCCCCCCACCCCCGGTTCTTGGGGGGGGGGGGTGGCTGCAGGGCCACCCCAGGACATCTGGGAGTGACGTGCGTGTGGCAGCCGTGTCACCGCCCATACGGGTTTCTCTGGCGGATGAATCACCGGTGTCCCCGGCCAGCCGGGAAAGGGCTCAGTGGCCGTGGCCCCTCCGGCCCCCACCGGGGAAGCAGCCGACGCAGGCGAGGGTGTGATGAAATCCCCGCCCGGGTTTCGACACGGGCTGTGCCACGAGCTGCTGCCGAAGCGCTGCGTCGGCTGAGCGCGCGGCAGCGTTGGCCCTTCCGGAGAGGTCGGCGGAACCGGCGCAGGTTCGGTGTACACGGCAAGACAGGGGAGACGCCGGCCCCGTGGGGCGTCCCTCCTGGGGGTCCCCCTGCCAGCACCACAGTTCCCGTCTCATCTGCGGGGCTTGCAGGGCCTCGGCTCCCCTGTGCCGGCTGTTCCCCTGCCCCACGTGCCAGGAGCCCCACGGGCAGCTGCTGGCTGCACCGCAGGGTCCCACCCTGGGGTTGGGCCCCACCGGGACCTCTCCCCGAGGTTCTTTGGTTAGGCAGGAGCGTCCACTGCTCCTGGGTGATGAAGGTCACCAGCGGCTCTGACATAAGGCAGGCCCACATCTTGCTGTGGGGGCACCCCTGGAGCTGTGCCGGGGGGGGGACGGGGGACGGACGGGGCTCAGGTCCATGCTGTGGGGTGCGGGTTCCCCTCCGGCTGGGTGGGGGGGGTCGTGGCAGCAGCACCGGCTGTCACCACAGAGGCGTTTCTGTGCTCGGAGCGCAGCGTTCCCCAGGGAGCGCCGGGCTGTGCCGGGGCCCCGTGGGGTCACTGAGCTGCTCGGGAGGGGCCGGTGCTTCGCTGGTAAATGGCCCCCGCGGGCCAAGAGCCTGTGGAGCTCCCGCGGTTCTCTCCCCGCACCAGGGACCCCGGGATGGCAGCACCAGGGAGAATTTAATGCGGGAAGACGCGCGGGAGGGTGCCAAGCAGGGTTTCTCAGTGATGGCTGTCCCCGGGGACGCTGGAGCGCGGTGACGAGCTGTGCTCACGCAGGTGGCAGCTCGTCCTGCTGCGGCTGCTGGGCCCGGGCCAGCTCGTGGCAGAGGCAGCGTCGGCTGCGTGGCGCTGGGGGCCCGGCCAGGGGCACCGCGGTCCCAGGGGGGCTTTTGCGGCCGCTCCCTGCCTTTCCCTCAAGCTCCAGGTCAGGTGCTCGCCCTGCCCTGGGCTGGGGACCCGGCTCTGCCCCAGGCTCCCTCCATGTCCCTGGGAGCATCTCGGTGTGAGAGCAGGGGGTCCCCACCCTCCCCGTGCCCCCGCGGCAGGGCCGGGTGCTCGCCGCGCTGGCAAGCCCCGGTCACCACCGGTGGTTGATCCCAGTGCCTCTTCTCCCCTCCGCAGAAATGGAAACAAACAACCATTTTAACTTCACTGGCCTTTCTTCTGCACCCGCTGCCTCAGGACCGAAACCCACGCCTGCCTCAGGGGACAGCCCCTTCGCCCACGGCTCCCCGCTCAGCTTCCCCCCGCAAGGGAAAAGTAAGTGTCCCCGTGGGGACGGAGGGGCCGCTCCCCGCGCACAAGGTGGGGGCCGGGGGTCTGTCGCGTGCCCGCCGCCGCCTTGGCCTAGAAATGCGGCCGTGCCGGAGCGGGGTCTGGGGTTTGCGCATGGATTTGGCTGGTCAGCTGATCCCGTGCAGCCCTGCCAAGCGCTCGGCTAATCCCCGGCACCCTGCAGCTCTCAGCCCGGCGACAGCGAAGCCGGTTTCACTGAGCGGGGAGCTGTGCGGGGGGGGGGGGGGGGGGGCGGTCTCGGGGTGGGGGCAACCACCCGGCTCTGTCCAGGAGCGGGGGGCTCGACGGCTTCTGGGCCGGGTTGTCCATCTGTCCTCCAACCCTCTCACCTGCTGCCGGCGGGGCCTCGGCGCGAGGGAGGGTGCTGAGAAATGCCCCCGCCGCGCCACTGACCCGTCTGTGTCTCCTCTGGCTCCCTCGCAGGTCTGAACGGGGGCATGAATGTCAATGGCTTCTCTACTGTATCTCACCCCAGTACTTCAGGGACCTTCACCCCCAGCTCACCGCCCGCCGGCACGCCGCCCCTCCGCACCTACGACTGCCTCTGGGACTACACGCCGTACCCCCCCGCCGGCGGCCTCAAGGACGGCAGCTCCGCTGCCCCCCCCCTCTCCAGCCTTGGACAGTTCCCACTCAACGGCGTCACCGGGGGGTCCCGGCCGGCATCCCCGGGGCACGGCACTAACCTGCGGGGTGCCGGGCAGGAGTTCTGGGGCAACGGCACCCCCGGCCCCATGGGGCTGAACTTTGACTCGCAGGAGCTGTACGACTCCTTCCACGACCAGAGCTTCGAGCTGATGCAGAACGGGCCGGCCAGCTTCTACACGGCCACCCAGCCCTCGCCCATGCTGGGCTCCGGCACCCAGCCCTTCTCGCTGCCGCCGGAGGAGCCGGGCGCTGGCGACGGAGACGCCGATGCTGCAGCCAAAGAGATCCCCCCCGCCATCGCGGAGAACGGGGGTGGGCTGGTGGGCAGCATGGAGCTGGAGGAGGCACAGCCAGGTAGGAGCCTGGCGCTGCCGGTGCGGGAGGGCAGAGCTCGGAGAGCTGTGGTGCCGGGTCCTGAGCCGGGACGGTGGAATTGGGCGTTGCATTCCCCTGGGAGGCCTGGCCGCTCTGACCCGGCTGAGGTTTGGCCCGTCACAACTCAGAGTCGCTGTTGGGATCTTGTTAAACCGGGCCGGGCGCAGCCCGCGGCGTCGCTGCCGGCAGAGCGGTGTTCCCCCGGCACAGGGGCGGGGGGGGGGGGAGGCCCAGCTGCCAACCTCCCCGGTGCTGCAGGGCACGGCGGCGGCTCGTGCCGGGTGATGCCCCGGAGCGGGGGCACCCATGCCCTGGGCTGTGTCACCGTCGCGTCCTGCTGCCTCAGGGTCCCTTTTCGGTCGGCTCTTCCCTTTAGACTTGAAGATCTGCAGCTACAACGGGTCTGCCCCCGGCGCGGTGCCGCTGGGGCAGGAGGGGCCCGTCCTGGCTCCCGGCGTGGGCAGCGCCTGCCTGGGGGACACGTCGCCCATCGCCCCTCGGCTGGAGGACACCCACATCCTCAGCGAAGACCCCCTGGAGCCCTTTGAGTCCTTGGCCAGAGGTAGGGGGGGGGGGAGGGGGCTGCTGGGCCGGGGGGGGTGGTGTGGTGGTGGTGGTGGGTGGTGTTGGGCAGGACTCGCGCCCGGGGAAGCGGCTCCCGGCCCGCGCGGGCGATGGCGGTGGTGATGATGATGGTGATGGAGGCCGAAGGCTTCTCTTGGGCGGGCAGGGGCGGGCCCGCGTCCCCGCCGCGTCCCTCCCGCGCCAGCCTCCTCCGCGCTCCCTTCCTTCCCTTCCTTCCCAGCTCCGTGACGAGGCTGTTACTCAGCGCCTGAACTTCCGCGCTGGTGAACATCACCGCCACCGCCACGGCCATTTTGGGCTCCTCCGCTTCCCAGAGGAGGGGGCGTGGCTGGGGGCGCCGAAACCCCTTAACCCCTCTTCTGCCGGCGCCTTTTCGGCCTTGGGGGGGGGGGACCCGGCCGCCCCTCGGGAGCGGAGATGTGGGTCTGTGTGCCCCCAGCCCAGGTCCTGGTGCTCACCCCCCCCCCCAGACCCCGGCACCGGGGACCTCTACGCGATGGACGACTCGCAGCTGGTGACCGACAAGTCCCCCCTCGAGGACCCCCCCGACCTGCCCGGCCTACGCTGCGCCGCCAGCCCCCCCCTCCACGCCGCCGGCCCCTTCGGCCTGCTGCCCGCCAGCCCCCCACCCGCCCCGCTGCTCGCCGGCCCGGCCTCGCCGCCCGTCCTGCACGGTACGTGCCGCACCAGGACAGCCCGGTGCCCCCCCTCTCAGGGGCCGGGGGGGGGGGGGGGGGCAGCCACCCCGCCGGCCTCATCCTGCCCCCGCAGCACCTTTGTGTCCGGGCAGAGCGGGGGACCCCGCATGTGCCAGCACCCGCAGCGGGGAGCTGCGGCTGGTGCTGGTGGGGAATGAGGGGTGCACCAGCCCCCGCGGCAGCAAGGGCGGGGGGGGGGGGTCCCGGCCATCCCGGGGAGGGGATGCGCAGCCCCGGGGGGGCAGGCGGGGGTTGGCCGGTGTCATGGGCGGAGCAGGAAGGCGCCTCCGCTCGGCGCTGATGTCCCTGACCTTGGCTTTGCAGACAGCAGCATCGACCTCAACGGCGGCAGCAGCCACGTGGGGCTGGAGGAGTCGGGGTCCCTGGAGCTCAACCCTCCGCTGGAGCCGGAGTCCCCGGCCCCGTCCGCGGAGGAGGAGGAGGAGGAGGAGGAAGAGGAGGAAGAGGCTGCCGACAGCTGTCCGGAGATTTCGGCCGCGCCAGAAGCAGGGAGCGAGGAGGCTGCCCCACGCAGCACGTCAGCGGCGGGTAAGGCGGAGAGCCCCCCCGGGCGTCCTCCCCCCCCACCCCCCCCAAAGCCAGCACACCCCAGCCCAGTGCCCCGTCCCCTCTCCCGCAGGTGATGTCCCCCGCCGGCGCATCGCCACGCAGGAGGAGGTGCGCTTTCCCCTGCAGCACGGGTACGTGGTGCCGGCCCCCCGCCCCACACCCGGCCCCACGGCCGCCCCCACGGCACCCGGCTGACGGTCCTTGTGCCCAGGTGGAGGCGGGAGGTGCGGATCAAGAAGGGGAACCACCGCTGGCAGGGCGAGACCTGGTACTACGGGCCCTGTGGGAAGAGGATGAAGCAGTTCCCGGAGGTGATCAAGGTACGGTCCGCGGGGAGAGCGGGCTGGGGGCTGACCCAGGGTCCTGGTTTGCCGCAGACCCCCCCCCATAGAGCCCCTGACTGCAGCGGACTGATGCTGCTGGGAGCTACGGAGCCCAGGGTGCTGAGCCCCCTTCTTCCTCCCAGTACCTGAGCAGGAACGTGGTGCAGGACGTCCGGCGTGAGCACTTCAGCTTCAGCCCCCGTATGCCGGTGGGAGATTTCTATGAGGAGCGGGACACGCCGGAGGTGGGTCTGGGGGCAGCTGAGCCACCCCGTCCCCCCCCCCACGCTGTGCTGACCCGGATTTGTGCCACAGGGTCTGCAGTGGGTGAAGCTGAGCCCCGAGGAGATCCCCTCGCGCATCCAGGCCATCACGGGCAAGCGCGGGCGACCCCGCAATGCCGAGAAGGTGAAGCCCAAGGAGCCGCCGGCTGCGAAACGCGGCCGGGGCCGGCCTCCCAAGGTCAAGATGGTCGACTTGCTGAGCAAGACGGACGCACGGCTGCTGAAGAGGCTGGAAGCCCAAGGTACCCCCTCCCCAGCCCCACCGGCTCGGGGCAGCTGGTGCAGCCCCCGCAGCCTGGCTCCAGTGGGACCCCAACGGCCGGTCCATCGCCACCCTCCTTCTCTGCTCCCACAGAGGTGCTCAGCGACGAGGACAAGCTGAAAATGAGCAAAATCAAGAAGAAAATGAGGCGGAAGGTATGAGCGGCTGCGTGGGGCTTGAGGTGGCTCTGGGGCCCCTCTGGTCGGGGGTAGGAGCTTCCCTGGTGTGGGAAGACCACCACATCCCTGATCTGGTCTTGTCCCTTCCAGGCCAAGAACAAGCAGAAGCAGGAGGCCAAAGCCCCCAGAGCGAAGGAGGCCAAGAAGAAGTCCAAGGTGAGTCCACAGGGTAGAAGGGGGCTGGGAAGGAGGGGAGGAGATGAAGCCGCTCTCTCCATGCGTCCCGGGGTCTGTCCTCAGGTCAAGGAGAAGAAAGGAAAACCGGAGAAGGGCAAAGACAAAGTGCGGCCCAAGGAGAAGAAGGGCAAAGGGGCTCGCAAGGCGGACAAGGGCCTGGTGGCCCAGCGGCGTCTGGAGGAGCGGCGGCGGCAGCAGCTCATCCTGGAGGAGATGAAGAAGCCCACGGAGGACATGTGCCTGGGGGACCATCAGGTGGGCTTGGGCGCGGGGGGCTCGCCAGGGCTCAGCTGGTGGCCAGCCCTGACCGCCCCCTCTCCTCCCCTGCAGCCCCTGCCAGCCTTCTCCCGCATCCCGGGCCTCATCCTGCCCAGCCGCACTTTCTCCAACTGCCTGACGGTCGTGGAGTTCCTCCAGAGCTACGGCAAGGTCCTGGGCTTCGACCCGGCCAAGGACGTGCCCAGCCTGTGCGCGCTGCAGGAGGGGCTGCTGGGGGTGGGCGACAGCGCCGGCGAGGTGCAGGATCTGCTGGTGCGGCTGCTGCAGGCTGCGCTCTACGACCCCGGGCTGCCGCCGTACTGCCAGGTGAGCCGGCCCCAGCCCCTTCCTCTTCCTCAGCCCCCGTCGGGTTGGGGGTGTCAGTGCCTGCGAGGCCCGGGCTGCTGCAGGCTCAGGCCAGGGGACCCCAGATTAGGGAGGTGCTGCAGCCTCCTGCACCGGGCTGGCTCCCGGCCCCTGGCAGCCTTTGGGGTGCTCCTGCTCCGGGGGCCAGGGCAGCCCTGCCTGGCTCTGCCCAGTGTCCTGGGACGCCCCGGGGCTTGTTTCCACTCAGGTTCATGTTCCTGGCCTGCTTTTCCCACCCACGGGGTGCTGGCATCCTCCGCTTCTTGTTTTTTATCCCCCCTCCCGGCAAACCCTGCTGTGTGTGGTGCAGGAGGGGACTCCCCAAAACCTCCGCCTCTATTCTGCCCAGTCCCTGAAAATCCTGGGGGAAAAGGTGTCGGAGATCAGCCTGAACCGCGACACCGTCTCCGAGATCCTGCGCTGCTTCCTGACGGCGCACGGGGCGGGCGAGGACCTGTGCGACGGGCTGCGGACCAAGCCCTTCCAGGCGCTGCCCCCGGAGAAGAAAGCCGCCATCCTGGCCTTCCTGGTGAACGAGCTCAACAGCAGCGCCCTCATCATCAAGTGAGCGCGGGTTGGGGGGCAAACGCGTCCTCTGAGCCCGGCCCCCCCTGCCCACGGGCAGCGCGGGCCCCCCTCCTTCCCGGGAGAGCTGCGCCGAGCCGCCCGCCGCAGCCAGCCCCCGTCTCCTTGCAGCGAGATCGACAAGACCCTGGAGAACATGTCCAACTACAGGAAGAACAAGTGGATCATCGAGGGCCGCCTGCGCAGGTGGGTGCGGGGGTCTCGGGGTGAATTTTCTGGCGCTGCGGGGTAACGGGAGCGGGGTGCGCGCGGGGGCAGGCAGCGGACGCCTCTGCTGGGTCTCGGCAGGTTGAAGGTCGCCCTGGCCAAGAAGACGGGTCGCCCCGAGTCGGAGATCACGGGCCTGGAGGACGGGCGACGCCGGCGCAGCTCCCGCCTGACCGAGGAGACGGGCCTGGAGATGGAGGAGGAGGAGGAGACCCGGGGACGGAAATCCCGCAGGGAGGAGGAGGTGGGGTGGCAGAGGGTTGTCTGCTGCTTGTTGGCAGCAGGGGCAGAGGTGGTGATACCACCCTCGTGGGTCTCTTCCCCACCCGCCCACACTTCCCTGGCTGGTCCCTTCCCCAGGCTGACACCTCTGCATCCAGCGTCCCTGAGCTCGAGAGGCAGATCGAGAAGCTGGCCAAGGTGAGCGTGCGGCGGAGGGCTGGGGGTTTGTCCCGGGCTGCGGGGCCCGTCACCACCCTGCGCTCTCCCCACAGAGGCAGATGTTCTTCCGCAAGAAGCTGCTCCATTCCTCGCAGACGCTGCGAGCGGCTTCTCTGGGCCAGGACCGGTACCGGCGGCGGTACTGGGTCCTGCCCCACCTGGGCGGCATCTTCGTGGAGGGCGCAGAGGGTGAGCTGGGAAGGGGCTTCCCGGTTTGGGGGACATCCCAACCGGGAGAAGACCCTGCGTCTCACCACCTCCTCCTGCCCTTGCAGTGGCTGAGCCGGCACCCCAGGAACCCCCGGAGGAGAAGGCGTCCCCCCACGTCTCCCCGGTGAAGGAGGAGCCCGTGGATGTGCCCATTCCCAGCCGGACAAACTGCACAGCCTCGCGCTCCCGTGGCCGGCCCCGGAAGAGCAAAGAAGAGCTGTCGCAGCACTGCGGGCCCAGACCCCCCCCTGTCAATGGGGTCCTGGAGGAGTCGGTGCCCCTGGGGCAGAGCCAGCACGACCTCAGCCAGTCCGCCTTCCTCTCCTGGCTGAGCCAGACGCAGTCGTCCCTGCTCAAGGACTCCGTCCTCACCCCAGACAGCAGCCCCGGCAAGGGGGACACAGGGCTGCCGCCGCTCGAGGCCCCATCGGACCCCGAAGAGGAGGAAGAAGAGGAGGAGAGCGCTCCAGAGGCTACAGAAAAGCGGGGACCCTGGTTCAACCTGCTGCCCCGGACGCCCTGTGACGACCGAGCTCCCCTCGCTACCTCCTCCGCCGAGCCCTCGCCACGAGCCGCCGTGCAGCCCCGTGGCCAGCCCCGCGGCGAGCTGCCCAAGGGCTCGGCCAGGCAGGTACGTGCTTGGGGCCGGGGGGGCTGCACCCAGCGTTTCAACCCCCCAGCCTGCAGGAACGGTGTGGGGGGAACCTCCCTGGGGGGGAGCAGGGTGGGACCTTCTGCCTGGACACTGGACACCCGAGGGCTGGGGGACCCTGCCCTCGTGGCAGCACAGTGGGAGCTCGGTCCTGCTGCCCCCAACCCTCCTGGCCAAGCCCAACAGTCCCCAGGATGGGGGGCTGTGGGGTTTTGGGGGGCGCAGGAACAGGTGCACACCTGGCCCTTCTGACACACCCCGTCCCCACCAGCTGAACGGTCTCCCTGCGGACGACCCCACGGCTCCCCTGCTCGCTTCCACGCCGGTGCACGCCGGCGCCAGGGCCCACGGCGCTTGCCCCAGGAGCCGGGGCAGCCTGGAGAAGCTTCAGGACCTGCCGGGGCAGCCCAAGCGCCGGGGACGGCCCCCTACCAAATTCTTCAAGCAAATTGAACAGAAATACTTGACGCAGCTGACGGAGCAGCCTGTTCCCCCTGGTGAGAGCCCAGCCCAGCAGTGGGACCCCTGGGGCAGGGGGTGCCGGTTCCCCCCGGCGGGGTGCTGAGCGTCGCGGTGCTGCTGCCTTGCAGAGATGCAGAGCGGGTGGTGGTGGGTGCAGGACCCTGAGGAGCTGGAGGCGGTGGCTCGCGCGCTGCACCCGCGGGGCATCCGGGAGAAGGCGCTGCACAAGCACCTCACCAAGCACAAGGAGTTCCTGCGGGAAGTCTGCCTGCGCACCACCACCGGTAAGGGCTGCCTGCACGGGCTGGGGTGGGGGAACGCTGCCCACCCCACACCTCCCCTTGCTGAGCCCACCCTGCACCCCCAGACCCCATCTTCCACCCGCGCCCCGAGGCGGCCGGCGCCGCCGTGTCTCAGGAAGCCCTGGCCCAGTGGTCGGTGATGGAGAGAGCCTACGAGACCGACCTCTCCGTCCTGCAGTGGGTGGAGGAGCTGGAGCAGCGCGTGCTGATGGCAGACCTGCAGATCCGGGTGGGTGCCGGGCCGTGGGTCGCCCGTGACCTCATCCGGGCGCTCGCCCTGAGCCCCCTCTTCTCTCCGCAGGGCTGGACGTGCCCCAGCCCCGACTCCACGCGGGACGACCTGCAGTACTGCGAGCACAAAGTGGAACCCCTGGAAGACATCACGGTCCGGAGCCGGCGGGACGGGCTGCCGCTGTGCCGGGAGCGCACCAACCCCCTGGACCTGGCGGTGCTGCGGCTGGCGGCGCTGGAGCAGAACGTGGAGCGGCGTTACCTCAAGGAACCGCTCTGGCCCCTGCACGAGGTGGTGGTGGAGAAAGCGGTGCTGAGCAACCCCGAGGAGCTGAGCATGGGCCCCACCGAGATGTGAGCCACCCCCCCCACCCCCGTCCCCTCTGCCCGCACTTGCCGGGGTGCGAGTGGCTCCGGCTGAGCCCCCCCTGCTTCCCGCAGAGCCTACGAGATCACTCCCCGGGTCCGGACGTGGCGGCAGACGCTGGAGCGGTGCCGCAGCGCGGCCCAGGTCTCCCTCTGCATCTACCAGCTGGAGAAATCCATCGCCTGGGAGAAGTCGGTCAACAGAGTGGTGAGAGCCTGCGGCGCGGGAGGGGACGAGCACCCCCCCCGGGGCGGCGGGGACCCCCCCCACGCCGCTGCGGCTGAGCCCCCCCCCTCCCCACAGACCTGCCTGGTGTGCCGGCGCGGGGACGACGACGAGCATCTGCTGCTGTGCGACGGCTGCGACCGCGGCTGCCACCTCTATTGCCACCGGCCCAAGATGACGGAGGTGCCCGAAGGCGACTGGTTCTGCTCTGTCTGCGTCTCCCGGGTGGGTCACGAGGCAGCCCCCCAACCCCTGCACCCCCCCTCCCAGTGCCGGTGGTGACCCCCCCCCCCCTTCCCCTCCCCACAGGCAGGGGAGTACCGGGACCCCGTCTCGCCCCGGCGAGGCAAGAAACGGAAACGGGGGCGTCTCTTGGGGGGGAGCCTGGTGGAGGAGGAGGAGAGCCCGCGGCGCCGGCCGGCCTCGCGCCGACGCGAGGGGCTGCCCGTACCCCGCTACGGGGGCGAGGGGCTGTCCCCCGCCAAGCGAAGGGGCGCGACGCTGCGGGGCCAACCCACCGACTTGACCTTCTGCGAGTAAGTGGGGCCGGGGTTGGAGGGGTGGAGGGGGATGGGGGGTGGTGCATCCTCCCCCCAGGGGCTCCCCCTAACCCTGCCAGCCCCCCCCCCCCCCCCCCCCCCCCGCCAGGATCATCCTGATGGAGATGGAGTCACACGAGGACGCTTGGCCCTTCCTGGAGCCCGTCAACCCCCGCCTGGTCCCCGGCTACCGCAAGATCATCAAGAACCCCATGGACTTCGCCACCATGCGCACGCGGCTGCTGCGGGGAGGGTGAGCGTGCCGCCCCGGGGCGGGAAGGGGGTTTTGGGGGGGGACAACACGGGACTGAGGGGGGTCCCCAACCTCCCTCCTCGCCCCGCAGGTACTCGAGCTCGGAGGAGTTTGCGGCTGACGCGATGTTGGTGTTCGACAACTGCCAGACTTTCAACGAGGACGACTCGGACGTGGGGAAGGCCGGGCACGCCATGCGCAAGTTCTTCGAGAGCCGGTGGGAGGAGTTTTATCAGGGAAAACACGCTACTAACCCGTGAGCGGGGCGGCACACACCCACACCCCACCCCACCCCCGCGCCCCACCCCCCCCACCCGGCCGGGGCTGGGGTCCCCCCGTCCCCCCAAGAACTGACTCCTCTGGAGCTGATCTCGCTGCCTGCTGATCCCACGCCGGGGGGGGGGGGGCTCCCCCCCAGGCCGGCACGAACGGGCCCCCCCCCCCCCCCCCCGCCCCACGGCGGGCACCTGCGGCCCCATTCTGCTGCCCAGAACCCCCAACACACCTCCCCCCCCGCCCCCAACACCACAAACTCACAGACTGTGTAAGCCAAAAAGAAAAAAAAAAGAGGTGTTTTTTTCTTTCTTTCTTTTAAATTTTATTTTCTAATTAAGAACAGAAACAGCCCCCCCCCCCCTCCTCTTCCCACCCCCCTCCCCCCCACCCCCCCCAAACGAGGGAAGCGAATCCCCCCCGCTGGGAATATTTAATAATAGCAATAGTTCGTAGTGAATGTGTCCGAGCACTCCTGTGCAGCGTCTACATGCATTAACGGCCAGTAAAGTGGACTTAGCCCCCCCCCACCCCGGCCGGGACCCCCCCCGCCCGCGCAGACACTTTACGGGGAGGGGGGCCCCCGGTGCAGCCCCCCCGCTGCCCTCGGACCCCCTGTCCGCGGCCGGGGCGGGTGCCGGCCCCTCCCCACCTGGCTCCAGGGACCAAACTGGGGAGGGCGGGGGGGCCCCGCAGCCCCTTTCCCTGCCTCCACGTCTCAGGAAGAGCCCGGCCCCCCCCCCCTCCCCAGCAAGAGGACCCCCCCCCCCGGGGCTGGGCCGGGGTCCTGGCTGCCCCCGCCCCCGACTGGGATCCCTCAGGGACGCTACTGCAGGCCCGGGGGGGGGCCCAGCCCCCTGCCCCCCCCCCCCCCATGGACTTGAAGCCTCAGGCGGGTGTTTGCCCCCCAGACCACTGCTGGCTCGGGGGGGGGTTGCACTGGGTGGGGAGGGGGCCCCCCCCCCCCCCCCCGGCTGGCGGGGGCCTGAACTGGGGCAAGGGTGTCGTGTGTGTCCCCCCCCCCGCAGTGGGCAGCCAGGGAGGGGGCTGGGGCCCCCCCAACCCCCCCGGCCAGGATATTACGGGTACTCGCTCTGGGGGTTCGGCGGCCGGCGGGGCCGTGGGGGGGGCCCTGGGCGCGTCCCCTCCCCGGCCCCACAGAGCACTGAAAACAACTCACCTACCTGGGCAGGAGGGGGCCCCGGCCGCGCCCCCCGCCCCCCCCGTCTCTCAAAGTAGCCTTTTTTCTATCAGATAACCTCAGAAACTTTTTATTTTATTTTATTTTTTTGCTTTGAAATAAGAGGTGGATTTGAAGTCTATTTGAACTGACTTTATATTACGCATAAATATTTATATTTTATCTAAATAACTGCGCTGTAACAAACTTTTTTTGTGGTTTGTTTTTTAGTAATGTTTCAGATCCGTCAGGTTTTTTTCCGTCGTGGGAAAGTTTTCGGGAGTCTCCGTATTGTTCTCGTGTTCGTTCAGTTGAAGTTCCCCCCCCACACACACACCCCCCCCACCACCACCACCCTGGTTTGACACCCCTCTACCCTTCCACCCCCAAAAGCCCCCCCACGGCCGGTGCCCACCCAACCGCCCCCCAGCCTCCCCCAGGCCCGGGGTGTGGGGTGGGGGGGCCGGGGCCATTTCTCTGTGACCACCCCCCACCCCCAGCCCTGGTACCCCCCCGGCTGGGGGCTGCGGCATCACCAGGAGCATCGTGTGTTCCCCCCCCCGGCTGCGGCCCCTTCCAGCCCGCCGGCCGCCTTTTCTATAACCAGCCGTGTCGTTTTAGTGACTTTTTGATAATGTACAGGTTTTGTGAATTTAAATTTATTTCTTTCTATATTTTTAGGACCAATCTCATTTTTAATAAGGTTTAAAGGAGGGGAGGCAGCCTCTGGCCCCCCTCCCTGTTGCCTGTTGATGTCCCCACGAGCTGTAGGACCCCGCGTGTCGCGTTCGAGAATAAACAACTCACGTTTGATAGACACACGCGGGTCCGAGCCCTCTGTGGGATTGGGGGGGGGCGGCGGCGGGGGGGGCCCAAGCTGGGGAGGGGGGGATGCTTCAGGGGCCAAGGGGGGGGGGGGGGGGGGCTGCGAACACCCCCCCTCTCTGCTCCCCCCTCCCTCTCCCCACACAACAGAGGCGTTTGCTTTTCTTGCCTTTTTATTTAAAAACAGAAAGAAAAAAAAAAAACCTCGAAGGGGGGGGTGGGGGAGCTGTTGGGGGGGTGGGGGGGCCGAGCGCGGAAGCAGGAGGAAGAAATACAAAACTAGAAACCTCTCGAGATTTTAAAAAAAAGCAACTTAAAAACCTGTACAAAATGCGCTACGTATAAATTAAAGGGGGGGCAGGAGGGGGCCGGGGGGGGGGGGGCCTCGGCTTCTCCTCTGCAGCTCAGGCCCCCCCCCACCCAAGGGCTGGTGGGACCCTGCTGCTTGGCCCCCCCCTGCAGTGGGGTGGGGGCTCAGCACAGGGGTCCCAGCACCCCCCTGGCCCCCCCCGGGGCCGTCGGTGGGTCTCCCTCTTTGGTTCCTTCCATGTGGGGGCCCGTGCCCCCCGACCAAAGGGGCCATGCCCGGCGGGGGGGGGACCGGGCAGTAGCAGCAACGGGAGAGGTGGGTGATGGCTGGAAACCTGGGGGGGGGGTGGCGTCACCCCGGGCGGGGGGGTGAAGGGCCGCAGCCCCCCACCCCCCCGGGCCTGGGCTGAGCACGCACCAAGCTGTGGGGTGAGGTAGATGTGTGGCGGGGGGGTCCCCGCTGCCCCGGGGGGGGGCCGGGGACTCCGCTGCACTGGGGGGGCTGGAAGAACCGGGAGGCCCTGGGCAGAGCTGGCGGGGGGGGGCATGGCTGGCCCCAGAGCTGGAAGCAAGAGGGGGGCTGCTCGCCCCCCCCTGCGGAAGGACGGACAGACAGACCCACACCATAGGGGTCACAAAACCGGGGGGGGGGGGGGGGGGGGGGGGGGCTGGGGAAGCTCAGCGCCCCCCCCCCTCCACAACTCCCTCAATCTTTGGTTGCAAGAGCTGCCCCCGTGGGACCCCCCCTGATTGTCGCTGCGGGGGGGGGGGGGGAGCGGGGTGGGGGGGGGGGGGGCCGGGGCCACAGCACCCCCGGGCGCGGGGACTCTAAAGTGCCTGGGTGACCCTCGGGGCGCCCGTCGCCTGTGGAAGCGGGAGGGGGGGGGGTGCAGGGGGGGTTATTGCACTTGTCCTGCCCCCCCGGGCCGGGGCGGGGGTGGGGGCAGCATGCAGAGGCCCGGCCCGTGTCTACAGGGACAGGAATGGCTGCGGGGGGAGGAGGGGGGGGGAGGCAGCACCCCCGGCCCTGCGGGGGGGCTGGTGCCCAGAGACTGGACCCCACGGGGGTAGGGGGGGTGGGGTCCAACATCACCCCCCCACCCCAGTCCCCGAGACGGGGGCACCGGCCAGACCGGGCAGCAGAAGGCACGGGGGGGCACCGCGGCTTGGGGGGGGGCTGGCGGGGCCGCGGGCCCTGGAAGCACGAGGGGGGGGCAGCCGGGAAACCCCTGGCCCCCCCCCCCAGGGCGGCGTTTGTCTTCTTTTCCTTATTTTTTTTTTTCCCCTGTTTTTGGTTTGGTTTTTTTTTGTTTGTCTTTTTTTTTTTGTTTTTTTTTTTTCAGTTTTTTAGAAAATGCAGGAGGAAAAAAAGCCCTCCAAGGCGGGGGGGGGGGGGGGGGCTGCCCGGCGGCGGAGGGGGGCAGCGAGACACCATGGGAACAGCGGGACCCCCAGCACTGGGACCCCCCCCGGGCTCAGGGACCCCCAGCAGGGACACGGGTCCTTCCCAAGGCGGCAGCGGCAGCAGGGGGAGGGGTGCAGGGGTGGGGGGGGGCAGCGCCGGGCGGGGGTCCCGGCCCAGCCCCCTCCCAGCAGCCGGCGGGTGCGGGGTCCCTCGGGGTGGCCCCCCCCGCTGCTACTTGGCGTAGGTGTAGGGGAAGGCGCCGGGCTCGGACGGCGACTCGATGGGGCCGTGGCTTGGGGCGGCGCTGCCGTCCTGTGGGGAGGTGTTAGCAGAGCCTGGACCCCCCCCCGGAGACCCCCGGAACCCCCCCCCAGCCCCACAGCACTCACCTCCAGTGGGAGGGCGGGCGGCACCGGTGGGTACGGTGGGATGAAGGCTCCGGGGACGGCGGCGGCTGCGGGTACGTACTGGGGAGAGCAGCAGCGTCGGTGGGGGGGGTGGGTCCGGTGGGGGGTGGTTTGGGGGCAGTTTGGGGGGGGGGGGGGGGGGTTGGGAGGGGGGTGTCTTACCGTGCCGGCGCTGCCCAGCGAGAGGTGACCGAGCTGCTGGGCCAGGGGGGCCACCACGGAGGGCTGGAGGGGGACAGCGTGGTCCACAGCGGGGGCCAGCACCGCGCCCTGCGTGGCTCCATCAGCACGGGGGGGGGGGACGGGACACGGGAGGGGGGGGGCAGGGGTGGGGGACACACACGGGGACGGGGGGGGGTCTGTGTCTGGGGGACACGGGGGCGCGAGGCACCGGGGACTGTGGGGACTTGGGACCCAGGGGTGGGGGCGGGGGGGTGGGGCCATGGTGGGAGGGGCATGCATAATTTAAAATGGGCGTGGTCACAGCGGGTGGGGCACGGCCAAACTGGGTGGGGGTGCGGCCAGAGTGGGTGGGGCACGAAACAAGTGGGCGTGGCCATGGTAGGTGGGGCACGGCAGGACTGGGTGGGGTTGCAGGCACAGTGGGCGGGGCATGGCCAAAGTGGGCGGGGCAGGGCAGTGGCGGGCAGGGTGGGGCCAGGGCGGGGCTCCCACGCCCCCCCCCACTCCCAGTGCTCACCGTGGGCTGCACGAGGTAGGACTGGTGCATCCAGGCGGGGCCGTGGACCTGCAGCAGCGGCCAGGTGGGAGCGGGTGGGGGCTCCCCCGAGCACCCCGCCCCTACTCCCAGGACACCCCCCTGTCCCATGGGACCCCCCCACCCCCCCCTCCGGCCCGTGGGACACACACCCCCCCCCCCAGTACCTGGTAGGAGGAGACGGGGGAGGGCAGGTACGGGGCCAGGGCCGTGGGGGCAATCATCCGGCTGGGTGCCAGGCCATAGGGCGCTGGGTAGAACCTGTGGGGCAGGGGGTCAGGTGTCGGGGGGGGGCACACGGCCGGCAGCCCCCCGCACCGCAGCCTGGGGGTGTCCAGGGCACCCACCCATTCTGCAACGCCGTCGCAGGATCATAGGCCAAGGTCACGGTGCCCTGCGGGGGCAAAAAGGTCAGTGACTGCCCTGCAGCACCCCCCCACCCCACCCCGCCGTGGGGACCCCCTCCCCACGCGCCCCCCCCGGCCCCCCCTCACCGTGTCACCGTCCCGGGCCCAGGCTCTCCCGTTGGGCACAAACTTCCCCTGGCTCTGCCGCTTCTTCTGCCCCCCGTCTGCGAACTTGCAGAGAAGCGGGTCCGGGGGGGCTGCGGGGAGGGGCCGTCAGTGCCATCAGCCAGCCCACAGCCCCCCCCCCCCCCCCCAGGGACCCCTCCCCAGCCCACCTGGCACCCCCGGGGGCGTTTTGATGTACTTCCCATTGAAGTGGGTGATGACAGCCTCGCACTTCTCCGTGGACTCCATCCTGGGGGGGGGGGGGGGGGGGGAGTGGGGCTGGGGTGGGGGCTGCGCAAGGGGCCCTCCTGGTTGCCCCCCCCAGCCCCCTGCGGCCCTCCCCCCCCCCAGCTCCGTGCAACCCCCCCCCCGACCACATACAACCCACCAACTCCATGCAACCCCCCCTGACCCCATGCAGACCCCCAGCCCCGTGCAGCCCCAATCATTCCCCCTCCTCCTGGGCACCCCCCAGCCCCACGCATCACCCCCCCCGGCCCCCCCCCAGCAGAGCTTCCCCCCCCCTCCTCGCCCCCCCATACCGTGCGAAGCCCACGCCGCGGCTGGCCCCGTGGGGGTCCCGCAGGATGCGGGTCGAGACCACCTGCCCGAAGGGCTTCAGCAGTGCCTCCAGCTCCTGCTCATCCACCCCCAGCGGCAGGTTTGAGATGTAGAGGTTGGTGGGGTCCTGCTCCTGTTGCTGGGGGGGGGGGGGGGGGCGGGTCAGGGGGCTGGCCAGGACCCAGTGCGGGGGGGGGGGGGGGTCTGGGTGTTGGGGGGGGGCCCCAAGGGGCTCCGCTGTACCTTGGCCATCTGCGCCTGCACCCCGCTGGCCTTGAGTGCCGTCACGGCCTTCTGGGCCGCCGTGGGGCTGTCGAAGTCGACGAAGCCATAACCTGGGGGGGGGGGGGGGCCGGGGGGTGTGTCAGTGGTGAGAGGGGCCCCCCAGAGCCCCCCCACCTCAGCCCCTCCAACCTTTGCATTTGTTGGTGGTCTTATCCAGGATGGCTTTGGTGGAGACGATCTTCCCGTAGCTGGGGGGGGGGATGGAAAGGGGGAGTCAGTGCCCAGCGGGGCGCCTACCCACCCCCCCCACCGCGGGGGGGGGGGGGCTCTGGGCGGGGGGCAGCAGCCGCTGCAGCCCCCCCGGGGGGGGGTGTCCCAGCCCCACTCACGGCTGACAGAGCTTGACAAGATCCTGGTCCGTGGTGCCGGGGTGCAGCCCCCGGATGTAGAGGTTGGTCTTGCTGAGCTGGTCCGCGGCCCCCCCGGCAGGGCTGGGGCTTGGGGGGGCCAGCGGCTGCGCCGGCGGCACATAGGGCTGCTGGGGGTGGGGGGCTGTCAGCACCCACTGCTGCTGCGCCTCCCCCCCCCCTACATCCCAGCCCCCCCCCCCCCAGGACACACGTGCAGATGCAGCGAGGGCGGCCAAAGCCCCCGGCGGGGCCCGGGGATGGATCCTGCCCGGCCTCAGGATCCCCCCTCGGCTGTGGGACCCCCCCCGTGCCCCCCCCAGGACCACCCCCCCCAGCCCCGGGGCCAGCGCCTATTGCCGGGGCTGGCTGGGAAACCTCCGGGCCTGATGTCAACCTGAAAAAATGAATCACCCGCCCCCGCGCCCCGGCCCCCCCAGAGTCCTTGTACGCCCCCCCCCCTCCCCCATCACCCCCCCCATGGTGGCCCCGTGTGTCCCCCCAGCCCAGTGTCCCCCCAAACCCCCCTGCAGCTCAGGGTGTCCATCCCTCGGTCCTGAGGGGGGGGGGGATAGGGGTGAGCCCCCCCCCCCCTTCTTAACCACCCCCCACGGACCTGGGTTCACCCACCCCCGTGGGGTCCCCTGGCTGGGACCCACAGACACCCCCGGGGGCCCCCCCGGCACAAGCGAGCACGGCTGCGCACGCTCACGTAGCTGCACACACGTGTGGGCGCACGCCCTGCACGCAAGCGTGCACGGTTCACACGCGTGTGCACTGACCCCCCCCCCCCACGCGTGTGCAAGCATGTCCCGGGGCCAATCCGTGTGGGGAGATCGGGGGAACACACACACAAGAGCCCACCCGGGCTGCTCCCCTGTTGGGGGGGGCGCATGGCATCGTGTGCTCGTGCAGGGCAGGTGTGTGCACATCGCACACGCGTGTACAAGCAGGGGGGGCAGGTGCCTTGGGGGGGGGGGGGGGGGCGTGTCCTGCCCCGCGTGGGCCTGTGTATCTCCCCCCCCCCCGCGGGTCTGTGCTGGGGCCGACCTGTGGGATGACCACAGCCTCCCCGGGGAGGGAAACTGAGGCACGGGGTGCGCAGGGGGGGGGGTTCGGGGGGGACTTAGCTGACCCGTGTGTCCCGCCCTGACCCCCATGAGCCCCCCCACCCCCCCAGCGCCCCCCCCCCCCCCCCCAGCGCTCCCCACGGGCCAGCTCCCCCCCCAAAAATCGCAGTTTGTGGGCGGGGGAGGGGGGGGAGGACGCACGGCCCCACCTCCCTGTGCCCCCCCCCCCACACACACACCACGACCAACCCCGGGGGGAGCTCCGGGGGTCCCCACGGCGCGTGTGTGTCCCCCCTCCCAATCCCCGCGGCGGCGGCGCGACCCCGGGCCGGTGTTCAGCGTCCAGGCCCGGGCCGGGCGGGGCGGGGGGGGGGGGCGGTCGGGGGTGTCGTGTCGTGTGTCCCCCCCCCCCCCCCGCTCTGTACCTTCTTGCCGCTCTTGTTGTAGGCGAAGGCGGGCAGGCCGGAGCGCGGCGGCACCGACAGCAGCATTTTCCCGAGCGCGAGGGGCCGGGGCGGGCCCGCGCCTGACGTCACGCCCGGGAGCCAGCCTGGAATCCGCGCTGGCACCGCGCGGGCCGGGTCCTAACGCCGGGACGGGCCCGCGCCCCACCGCGGCGTGGGGGGGGGGGGGGGGGGGGGTGGGGAACAACACAAACACACACACGGACACACAGACACCCCCCCCAGCACCGCGCCCCCCCCGAGGGAGCCCCCTGCCCCGCCCCGGCACGGGGAGGGGGCGCGCGTACACACACACACAGCGGCGGAACCTCCGCCCGGCGCACCGGGAGCTGTGGTGTTGGGGGGGGGTGGAGGTGGGGAGGGGGGGCTGTAGCCTGGGGGCCGGACCCCCTCCCGCCGCCCCGGGGGGGGGGGGGGGATGTCACTGCCCGCCTCGGACACGGGCCGCCGGGGGTCCGGCAGCGGCCCCTGTGGCCGCAGCACAGCGGGGCCGAGAGCGGCGCGGCCCCTTTAAGCGCGGCTCGTTTCCAGGCCGCGAAGCCCCGCCCCCCCCGCCGCCATTACCCCCTCGGCGGGGCGGTCGCCCCGCACCATGGGCGCGGCCATTTTGGAGGCGCCGGTCACGTGCCCCGCCCCGCCGTCAGGCGGGGCCGCCATCTTGGTACCGCCCTCCCCCGCCGCGTGACGCCGGCTGGCGCCGCCCCGCCGCTGAGGGCGGGCAGGGTGCCGCCATCTTGGCCCTTTGCCTCAGCATCACCACCCCACCCGCGGTGTTGGGGTGCTGTTAAGGGGGACAGGACGGGGGGCTGGGAGGAGGGGGTAGGCAAGGGGGATTTGGGGGGTACTTGGGTTTCCTGAGGGGTCTGTGGGGCAGGGTGGGGGCTCCTGAGGGCACCTGGGAATGTGTGGAGCAGGATGAGGGATCCTGGGGGCACCCAGGGGATCTGTGGGGCAGGATGGGGACTGCTGGGGGGTGTGTGGGGCAGGATGAGGGATCCTGTGGGGTCTGTGGGTCAGGATGAGGGATCCTGGGGGCAGTCAGGGGGTCTGTGGGGCAGGATGGGGACTCCTGTGGGGTGTGTGGGGCAGGATGAGGGATCCTGGGGGGTCTGTGGGGCAGGATGAGGGGTCCTAAGGGCACCTGGGGGTCTGTGGGTCAGGATGAGGGATCCTGGGGGCAGTCACGGGGTCTGTGGGGCAGGATGGGGGCTCCTGGGGGTTCTGTGGGGCAAGATGAGAGGTCCTGAGGGCACCTGGGGGGGTGTGTGGGGCAGGATGAGGGATCCTGGGGGCACCCAGAGGGTATGTGGGGCAGGATTAGGGATCCTTGGGGGGCATCTGTGGGGCAGGATGGGGGTTCCTGAGGGCCAGGGGCAGAGCTGGGGGTCTCTGGTGGGGGACACAGCGTTCCTGGGGTGCTCTGTCAGGGGCAGGACGCAGGGTCCCTCGAGGGGTGTGTGAGGCAGGACGGGGGGTCGCAGCCTGGTACGAGCTCAACTGAGGGGGGCGGGAGGGAGCAAAGGGTCTGGGGGAGCGCCCCCCCCCCCCCCCCAGCTGGCCCCATCTGCCCCAGGGCGTGGGGCCCGTGTGTCCCCGCTCCGCGTCCATGCGTCCGCCCGCGTGTCCCCGCAGCCCCGGCCCCTTTGTGGCAGCCCCGGGTGCGGATTGTTCTGGCTCTTTGCAGGGCGTCAGCAGGGCCGGGGCCCCCCGCGAGCCCCGTGCTGAGCCAGGCCCTTCGGCACCCACCCCGCTGACTCACCCCACGTGCGGGGACGGGATGCTGAGCTGGCAGGGACGCAGCGGGGCACCCCCAGTCCCATCCCCCCCCCACTCCCCTGGCACCAGCGCAGCGAGGACAGTCCCTGGTATGGGAGCAGGGCTGGCAAATGGGGGTGTCCTTCCCCCCCCCCCCCCCCCGCTCCCCCCAGCCTTTCATCCCAGCCTTTCATCTCTCACCCCTGGGGACCGAGCTGCTGGTCGTCGTGGCAACGCCCCGAAGTGTCCCAGCTTGTTGCCATGGCACCCAGAGATGCTTTGAGCCCAACCCCAGGACCCCTGCAAACCCCCCAGGGGGGTCCTGTCCCATCCTCAGCCCCCTGCACCCCAGGGGTGCCTTGTGCCAACCACGGGGCCTTCCCTCCCCACACCTGGGGGTTGGCAGTGCCGGGGGGGGTGGCAGTGCCGGGGGGGTGGGAGGTGCCCCCGCCCTGGGCATCCTCCGCACTCTCCTCATCCCTGCAGCTGCGCCATGGCCATCGGGGAGGTAAGACCCTGCAAGCTGCGCTGCCCCGGCCCCTTCCCCCTCAGCCCCCCCACTCGCCCCCAGAGACATGGCCCCTGGGGTCCCACCCTGCCAGGGGGCAGGGGAGGAGCAGCCCCCCAACTCATGGGGAGCCCCCCAGTCTGTCAGCTCAGCACCCAGCCACAGCACCCCGGCCTGTCGCCCCGCCATTGGGATCCCTGTGTGCCCCCCACCGTGGCCCCCAGCCCTGCTGTGGCTCCTGCCCCCACCCCTGTGACCATAACACCCTGTACCCTTGGCACCATCTCTGTTGCCATGGTGCCCCCGTTGCTCTGGTGCTCCAGTTGCCATGGTGACCCTGTTTCCAAGGTGCCCCATTGCCAAGACGCCCCCATCACCATGGTACTGGGTTGCTGAGGCATCCTGTTGCCATGGCACCCCATCGACATGGTACCCCATCACCATGGTACCCCATCACCATGGCACCCCATCACCATGGCACCCCATCATCACTATGGCACCCAGCTGCTGATGGGTCCCATTGCCATGGCACCCCATCGCCATGGCACCCAGCTGCTGAGGGGTCCCAGCACCAAGATACCGGTTGCTATGGCACCCTGTTGCTATAGCACCCCATCACCACAGTACCCAGTCTCCGCAGTGCCCACTGGGGTGACACCCGACCACCCCACACCCCCAGGAGCTGCGGACTGGGTGCTTCTGGCAGGGGGTGCTGGTGGAGGCAGCGGCAACGCTCATCTTCGTGGGGGTGGTGCTGGGCGCCTCGGTGGCGCCCGGGCCCCTGGCACCGGCACTGGCCGGGGGTCTGGCAGCCGGGGTGCTGGCCGGCACCCTCGGGGCGCCCCAGGCCAACCCGGCGCTCACCCTGGCCCTGCTCTGCACCCGCAAGCTGGGTGCCCTGCGCGGGGCCGCCGGGCTCCTGGCTCAGTGCACCGGGGCCGTGCTGGCTGCTGCTGCTGCCCGCCTGGTGCTGCCGGACGACGCCGGCCTCGTCACTAGGGTGAGCGTCCCCATCCCAGTCCCCGTCCCCATCCTGGTCCCTGTCCTCATCCCTGTCCCCATCCCAGTCCCCATCCCCATCCTGGTCCCCGTCCCTGTCCCCATCCCCATCCTGGTCCCAGTCCCCATCCCCATCCCAGTTCCCATCCCAGTCCCCGTCCCCATCCTGGTCCCTGTCCTCATCCCTGTCCCCATCCCAGTCCCCACCCCTGTCCCCATCCCAGTCCCCATCCCCATCCTGGTCCCCGTCCCTGTCCCCATCCCAGTCCCCATCCCAGTTCCCATCCCGGTCCCCGTCCCCATCCCCATCCTGATCCCTGTCCTGGTGCTGAGGCTGGGCTGTCGTGACAGGTGAGCGCAGCGGGGACGGCAGGACAGGCCCTGGCCTGGGAGACCTTCGCCACCTTCCAGCTGGCACTGGCCGCCTTCGCCGCCGCCGACCGCGCGTCCCCCCTGGGCGGGCTGGCCCTGGGCAGCGCCGTGGCCGCTGGCGCCCTGGTCGCGGTAAGGACCCCCCCCCAGACCCCCCCCCAAGGGCTGCCAGTCCCCACCCGGCTGGCTCTGACCCCCCGCTCCCCCAGGGGCCGTTCTCGGGGGGCAGCATGAACCCAGCGCGCTCGCTGGGGCCCGCCATCGTCACCGGCATTTGGGACGACCACTGGGTGAGTCGGCAGCACCCCCATGTCTCCCCCAGAGACCGCAACATGTGGGGGGCGGGTGATCCCCTACCTCCTCTTCCCACCCAGGGACAGGGTTCCCCACCTCTTCCCTTCGTCTGGGTGAGTCCCCTGGTCCCCCTTGGGACAGGTCACCCTCAGCTGCACCCCCAGTTTGGGTCCTCCCAGTCCCACCGACACAGGATGGGTCCTCCCCGGTCCCCACCCTTGGGACAGGCCCCTCCCGGTTCCCCCCCACCCCAAACATGCGATTCCTCCCCGCAGCTCCTCATCCCTGGAGCAGATTCCCCCAGCCCGGTCTCCATCGCTGCTGTGGGGTCCCCGGTGCCACCATCCCTTGAGTAGTGCCCAGCAGCCCCCCCCAGCAGCCCCTTCCCCCGCTGTGTCCCCCCATCCCTGGGGCCCCCCAACCCCATGTGTCCCCCCCCCCAGGTGTACTGGCTGGGGCCGGTGCTGGGTGCGGTGCTGGCCGGGCTCTCCTACGAGTTCATCTTCGCCCCCGGTGCCTCCCGGGAGAAGCTGGGCGCCTGCCTCACCTGCCGGGACGTGGCGCTGGTGGAGACCACCAGCCTGTCCCCCTCCTCGCCCTCCCCCCGTGCCCCCCCGGCCCCCCAAGCCGAGCGGGGCCAGGGCACGGCCTGAGCCCCCCCAGCCCCCCCACTCCCACCCAGCCTACACATGGGCCAGGTCCCTGCCAGCCCCCCAGCCCAGCCCCGCTCTGTGGGGCACCCCGGGTACGGTGCCCCCCTGGCAGGCTGTGGGGGGGGTGGGGGCACGCACAGACGGCCCCAGTCCCCCCCCCCATCTCCCCACCCTGGGGAGATTAAAGTTGGCTTTGGGTCGGAGGTGGGTGCAGAGTCTTGCTGTGAGGGACTGGGGGGGTCTCAGTGGCTGCAAGACCCCCACCCTGCGCCCTCAGGGTGTGGGGGGACCCCAACGCCAGGGTCCTCCCCTACGCCTCCCCCCTGCCCCGCTTGGGCCTGTGCCCCCTTCCTGCCTTCCCCGGGCGGGTGCCCCCTCCCCGTGGCGAGGGCGGGGGCCGGGACCCCCGTCCGCCCTGTCCCGTGCCGGGGCGCTGAGCGCAGCAAAGCCCTTTGTCGCGGCCTCTGCAGCCCCGGCAGATTTCGGCGGGCGCCAATGGCCAGGCCGGGCCCTAATCCCCCCCCAGCCGGGGAATTAGTGCCCGCTAAGCCAGGCTGAATAATCCTCCCGCAGACAACAGTGCTGGGGCGGGGGGGAGCCCCCGCAGCCCCCCAATGGGGCTGGCCTGGGGGCGGGGGGGCACCCAGGGCCCCCCCCGCCCCCGTGTGGGGCTGGCTCCCAGGGGGGTTATCCCAATGTGTCCCCAAAACATAGGGAGTGGGGTGGGGGGGTGCCTCAGCACTGCCCCCCCCCCAGCCCCTGAAAGCACAGTGGTCCCTCAAACCCCACAGAGGGCACCTATGGGTCACAACATCCCCCCCCCCGCAAAAAGGCAAGGCAGCCCCAGGGATGGGGGGGTGCAGCTCTGGGGGTGTCCTTGCTTTCCTGGGGGTGCGGGGCTGTCCCGGGGGGGGGGGATGTCCCTTGTTGCGCATCACCCGTGCCGGGCTGCGAAGTGGTTAACGGGGGGGAGAAGGGGGGGGGGGGTGACGGCGGTGGGATCCCACCCCTGGGGCCGGCCCGGGGGGGCTTTATAAAGGTGGGTGCGGCGGCCCCCGGGGAGGGGAGCGGGGCCAGGAGGGCAGCGGGGGCCAGGCCATGCGGGAGCTGCGCTCGTCCTCCTTCTGGAGGGCTGTCCTGGCCGAGTTCCTGGGCAGCCTCCTCTATGCCCTGCTGGGGCTGGGGGCTTCCCTGCGCTGGGCCCCGGGCCCCCCCAGCGTCCTGGGGACCGCCTTGGCCTTCGGGCTCGCCCAGGCCACCTTGGTGCAGGCGCTGGGCCACGTCAGCGGGGGCCACATCAACCCGGCCATCACCTTGGCCTTCCTGCTGGCCTCGCAGCTCTCCCTGCTCCGCGCCCTGGGCTACCTGCTGGCCCAGCTGCTGGGCGCGCTGGCCGGGGCGGGCGTGCTCTACGGGGTGACCCCGGCTCCCGTCCGCGGCACCCTCGGCCTCAGCGCGGTGAGTAGGGACGGGGAGGGGGGATGCTGGAGGGGTCAGGGTGCTATGGGGCGGGGAGGAGGGTGTGGGGCTCCAGGAGGTGTTGGGGGGCACCGCGGGGCGGTGCGGGGGGGAGTGCGGGGTTTGGAGGTGCTTGGGGGCACTGAGGAGCCGGGGGGGGGGGGAATAACGGGGGATTGGGGGGGCTGGGGGCCCGGGGTGGGTTGGGGGTGAGCAGGGGCTTTGGGTACGCTGGGGCTGGGGAGGGCACGGGGGGTGACAGCCGGGGCAGCGAGGGATTTGGGGTGCCAGGGGAATGGGGGACCATGTCGGTGGGGTGCTGAGCCCTCTCCCCATGCAGCTGCACCCCGGTGTGGGACCGGGCCAGGGCACGGTGGTGGAGCTGCTCCTGACCGCCCAGTTCGTCCTCTGCGTCTTTGCCAGCTTCGACGACCGACATGACGGGCGCCCGGGCTCGGCCGCGCTGCCCGTTGGCTTGTCCCTCGCCCTCGGCCACATCTTTGGGGTAAGGGCACCCACGGGGATCCTTCTGGTGTGACCTCGAGGGGGTCAGGGTCTGGGGGGCAGCTGGCCAGCACCCCACCAACCCCACTGACCCCCCACCGCCCCGTCCTCCCCACAGATCCACTACACGGGCGCCGGCATGAACCCCGCTCGCTCCTTCGCCCCCGCCATCATCACCCGCAACTTCGCCAACCACTGGGTAAGTGGGGCGGGGGGACCCCCCATTCCAACCCAGGCCCTCCCAGTCCCTCCACGCTTTTCCCAGTCCTGCCCCAGCTCCGGTGTCCCCGACGAGGGGGGATGGCTGCCGGAGCCACCCTGGTGACAGCAGCACCTCAGGGTGCTGGGAGCTGCGCAGACAGGGCGCAAGGACACCCCCCCCTTCCAGCCCTGCTGCCCCCCAACATCTTGGGGGAACGTGGCCACCCCTCGCTCATACTGTCCCCCTTGCACTGGGAGGTGGGACCCCCACAGGGACAGGAGGGCGGATGGCATCCCTGGGGGGTGTGTGGGGAAGTGGGGGACCCCCGGGCTGTGCTGGACCCCTGAAGCCCTGCAGGCCTGGGGCAGGGGGGGAGGGATGTGGGCTCCCCCTGGCCATGCCAGACCCCTGAAGCTGGGCACCCCCTGCATTCCTGGGATGGGGGGTGGGGGGGTGGGGGACCCCCTGGTCACGCTGGGACCCCAGAGCCCTGCAGACCCAGGAGGGGAGGGGAAGTGGGGACTCCCCAGTCACACCAGCCCAGCAGAGCCCCGCAGTCCTGGGACAGGGGGAGTGTGGGGGACCCCCCGGCCATGCCCAAACCCCTGAAGCTGGGGAGCCCCGCAGTCCTGGGACAGAGGGGAGTGAGGACCCCCAGTCACATCGGGACAGGGGGGGGGAGTAGGGACCCCCGGTCACCCCGGGACCCTGGAGTCCCGCAGTCCCGGGACAGGGGGAAGTGGGGACCCCCAGGACCCTGGAGTCCCGCAGTCCCGGGACAGGGGGAAGTGGGGACCCCCGGTCACCCTGGGACCCTGGAGTCCCGCAGTCCCGGGACAGGGGGAAGTGGGGACCCCCGGTCACCCCGGGACCCTGGAGTCCCGCAGTCCCGGGACAGGGGGAAGTGGGGACCCCCGGTCACCCCGGGACCCTGGAGTCCCGCAGTCCCGGGACAGGGGGAAGTGGGGACCCCCCGGTCCCGGGCGCCCCGGGGGGGCGGTGGGTGCCGGTGCCCACGCCGCCCCCCCGCAGGTGTACTGGGCCGGGCCGCTGCTGGGCTCGGCGCTGGGCGCGCTGCTCTACGAGTTCGCGCTGTGCCCGCGGCCGCGCAGCCTGGCCGAGCGCTTGGCCGCGCTGCGGGGGGAGCCGCCCGCCGCCGAGGCGCCGCCCGAGCCGCCGGCCGAGCCGCTGGAGCTGAAGACGCAGGGGCTGTAGGTGCGGCCCCCCCCGCGCCCGCCCGCCGGGATCGGGGCCGGGGCCGGGGCCGGGGCCGGGGCCGGGGCCGGGGCCGGGGCCGCCGCGCTGCGTGTGGTGCGTGTGTGTGCGGCGCGGCGGGGCCCCGGCGCCCGGGACCGGGCCGGGCTGGGGCCGCCCCGCCGCGGCGGGAGGTCTGTGTTCGGTGAATTAAACCTGCTCTTTTATTTTGGTAACCGCGCGCCGCCGTGCTTGGCGCCGAGGGACCGGGGAGGGGGGGGGGGGGTGAACCGGGAAGGACATGGAGGGACCGGGAGGGAGATGGGGGGAACCGGGGTTGGGGAGGGGAACCGGGAGGGAGTTGATGGGACCTGGGGTGACATGGAAGGGACACGGAAAGAACCGGGGGGGAACCGAGAAGGACATTGGCGGGCCCCGGGGGGTACATGAGTGGACCGGGAGGAAGATGGTAGGGACCGGGGGGGGGATACGGGGGGAACCGGACCCCGAGGCGGGGCCCTTCCCGCGTCGCCCTGGCAACCGCGCAGGGGCTGACGGGCCGCCCCGCCTGCCGCCGTCTGTTCCCGCGCCCGACGGGGAGGCCCCGCCCCGGGGGAGGGGCTTCCCCCCCAGCTAATGTCGCCTTTAAAAGGGCAATGCCACGCGAGAGCGCTCTGTCGCCGTAGGGCGACCCGCGCCGGGAGCCCACGCAGCACCACGGTGGGGGGAGCGGGGTGGGGTGGGGTGTCTGCGGGGCACCGCACCGCACCGCATCGTATCGCCGGCCCGTGCCTGGGGCGGGCGACGTGAGGGGTGGACAGGGGCCCACGGGGTTCCCTCGGGTGGGTGTTGCTGCTTGAAGCCCCACGGGTGGGGCGGGGCCTCTCGTCGCGGGAACTGGGGCGGTTGTGTAACGCCGCCCCCGCGCCGGTTCCCCGGGGCAGGCGGTGAGCGCGGGGGTCGGGTCGGAGGGTGCTCCGGGACCGGGGAGGGTCTGGGGGGGGGGGGGTGGGCTGCGGAATCGGCCGGCGCTTCGGCACCGAGCGGGGGGGGCCGGTGCCGCGCTAAGGGGCGGGGGGTGCCTGACGCCGGTACCGGCGAGGGGGGCCCAGAACGGGGCGTGGGGGCCCGGCGGTGTCGCTGACGGCCGCCCCGCAGAAGGCCCCCCCCCCGGCCCACGGTCGCCAGCTCCCCGCCGCGCTGCATGGACTGGTACATGATGAACTGCGAGCTGCTGGCGACCTGCAGCGCCCTGGGCTACCTGGAAGGGGACGTCTACCACCGGGAGCCCGACTGCCTGGGTAGGTGGGGCGGCGGGGGGCGGTGGGGGCCGGGGGCGGCGGGGGCTCACGGTCCCGACCCCCCCCTAGAGAGTGTCAAGGACCTGATCCGGTACCTGCGCCATGAGGACGAGACCCGGGACATCCGGCAGCAGCTCGGAGCGGCCCAGATCCTGCAGAATGACCTCCTGCCCATCCTGGTCCAGCACCCCCAGGACAAGGTGCTCTTCGATGCCGTCATCAGGTACGGATGGGCAGGGGGGTGACCCCGGGGGGGCTCCCCACGGAGCGGCGGTCCCACGCACCCCACTTGCTCGCAGGCTGATGGTGAACCTGACGCAGCCGGCTCTGCTCTGTTTCGGCAAAGTGCCGCCGGATGCCACCTCCCGGCACCACTTTCTCCAGGTTCTGTCCTACCTTCAGGCCTACAAAGAGGTGAGTCTGCCCCGGCGGGGGGGCCCCCAGCACAGCCCCTGGGCGGGGGGCTCTGCCCGTACCCACCTCGCTCACAGAGGGGTTTCTGCAGGCTTTCGCCAGTGAGAAAGTTTTTGGGGTGCTCAGTGAGAAGCTCTACGACCTGCTGCAGCTGGTGAGTCCCGTGTCCCTGCGCCGCTCCCAGCGTCCGTCCCTGCCGAGCGGGGCTGGGGTCCCCAAGGGGGCTGCGGGGAGCCCTGACAGCTCCGTTGCCCCAGGACTGGGAGCAGCGGCAGGAGGAGGACATGCTGCTGATCGAGAGGATCTTGTTGCTGGTGCGCAACGTGCTGCACGTCCCTCCGGACCCCACGGAGGAGCAGGTACCGGGACGGGGCCCTTCCCTGGGTGCCTGCCAGGTCTGGAGCTGCGGTGGTTCCCCAGGGACCCCGACACCCTGCCCGCTGTCCCCCTCCCAGAGCGTGGATGGCGACGCCAGCGTCCATGACCGGGTGCTGTGGGCGCTGCACATCAGCGGGATGGACGACCTGCTCAAGTTCCTGGCCAGCGCCCAGGGGGAGCAGCAATGGGCCCTGCACGTCCTGGAGATCATCTCCCTCATGTTCCGCGACCAGGTGAGCCGGGCTGGGGGGCAGTGGGGCTGGGGAACACCCCCCCCCCCCCCCCCCCGAGCCCCCCTGCAGCACTGACGGCACTGCCCACAGAATGCAGAGGAGCTGGCGGCGCTGGGGCAGGGGCAGGCGGCCGCCGAGCACGGGGAGGACACGCGGGAGCTGGAGACCCTGCGGCAGCGGGAGCTGGCGGAGAGGAGGGTCCGAGCGCTGCAGCGCCCGTCCAGGTGAGGGGTTGGGGGAGGGGGGGGCACCCCCGTGGCGGTGCCGGGACCCCCATGGCGGGGCCGGCACCGCTCAGCCGTGTCCCCCCCTCCCGCCCCAGGCACTCCCGCTTCGGCGGCTCCTACGTCCTGCAGGGCCTGAAGGCGATCGGGGACCGGGATGTCGTCTTCCACAAAGGGCTGCACAACGTGAGCGAAGGGACGGGGATGGGAGGGGGTGGGGGGGCGTAGGGATGGGGACATGGGGGTGCAAGTCCGGCTGCTCCATGCTTGTCGTGTGTGTCATCGTCGTCCCCCCCCCGCCACGCAGCTGAAGAGCTACAGCCACGACCTGGGCAAGGAGACGCGGCGGGTGCCGCGGCGGTGCCGCGCCACCCCTGAGGCCGAGCCCCCCCGCCGCTCTGCCCGCAACGTCCGGCTCTTCCTGCGCCATTTCTGCCAGGATTTCCTGGAGAGCTGCTACAACCGCCTGATGCTGCTGGTCAAGGTGAGGGGCTGGGGGGGGGGGGACCAAGACCCTTTCCCCAGGCTGGGTGGGGACCCCCGCTGAACCCCGACTCCTGCTTCCCCCCCACCCCTTTCCCCAGGCTGGGTGGGGACCCCCGCTGAACCCCGACTCCTGCTTCCCCCCCCCCCCCCCCCCCCCCCCCCTCCAGGACCAGCTGGTGCGGGAGAAGGCTCAGCAGCACGACGAGACCTACTACCTGTGGGCCACCGCCTTCTTCATGGCCTTCAACCGCCGCCGAGGCTTCCGCCCCGAGCTGGTGTCGGAGACGGTGGGCGTCCGCGCCTTCCACTTCATCGAGCAGAACCTCACCACCTACTACGAGATGGCGCTGATGGACAAGAAGGAGGCGGTGACCTGGGCCCGCAGGTGGGTGCTTGGCCCCCCCAGTGCCTGAGACCCCCCCCTCCAGTCCCAGCATGGGGCCCTGCCCTGACGCTGCCTGTCCTCAGGATGCACTTGGCCCTGAAGGCGTACCAGGAGCTGCTGCGGACGGTGCAGGAGATGGACCGGTCCCCTGAGCAGGCGGTGCGGGACAGCAGCCAGGTCATCAAGAGTGAGTCCGTCTGTCCTTCCACCCATCCTCAAGGGTGGGGTTGTCCGCCTCCCACCCCCCCCCCGCCCCCAACCCGATCCTCTCCTCCCCCAGGCAACATCTTCTACCTGATGGAATACCGGGAGCTCTTCCTCGCCCTCTTTCGCAAGTTCGACGCCACCAAGCAGCCGCGCAGCTTCTTGCGGGACCTGGTGGAGACGGCCCACCTCTTCCTCCGCATGCTGGAGCGCTTTTGCCAGGGACGCACCGGCCTCGTGGTGCAGGTGGGATGCGGCTGCCCCTGCTGGGGGTGGGGGGACGGGACAGGTCCTTGGGGGTCTGGCAGCCCCTCTTGACCCTGTCCTGGCCCTCCAGAGCAAGCGTGTACGGAGGAGGAAGAAGCCACAGGCACCCGCAGCCGTCTCCCCGCAGCCACCCAGCACCGAGGAGCTGGAGGAGCTGTGGGCAGGATTGGCCCCGCAGCTCCAGGCCTGCCTGCAGGTAGGGGGAAGGATCCAGCCCCGTGGGGGCACTGGGTGAGTTGGTGGGGCACGGGGTGACAGTGTCCTGCCCCAGGGCGAGGTGCCCCTCCCCGAGGACGTGGTGCCCTTCGACGCTGCCTCGGAGACGCCGGTGGAGGAGCAGCGTGCCGAGGTTGTGCTGCGGATCCAGGGGTGCCTCCGGGACGCCCGGGTCCCCGAGGCTCTGCGGCTGCTCCGCTCTGCCAGGTACCGGCACCGCCGTTCCCATCCCACACCCCGGCAGGGGCACGGGGACGCAGTGCCAGCCTGTCCCCCTCTCCCCAGGGACGTCTGGCCCGAAGGGGACGTGTTCGGACCCCCTGAGGCGGGGCCACCCGAGGAGACCCGGCTGCTGCGGGAGATCCTCTTCGCTCCCCTGCCCCGTGAGTCCTTCGCCGACGGCACCGCAACGGCGGGCTCTGGGCCGGGGTGCTCTGGGCACTCAGCACTGTCCCACCGCAGGGCATACGCCCCCTGAGGCCGAAGAGCCAGAGGAAGAGGAGGATGACGAAGAGGAGGAGGAAGAGACCATGCAGGTGTCAGAGAAGGAGTTCAACTTCCTCGACTACCTGAAGCGGTGAGAGGGGACGAGGGAGGTCTCCGGGGTGGCCCCGCTCACCGGGGCGGCCGTGCTCACCGGGTCTGCCGGGGCAGGTTCGCCTGTGCCCCCGTGGTGCGGGCGCTCGTGCTGCTGCTGCGGGGGTACCCCCGCAACAGCCCCCGCACCAACCACTGCGCCGCTCGCCTGATGCACCGCCTGGCCCGCGACCTGCACATGGAGGCCCTGCTCTTCCAGCTCTCCCTCTTCGCCCTCTTCCACCGCCTCCTCAACGACCCCGCTGCCGCCGCACACCAGGTCAGCCAGGGCCCGGCTCCCCGCCCCCCCCCCCCCCCCCCGGGGAAGGGTCCGTCCCTGCCGTCCCCCAGCCCCGCTCTCCCTCCCTCCATCCGCAGGAGTTGGTTTCATTGGCCAAGTTCATCCTTGGCAAGTTCTTTGCGCTGGCGGCCACCAACAAGAAGGCCTTCGTGGAGCTGCTCTTCTGGAAGAGCCCGGCGGCCGTTCGTGAGATGACCGAGGGCTACGGCCCTCTGCGGGAGGGAGAGGGGTGAGTGGGGCTGGGGAGGGGGCTGCTACCTTCCCCTCACCTCCCCTCACCTCCCCTCCGCCTCTGCCCAGGGCTGTCAGGAGCCGGGTCCCCCTCTGGACCCCCCAGGAGGAGCAGGAGCTGCGGGAGCTGTACTGGAAGCACAAGGAGGTGGAAGGTACGGGGGGCTCTGGGGGGCAGTGGGACCCCGGGGCGGGGGGGGGGGGCTCCATCCCTGCGGCTTCCCCTTCTCGCAGGTGAGGACGTCATCGCCGCCATCCTGGCCCATCTCCGGGGTCCTGAGCGGACGCGGAAGCAGGTTGTGAAGCAGCTGGTGCGGCTGGGGCTGGCCAGCAGTGCCCAGGACTTCCCACGGCAGAGGTGGGTCAAGGAACGCCCCCCGGGGACGGGGCTGGCTGCCTCACCCCGGGGCAGGGACCCACGGCCATGTGTGTGTCCCCCCCCCCAGGAAGGGCACTCGCCTCGTGCTGTGGACGCAGGAGCAGGAGGAGGAGCTGACGCGGCTCTTCGAGGAGTTCCGGGGCTCGGAGGGTGAGTGGGGCTGGGGTGGTGGGCTGGGGGTGGGGGGGGCAGCCCCCTGCAGCCCCCTGCCCTGACCCCCCCCTCCCCGCAGACATCCTGGGGAACATCATGAAGCACCTGACGGCGCGGCGGTCGCGGGCTCGCGTGGTGGAGAAGCTGCTGGGGCTGGGGCTGGTGTTGGAGCGCAAGGAGCTGTACAAGAAGCGCCAGAGGAAGGGCCAGGGCCCTGGACGGGTATGGGGGGTGTTCAGGGGGGACCCTGGGCTGTGCCCAGCACCTGCTGCCCCATCCTGGGCACTCAAACACTGCTGGTCCCCACAGGGTGTGGCGGGTGCCCCGGCGGTGCCAGCCCAGGACAGCTTGGCGGAGGATGATGGGGACAGCGATGAGGAGGAGGATGAAGAAGAGGAAGGCGCCGTGGAAGAACACTGGGTGCCTGAGGGAGGGGCCGGGCAGGGCCTGGCACATCATCTGCATCAGGAAGGTGGGCGAGGGGCTCTGAGCCCCCCGGTCGGGTTTGGCTCCGGGGCCGGATCCTGTCTCACCCTCCCCTGTCCCCAGGTCTGGCCGGGCCCCTGCGCTGGCTGGAGAACTGCCTGAGGAGGACGGCAGGGGACCGCGAGGAGGATGGTGAGCGGGCGGGGGGGCCAGGGGTCGGGCGGGGGGCCGGGGCCGGGCTGACGCCTCTTTTGGCCCAGGCGTGTCCCACCCCGTGCCACTGGTGCCGCTCTCGGAGGAGAATGAGGATGCCATGGAGGACCGGCACTTCCAGGCCCTGCTGCGGCAGCTGGGGCTCCGGCCCCCCGCCAACGAGCAGGTGAGGTCCCCGTCCCTGTCCCCATCCCCGTCCCCATCCCCTCGCGCCCGGTCTGCCCCTCCAGCCTCTCCCCTCTCTGCCCAGGAAACCTTCTGGCGCATCCCCGCTGCCCTCACCCCGCAGCAGCTCCGCCGTGCAGCCGCCTCCATCGCCCACCACGACCCAGACCCCCTAGGGTCCCCCCAAGGGCTTCTGGAGCCCCCCAGGTGCCCCCAGGGCCCCACTGCAGGTGAGGGGCTGGGCGGGGGTGGGGCGGGGGTGGGAGCTGGGCTGAGATCCCCCCACTCTGGGGCTGATGCTGAGCCCCTCTTCTTGTGCCCATCAGCAGAGCCAGGGGCTGCAGGGCTGGGATCGGACTCAGAGAGGTGAGAACGGTCTCCCGTTCCCGATGCTGGGGGGGGTCCTGTCCCCGATGCTGGCGGGGGGGGATCCGGACCCCTGCATTCTCCTGGTGTGGGGCTTGAGCGGTGCCCCCCTCTGTCCCCGCTGCAGCCAGGAGCCTGTCCCCGGCCCCAGCCCAGTGCAGACGGGCACCAAGAGGCAGCGGGAGCTTGACAGCGAGGACGAAGCCACCGGGAACTCGGGTGGGTTCAGCCCCGCTGCTCTCCAGGGGGGTTGCAGGGGCTCTGGGCACGGGGTGCTGCTGTCCCCAGCCCCATCCCGGGCAGGGGGGCACCCCCAACTCCCAAACCCCCTGCCTGGGGGGTGGCTCAGCACCCTCCCCGCTCCCTCCTCCCCCAGGCACAGAGCTGGATACCACAGCCCCCTGCTCCCCTGAGGATGAAGATGAGGACCTGCAGCCCCAGGGGAGGCGGAAGCGTGTCAGACGTGTGGAGGAAGAGGAGGAGGAGGAGGATTGAGGGGCTCCCTCTGCCCTACCCCACCCCCACCCAGGCCCTGGGCTGTTTTCTGGGTTTTCTGTGTGTTTTAAAGCTGTTTTTAAGGATGTTGCGGAAGCAGACGGCAGTTCTGTCCCCTGACCTCCTCCCCTGTGTGTGTGTCCTGTTTTACCCCACTCCCCTGTTTGTTTGACACCACCCTCAGTTCTTTTTTTTTTTTCCTCAGTTCTTTGGGTTTTTTTCTTTTTTGTTTTTTTCTTTTTATTTTTTTTTTTTCCTAACACCTGTTAAAGCTGGAAAAAAACCTAATAAATAAACATAGCTCTCGGCCTTGCCTGGTGCGTGTGGCTGGGGAGGCCGCGTCCTGGGCTGTGAGCACTGCCCTGTCCCTGTCCCTGCATGTCGCAATCCCCGCCCCAATAAGCGTGGCTATAAAGGGGCCGCGGGGGCTGCAGCTGCAGCAGCTGGACAGGGCCCGTGCCGTCGGCGAGCGGGTGAGCCGGGGTGCTGGGGGGCTGCGGGGGGCTGCGGGGGCTGACGGGGCTCTGCTCCTTCTCCTGCCTCCACAGGGCTATCCCAGCGCTGCCACCATGCCCCGGGCTCTGCCTTTCCTCTTCCTCCTCCTCCTCGGGTGCAGCCCCCTCTGCGCTGTCCCCCCGGGGCTGGGGGACAATGCCGGGGTGCTGCTGCCGGAGCACGGGTCCTTGTGCCAGGCCCTGCGCCCCGATGCCCTGCCTGGTTTCTCCCGGCTGCCGCCGTCGCCCCGCACCCTGGCCCGCGCCGCCCTGGCCCTGGCGCTGAGCAGGGCCGCCTGCGCACCCCAGGCTGAGGAGGAGGTGCTGAGGCTGACCCGGGAGCTGGGCACCCCCGCGGCCACCGCGCTTCTGCGGGGGCTGGCGCAGCTGCGGGACGCCCCGGCCCCCAAGGCTCTGTCCCTCCTCCTCCTCCTCAGCCTGGGGCGACCGGGGGGCTCTGCCCCGGAATGGCCCTGCCTGGCACCCACCCAGCCCCAGAGCCCCGTGGCCGGCACCCACCCTACCCCACCCGGGGTGCCGGCAGCGGGGGGCCGGGTGCTCCCGGCAGCCAGAGCCCATCCATGGCTGCCTGCGTGCCGCCGCGCCACCCGGCACCGGCGGGAGGATGAGGATGCCTGCAACCCGCCGGGGGAGCGGAAAGCCCACGGGGTGCTGGAGTGGGTGCCGGGCGTCAGCACCTTCTACAACCTGGGCACCAGCATCTACTACGCCTTCCAGGGCTGTGAGGCGCTGGCCTCCACCCGAGCTCTGGAGGTGGCCGAGGACCTGGGCTACGCTGGGCTGGCCGCCCTTGCCGCTGCTGCCGGCGGCCCTGTGGCCCTGGGGCTGCAGCTGGGGCTGCAGCCAGGGCTCAAGGCTGGGGTGCGGGCGCTCATCACCTACTTCACCTCAGACGGGGACCCCCCGCCAGCCCCCACCACCCACAGTGGCCCCGTCCTCATTGTCTGAATAAAGGTCCTGTGCGGCGGCTGGCTCCGTGTCCCCGTCCTTGTCCCTGGCTTGGGGTCCAGCGTCAGATCGATGCGGGGCCACCCTGCCCTGGGGCACGGGGACCTTGACCCCATGGAGATGGCCTTGTCTGAGACATGTGGTGGCAGCCGTCCCATCCCTGTCCCCGACCCAGTCCCCATCCCCGTCCTGCCCAGTGCACCGTGCCTTGCCTGCCTGGCTCTGGCTCCACAGCCTGTCTTTATAGGTTGGCTCTGTCCCCATGGCTCTGTCCCTGTCCCCAGGCCCTGTTCCTTTCCTTGTGTCTCTGTCCCTGTCCCCATGGCTCTACCTGTCCCTGTCCCCAGAGCCTGTCCCTATAGCCCAGTCCCATCCCTATGGTCCCATCCCTGTCCCCACAGTCTGTCCTCATCCCAACAGCTGCATAGCTTGTCCCCATGGCTCTGCCCCTTCTCCCCATGAGCTGTCCCTTGTCCCCAGACCCTGTCCCTGTACCCATGGCTCTGTCCCTGTTCCCAAGACCCTGTCCCGTATCCCCGTGGCTCTGTTCCTTTCCCCGTGGCTTTGTCCCTGTCCCCAGACCCTGTCCCGTCCCGTCCCCTCCCCTGCCCAGTTCCCCCGCTGGCCCCGCCCCCTCCGGCCCCGCCCCCTGACGTCAATTCGGGGAAGCGGGCAACCCCGCGGGAAGCTTCGTGCCCCTGCCGGGGGGGCGTGGCCTCTCCGCCGAGCTCCGCCAATCGCCGCGCAGATCGCAGGAGGGGGCGTAGCCTATGCGCCTTCCTGACTCGGCAGCCGGGAGCCGCCGAGGTGGGAGCGCGGGTCCGGGGGGTCCCGGGGGTCTCGGGGGGTCCCGGGGGTCTCGGGGGGATCCGAGGGGGTCCAGGGACGTACCGGCCCGCAGCGAGCCGCCTCTGGGGCGCGGAACCCTGCTGGGCCCGCGGGGATCGCCCGTGGGGGGTCCCTTGGGGACGCCTCCCTGGGGCAGGGCGGTGACTGGGGGCACCCACCCCCCGGGATCCCTGCGGGGGGGACACTTGGGGTGCAGGGGACCTGTCTGGGGGGGGTGCCCGTGGGGGTGCAAGGGGGGGACTGGTCTAGGGGTGCTTCTGGGGAGGGGGCCTCGAGTGCTGCATGGGGGGTGCGGGGCCACTCGGGGAGGAGCGGGGGGTGGGCGTGCGTGTGCCCCCGGCCCCAGCGGCTCGGCACAGCTCGGCCCCTGGGGAAGGAAACCTCTGCTACTGCTCACCCCGTCCCTCCTGCCCCAGGACGGGGCTACCAGCCCACGGTGCTCCCGTGGCCCGGGCCAAGCCGGCTCAGAGGGACCCACCGTGCTGCAGGCAGGTCCGTGGGGTGCAGGGGTGCCCGGCGGGGTGCGTGGGGGCTGGCCTCGTCCTAACGCGCTTCACCCCCCCAGCATGGCACAGTGGCAGGAGGTGCAGAGCTTGGCCAACACGTACCTGGAGCAGGTACACCAGCTGTACGCTGCGGCCGCGCTGCCCATGGTGGTACGGCAGTGCCTGGCCGCCTGGATTGAGGACCAGAACTGGTAACGGGGGGGTCCCGGGGCTGGGGGCTGCACCGGCCGGTGTCAGGCTGTCCCTGTCCCCATGGCTCTGTCCCTTGTCCCCAGAACCTGTCCTTGTGGCTCTCTTCCTTGTCTCCATGGGCTGTCCCTGTCCCCAGAGCCTGTCCCTGTCCTCATGGCTCTGCCTGTCCCTGTCCCCATGGCTCTGTCCCTGTCCCCAGAGCCGGTCCCTGTCCCCACAGACTATCCCTGTCCTCATGGCTCTGTCCCTGTCCCCAGAGCCTGTCCCTGTCCCCACAGGCTGTCCCTGTCCCCATGGCTCTGTCCCTGTCCCCAGAGCTGGTCCCTGTCCCCACGGGCTGTCCCTGTCCCCAGAGCCGGTCCCTGTCCCCACGGGCTGTCCCTGTCCCCACGGGCTGTCCCTGTCCCCAGAGCTGGTCCCTGTCCCCACAGGCTGTCCCTGTCCCCATGGCTCTGTCCCTGTCCCCAGAGCTGGTCCCTGTCCCCGCGGGCTGTCCCTGTCCCCACAGGCTGTCCCTGTCCCCAGAGCTGGTCCCTGTCCCCACGGGCTGTCCCTGTCCCCAGAGCTGGTCCCTGTTCCCATGGGCTGTCCCTGTCCCATGGCTCTGTCCCTTGTCACAGGCGCCAGGCGGCTGAGCCGCTCTCCTCCCACGCCCGGATGCTCTTCCACTCCTTGCTGGCGCTGCTGGGCGAGCGCCTGGGCAGCCCGGGGCTGGGCGACGAGGACTTCATGCTGAAGCACAACCTGCGCAAGGCCCGCCGAGACCTCCAGGTGGGTGGTAGGGCTGGGGAGGGTGGGACGGGGAGGGGTCTCTACACCCCACTGATCCCGCAGCCCCTCCGCAGGCCGAGTTCGAGGAGTGCCCGGAGAAGTTTGCCAACTTGGTGGCCAACCTGCTGCAGGATGAGCGGCGGATCCTGCGCCTGGGGCAGGCGGGGGGGAAGGTAGGCTGGGGTCCGTCCCCACCCCACCCCGTGGGGTGCTGCCAGCCGCTGCCTGACACCCCGTATCTCCGCAGGGAGGGGCAGCCCCGGCACCCAGCGCACCCCCAGAGAGCGACCGGGAGCAGCAGATCCAGCGGCGCCTAGCCGAGTTCCAGGTGGCCCTGCAGGTAATGGCCCCCCTCCCTCGGCCCCCCCAGGCCCCCCGGCAGCTGCTCGGCCCCCTCACACCCCTCTGTCCCCAGGAGGCCGAACGCGCCTTCCGGCACTTGGAAGACATGCAGGACGCCTTTGACTTCTGCTTCAAGGTGCACTACCTGCCGGGTAAGGCCTAATCCTGCCCACCCCGGGGGTAGATGCGGGACGGCGCTGCCCCGTGCCCCCGCCAAACCCCCCCCCAAATCCCCTGCCTGCAGGAGAGAACAGGACCAGCGATCCCCAGTACACCCAGCAGGTCCAAGCCCTCCAGGCCAAGCTGCAGATCCTGGACCGGCAGCGGCGGGTGAGAAGGGGGCTGGGACTGGTCGGGGGGGGGGGGGGGGGGGGCCCAGGGCTGCCCCACGCCCCCCCCTCAGACATGTGCCTCCCCCCAGGAGGTGCTGGCTCAGATGCAGCAGCTTCTGGGGCGCAGCGAGACCCTGCGGGACTTCCTGCTGCAGGAGCTGGGGGCCTGGCGGGAGCGGCAGCAGCATGCCTGCCTGGGGGCCCCCGTCGACACCCGCCTGCGCCCGCTGGAGACCTGGTAGGGCTGGGGTGGGATGGGGATGGGGCGGGGGGGGGTCCACGGCCAGCTCCCGCTGAGCCCCTTGGCGCCTGCAGGTTCACAGAGCTGGGCCAGGGGCTCTTCCAGCTGCTGCAGCTGCTGCGGGCGCTGGGGGACCTGCGGCTGAAGGTCACCTACGAGAGGGACCCGCTGAAGGCAGAGACCCCCCTCCTGGAGCAGCGGCTGCGGGAGCTGCTCGCCTACCTGCTGCAGAGGTGGGGGTCAGCATGGGAGGGGTTGGAGGTGGGGGGGGGGGACGGGGCAGCCCTGACCCCCCCTTCCACCCACCCGGTGCCCCCCAGAGCCTTCGTGGTGGAGCAGCAGCCCAGCATGCCCAACGCCTGCAAGCGCCCGCTGGTGCTGCGCACGGCCAGCAAGTTCTCGGCCCGTGCCCGCCTGCTCGTCCGCCTCCACGACCGCAACCACCGCATGGAGGCCAAAATCTACATCGACAGGTCAGGGACCCCCGGGGTGGGCACCCCCCCTTGCCTGGCCGCGGGGGTCCCCGGGGCTGAGCTCCCTGCTGACACCCTGTTGTCTCTTGCAGGGACCCCCCCAAGATAAAAGGGTGAGAGCTGAGCGAAAACGCTGGATGTGGCGGGCAGGGCTGTGCACACCCCCGTCGGGGGTCCCGGCCCCCTACCCCCGGCCTCTCTCTGCCCCACAGGTTTCGCAAGTTCAACATCTTGACGTCAAGCAGCAAGACCCTCCTGGCAGGGGACAGTCCCCAGGACGGGCTGGTCTGCGACTTCCAGTATCTCGTAGGGGCCTCCCCCCAGACCCCCGGGTCCTCTGCAGGGAGGGGGAGTGGGGCGAGGGCCCTGGCCCAGCCCCAGCCCCCAGCCCCTGCCCCGGGCTGAGTCTCCCCTGCCCTGCAGACGCTGAAGGAGCAGAAGGACAGCAGGTCGGGCAAGGGCGGCAAAGGCACCGGCGAGGTGGGTGCGGGGCTGGGGGACACAGGGACACGGGGGATGGCTGGTGCCCCACGGTGCCACCTCTCCAGGGTCCCCTGGTCGTGACGGAGGAGCTGCACCTCATCACCTTCACGCTGGCATACGCCTACTGCGGGCTGGAGCTGGAGCTGGAGGTGAGGGCTGGGGGCCGGGGTGGGCTGGGGGAGGCTGGGGGGGCTGCCAGCCTGACCCTCGCTCCCCCCACAGACCTCCACGCTGCCCTTCGTCATCATCTCCAACAACAACCAGCTCTCCAGCGCCTGGGCCTCCATCCTCTGGTTCAACATGCTCAGCAGCAACCCTAGGGTGAGTGGGTCCCCGTCCCCTGTCCCCTGCTCCAGTGCATGTCCCCATCCCCTGATCCCTGTCCCATCTCTGTCCCCTGCCCCAGCGCATGTCCCCATTCCCTGATCCCTGTCCCATCCCTGCCCCAGTGCATGTCCCCATCCCCTGGTTCCTGTCCCATCCTTGTTCCCTGATCCCTGTCCCATCTCTGACCCCCACTGTATGTCCCCATCCCTTGGTCCCTGTCCCCTGCCCCAGTGCATGTCCCCATCCCCTGGTCCCTGTCCCATCCTTGTCCCCTGATCCCTGTCCCATCTCTGACCCCCAGTGCATGTCCCCATCCCCTGATCCCTGTCCCATCCCTGTCCCCTGCCCCGCTGTATGTCCCCGTCCCCTGGTCCCTGTCCCCTGCCCTGGTGCATGTCCCTGTCCCGTCCCCTGCCACACGTCCCCATCCCATCTCACCCCGTCTCCCGTAGGAGCAGCAGTTCTTCTCCAAGCCGCCCCCGGCGCCCTGGCCGCGGCTGGCCGAGGTGCTGAGCTGGCAGTTTGAGAGCGTAGCTGAGCGGGGCCTGGGCAGGGACCACCTCCTCATGCTGGCCGAGAAGCTCTTCGGTAAGGGTGGGAGCCACCCCTGAGCCTCCCGGGGCTGCGGCAGGGGCCGTGCTGCCTCCCTCACCCTGCTCTCCCCTCAAAGGCTCGAAGCCATCTCCAGAGAGCACCCTGGCCTGGCCCAAGTTCTCCAAGGTGAGTGGTGCCCATCCCGCCGTGGCCCCGTCTCCCCCGTCCCCACTCACCCACCCTCTCCCCCAGGACGGTGCCTCCGGCTTCTCCTTCTGGGCTTGGCTGGACGGGATCCTGGGGCTGCTCCAGGAGCACCTCAAGCAGCTCTGGAAGAACGGGTAGGAGTGGGGCTGGGGGTTCTGGGGGGTCTGGGGTGGCGGGGGCTGACGGTGCCTCCCCCAGGCTCATCCTGGGCTTCGTGAGCCGGAAGCAAGAGAAGAAGCTGCTGAAGGGGAAGCGGACGGGGACATTCCTGATCCGGTTCAGTGAGAGCATCCTGGGGGGTGTCACCTGCACCTGGGTGGAGCACCCCAAGAATGGTGAGCATGCCCCCCGCACCCCAGCCCGGGGTCAAGCCCCTCGCCCCAGCCTCAGGCCTGCCCTGGGCACCGAGTTTGGCTTCCCCCCCTACACCGCAGGTCCCCCCGCTTTCCGGGCCGTGGTTCCCTACACCACAGCCGAGCTGTCGTCCCTGCCGCTGCCCGACATCATCCGCGACTACCAGCTGCTGGTGGAGGAGAACATCCCCGAGAACCCCCTCCAGTTCCTGTACCCCGACACTGCCCGCGATGAAGCCTTTGGGCCCTACTACAGCCAGCGGCAGGAGGGTACGGCACAGGATGGCACGGCACAGCACAGGGGAGCGCCTGCCACCCCTCTGACCTCTCCTCTCTCTCCCCAGAGAATCTGACGGAGCAGAAGAAATATCTGAACCGGCGCCTCATCCGCGTGTCATCCAGGTGAGGCAGGGGGACACCTTGGTCCCCTGCGGGAAGGGGAACCCTCTCGCCTGCAGCCTCATGTCCCCTGACCCTGGCCCACTGTCCCTCCCTGCAGGCAGGCAAATGAGTCATGGCAGACCGAAGAGGAGTTGGTGGCTGCTACAGAAGACCTGGAAACGTTGCAGCTGCAGCCCGGTGGCCTGGGGACACGGCAGCCCGGTGGCCTGGCACCGCTGCAGCCTGGTAGCTCAGAGATGCTGCAGGTCACCACTGGGAACCTGGGCACGCTGCAGCCCTCGAGCCCGGGGACGGTGCAGGTGATGGCTGCGAGCCCAGGGACACTGCAGGTCACCTCTGGGAACCTGGGCACGCTGCAGCCCTCGAGCCTGGAGACAGTGCAGGTGATGGCTGCGAGCCCAGGGACGCTGCAGGTCACCTCGGGGAACCTGGGCACGCTGCAGCCCTCAAGCCCAGGGACGGTGCAGGTGATGGCGGCGAGCCCAGGGACGCTGCAGGTCACCTCTGGGAACCTGGGCACGCTGCAGCCCTCGAGCCTGGGGACAGTGCAGGTGATGGCTGCGAGCCCAGGGACGCTGCAGGTCACTTCTGGGAACCTGGGCACGCTGCAGCCCTCGAGCCTGGGGACAGTGCAGGTGATGGCTGCGAGCCCAGGGACGCTGCAGGTCACCTCTGGGAACCTGGGGATGCTGCAGGTGGTGGCCACGAGCCCAGGGCCACTGCAGCCTGGGAGCTTGGGGACGCTGCAGCCAGGTCCCCAAGGCTTGGAGCCACCCCAGGTGTTGCAGGTGGGATCCGGGGTCACGGAGCTGCTGCAGACAGGGCTTGGGGACCTGAAGCCACAGCTGGTGCTGCAGCTGGTCCCTGAGGGGCAGGGGACGCTGCAGGTGGGACCAGGAGCCCTGGGGACACTGCAGCCAGTGGCTGGGGACATGGGGCTGCTGCAGCCAGCATTGGGTGCTGTGGAGCCGGTGCTGGTCCCCAAGGGGCAGGGGATGCTGCCACCGGAGCTGAGGGACCTGGAGCTGCTGCCCGGGAGCCAAGATGTGGAGGAGCTGCTGTCACTAGTGGAGGGGCTGGAGCCGGGCTCGGGGACACTGGAGACACTGGAGGTGGCGGAGCTGATGCCCGACATCCTGGAAGCCGTGGACGAAGGGCTGGGCCCCGGGCTGGAGAGTGAGTGTTGGGGCCGGGAGGGACACAGAGGTGTCCCCTCGGCACTGACCTGTCCCTGTCCTGCAGGCAGTGCCGCGCTCTTGGACCCCCGTGACCCGTTCCTGCCGCAGCCCGAGGACACAGCCCTGCCCGCCGTCAGCTCCCTCTTCACCGCCGCCGACTTCCCCCCGCTCCACATCAACGCCAACGACTTCCAGTGACTCCCCCCAGTCCCCCCCCTGTAAATAAACCTCTTCCCCTCCCAGCTGCATGCGCTGCCTGTTCTGCTCGCCGGCAGACCTGGGCTATGCCATACACGGGGAGCCGCTCATCTCCTTCAGCCCTTTATTAGAAACCCATAAATACCCGAGATAAATACGGAGCATCGCACATAAATAGCCCCTCGGGACAGAGGGGAATAAATAGTCGGGGGGGGCCGCGGCAGGGCCCGGTCAGCGGGCGCTGGCGCTGTGGGTGAAGACGCGGCTCATGATGGCAGCGAAGGACTGGAGCCGCTGGAGTGCCAGGCGCTGGAGCAGCGGGTGAGCCCAGGCCTCGCTGGGGGCCAGGGGGGGCTGGGGGGGGCGTCCGTGCTCCTCCTGTGGGGGAGAGCGGGGTGAGGGGGCCTGAGGCCACAGGTGATGGGCGCCTGCTTCCCCGGCTGCGGGGGGAACAAGCTCCCTCGGGGCTGCCACCCTCCCTCGGCCCCTCTGGCCCCCCCCAGCCCCTCACCTGCACCAGGCCCAGCAGCTGGTCCAGCACAGCCTGCAGCCCGGGCAGCGGCCGGGCGGTGAAGATGTCGGAGCCCAGCAGGTCCCGGTAGTGTTGCAGCCCCTGAAGGATCCGTCGCAGGCAGCGCTGCGGGGAGCGGGGCGTGAGTAGGGGGCCTGGGGACCCCAGTGCACGTCCCCCGGCACCATGGGACCCCCGGGTACCCCCAGCACCCCTAGGACCCCCAGGGATACCCTTCAGCATCCCTGGTCCCACCAGGCACCCCTGGGTACCCCCAGCACCCCTGGGGACCCCAGACACATCCCTCAGTGTCCCTGGTCCCACCAGGCACCCCTGGCTACCTCCAGCACTTCTGGGACCCCCAGGGATATCCCTCAGCACCCCTGGGACACCCGGGAATATCTTTCAGTGTCCCTGGTCCCACCAGGCACCCCTGGGAACCCCAGGCACATTTCTCAGCACCCCTGTATAACCTCAGCATCCCTTGGTCCCCCAGGCACCCGTGGGACCCACGGCACCCCTGGGACCCCCAGGCACATCCCTCAGCACCCCTGGGATCCCCAGTCACATCCCCAGCAGCCCTGAGACTCCCCCCAGGACCCCTGGGCACACCCTCTCATCTGCCCCACTGCTTCCCCCCCCCCCCCCCCCCCCAGCACCCCACATCCCCCCCGGTACCGTGTTGTTGGTGTCCAGCGTGTGGGGGTCACAGGCATCGCTGCAGCGGATCCGGGGGGGCCAGTTCTTGGGGTCCTCCTCACTCAGGTGCGTCTCCTCCTGGCAGCGGGGGGTCAGCAGGGTCCCCACGTCCCCCACGTCCCCCAGCACCCCGCACCCCCGGGACACCCCTCCCGCCGGGATGGCCCGAAGCCCCCACGGCCAAGACCCCCGCTCTCACCAGGACCCGGTGCGGCTCCTTCAGGGTCGCCACTAGCCGCGACAGCTCCCGGGAGAGGCTCCTGCAGGCGGCCCAGTCGGTGCGGGGCGTCGTGACCGGGGCCGGGGCCGCGGGCGGCAGCAGCAGCAGCGGGAGGCAGAGGCAGAGGCGGAGGTAGAGGCGGCGGAGCGGGGCCATGGCCGGTCGGTGCCGCTACCGGCGCAGCCACCGGGCTCTTATGGGGCGTCGGCAGGTGGGGAATCCCCGGGGCAGGTGGCACCCGCCCCCCGTTACTGCGAAATCGCCGCCTCCCTCGAAAGCAGAACCGATACCGGGCCGGGGTCCCCGAGCTGCGCCCCGCCGCGCCCGGCTCCGCGCTGCGCTGAGACGGGACGGGACGGGTAGGAAAACCCGGGGCAGTTCCTGGCGGTGCCGCGCCCGGGACACCGCGGCGGCACCGGGACCGGGACGGGATGGAGACCGAGACCGGGACCCCCCGCCCGCTGCACCTGGGCCGCCCCGCCCCGCCGAGAGCACCGGGGAGCCCGGGCGGAGCGGGGCGGGACTCCCCGGAGCCCGGCGGTGCCTCTCCGGTGTGTGTCCCCTCGATGTCACCGATCGCCGCGTTCCCCAGTGTCCCCCTCAGTGTTCCCCGTGTGCCCCGCGGCCGCACCGGGAAATCAGTCGGGGCGGCCCCGGGGCCGCCGTGTCTTGGCGGGGCTTCCCCCGTCCGTGCCCCCCCCGGACCCCTCCCGGGCCCCGGTCCCCGCCGGGCAGGGCCGTGCTGCCCGCGGCACCGCAATCGCGGCGGCCCCGACGGGGCGGCTCCGGCGCTTCCCGCTCCCGCCCGGCGGGGCTGTCCCGGGCCTTCCCCGGGCACCGGCCTCCGGGGGGGCGAGGAGGGCCGCCGTTCCCCAACCTCTGCCCGTGGCGTCGTGTCTCCGGTGGGTTTGGGGAGGGAGGGGGGTCCCGGGGGAGGCCGGGGCCGGTGGCGCTCAGCACCACAACCCCGCCACGGTGCACTGCCCTGGGAACCCCGCGGGACCCCGTGGGGTGCCAGAGGACAGCACAGTACACCGTGGGACACCTGGGGACACGTTGAGATCCCACGGGGTGGCAGGGGAGGCTGAGCGGTGCCTGTGGGCGCAGCGAGACCCCGTGGGGCACTGTGGGACCCCGCGAGACCCCGTTGGGACACTTTGGGATCCCATCGGGTGCCAGGGAACGCTGTGTGACGCCCGTGGGCGCGGTGTGGAGCCGTGGGAGGCGCGGGACGGCGCAGGGCCGCAGGTGTCAGGCAGCGCCCGGGGGTCTGTGCGATGTTGGGGGACGGAGGGGCCTGGGGGGGTCCCGCTCCCCCGCCCCTGTCCCCCCGATCCCAGCCGCACCCCCCCACGCAACCCCGAAACGGCCGATTTCAGCCTTTTTGTCCCTTCCGCCGCGCCGTCCCGCACGCCACCCGCCGCTCCGCTTAGTCCCGCCTCGCTCAGGCGCTGATTGGCCAGCGTCCGCCGCTCCGCGCTGCCATTGGCCCGCCGGCCCCTTGGGCGCGCCGGTTTACCGGGCGGAGGGCGCGGTTGTTGCCATAGCGACGGCGGGAGGGGCGGCGGCGGCCCCGGCCCGGCCGCGGCGGCTCAGCGGGACGGGCCCGGCAGCGCGGCCGTGGCGGGGCTCTGCCCGCGGCTGCTCGGTAACGGCGGGCGCGGGGGGTAACGGCCGCCGCCGCCCCGGAGCACCGTGAGATGCTCGGCGGGAGCGCGGGGGGTCGTGGGTAGCGGCCCCGGTGCTGGGAGCGCGGCGGGGGAAGCGGTGGGGTCCCGGGGTGTCCCGCAGCGCCCGGGCTCCGCCGCCAATAGCTGCGGGTCTGCGGCGGCCGGTACCGCCGGTGGGGCCCGGTCGGGGCGGGGGCGGGCAGCGCTCGGAGGGGCGCGCGGCTCCCCCGGCAGAGGTTGCCCGGTGCACCGGGGCTGCCGCGGACCCCTTCCCCCGGCGGCTGTGACGGGGCTCCGAGCGTCCCCCGGGGAAGGGACTTTACGGGCCGCGGGGGGCGGCGCTGCCGGTGCCCGGGGCAGGAGCGCTGCACCTTGCCTCCGCCGGGGATTCCAGCCGCCCTTTCCGTCCCTCCGAGTCACCGGGGCTCCGCCACCGGTTCCAAGAATTGGGGGGCCCTGGTGTTTCTGACTGACCGACTTAGTTCCTTTTCTGTTTCTAAGGGAGACGCTGGTTTTAACCATGAATTTTGAAGGTCTCGACCCCTCCCTTGCCGAGTATGCGCCCCCCCTCCACCCCGCGCTGGACCCTGTCCTGGACCCCCACCTCAACCCCAGCCTGCTGCAGAACGTGGAGCTGGACCCCGAAGGGGTGCCGTTAGAGGGGATTGCGGTGCCGGAGTCCGTGCACCTCATGGAGGGCATGTACAGCGAGCTGCACACCGCCGTCTCCGAAGTGGGGGTGCCCGTCTCCGTCTCCCATTTCGACCTGCACGAGGAGATGCTGTGGGTTGGGAACCACGGGGTAGGCATCCCCTTTTTTGTCTATTGGAGATCCTCTTGGTGTTTCCCAAGAGGCTTGGCTGCCCTGACCCGTGGGGCTGCTGGAACTCCATGTCTGCACGTAGCCGAGCAGTCTTCCGCAGTTCGGGGCTCACGGGGGGGCAGGAATCCCTGCCGTGGGCTGGCTGAGGCCCTAAGGCAGCCGACAGTCTGGTTGCACCCCAGAGCAGCGCAGCGTGAAGCGTTTGCCTGTGTCGCATCTCTGTGAAGCCGGGGCGGGTCCTGACGAGCCTGTCCCTGGCTGGTTTTAGGGCCATGCCACCTCCTTCTTTGGCCCGACACTGGAGCGATACTCCTCCTTCCAAGTAAACAGCAGTGACGACATCCGCCAGATCCAGAGCCTGGAGAACGGTGTCCTTTTCTTGACCAAAACCAACCTGAAGTACATGTCACGAGGGGGCCTCATCATTTTTGACTACCTGTGAGCGCTTTCCCCCAGCAGCAGGCGGGCTGTGCCAGCACTGGGAGCTGCCCCTGTGTTGGGAGGGATGGTCCCAGCCCCTCTGCCAACTGCCCAAAAGCCCCATAGGGGAGAGGGCAGATCCTCCACCCCCTTCCCCGCTGCCCCTCCGAGCTGGGCAGGAGCGCAAGGGCCGTCCTCTCCCCTCTCCGCAGCATGGATGAGTCCGAGGACATGCACAGCCTGCTGCTGACGGACACCAGCACGCTGCTGGTTGGTGGGCTGCAGAACCACGTCATTGAGATAGACCTCAACACCGTCCAGGAGACGCAGAAGGTACGGCCGGGCTGGGGGGCTGCTCCGTGGCGTGGGGAGGTGCTTTGTTCTGGGGCTCAGCCCTGCTCACCCCCCTCCTCTACTTCCTGCCCAGTACAACGTGGAAGTTCCGGGCATCACCATCATGAGGCAATCAAACCGCTTCTTCTTCTGTGGGCACACCTCGGGGAAGGTAACACCAGCCCCATCCTACCTGACGGCCCTGCTGACGCTCGGCTTCTCCCTGGGATAACCTGGTGTCAGTGTCCAGCTTTTCCCAGAGCTCAGAGGGCTCCCGAGTAGCCGGCGGCTGCCTGTGTGACACCCAGCACCCCCATCTTACCCTCACAGGTCTCCCTGCGCGATCTGCGCACGTTTGTGGTGGAGCACGAATTCGACGCGTACTCGGGCAGCTTGTCTGATTTCGACGTCCACGGGAACCTGCTGGTGACCTGCGGCTTCTCCAGCCGAATGAACGGCCTCGCCTGCGACCGCTTCCTGAAGGTGTACGACCTGCGCATGATGCGGGCCACCACCCCGCTGCAGGTCCACATCGACCCCTTCTTCCTCCGCTTCATCCCCACCTACACCTCCCGCCTGGCCATCATCTCCCAGACAGGTGGGCGAAGCTGCGTCCCCCGCCCGGCCGGGCTCTGCTCCCCCGGCATCCCCGAGACTCGGGGCCAAATCCCGATGGGATAGAGTTGACCGAGCGTTCTCGACCCGTGTCCAGCCAGTTCAAACGGCCCCGTAAGCGAGAGGCGTGCTGGGTCACTGTGTGCTGGCTGCCCGCCTGCTCCCCGGTGCCACCTTGCTCTGCGCTTCCCTCTCGCGCAGGTCAGTGCCAGTTCTGCGAGCCCACCGGCCTCGCCAACCCCGCTGACATCTTCCACGTGAACACCGTTGGGCCGCTGATCATGACCTTCGACGTCTCGGCCAGCAAGCAGGCCCTGGCCTTTGGCGACTCGGAGGGGTGCGTCCATCTCTGGGCCGACTCCCCTGAGGTCACCTTCAACGCCTACTCCCGAGAGACCGACTTTGCCTTGCCCTGCATCGTGGACACGCTGCCCCACTTGGACTGGAACCAGGACCTCGTGCCGCTCTCGCTCATCCCTGTCCCGCTGACCAATGACACCCTGCTCTCCGACTGGCCTGCTGCCAATTCTGCCCCAGCACCCCGGTAATTTCTCAGTCTTTCCCAGTGAAAACCAGCATGGGAAACCTGACCCTTGCAGAGTTCCCCTCTTTCCCTGGGTCTTGGGAGCAGGAGAGCAGCTCTGTTGCTCCCCTTGCTCCCCCATCTCCTTGTCATGTACCCTCTGAAATGCAAGCCAAGCTCCCTGTCGTGGAGCTTGGCTGCTGAGGTGCAGTGACTGGTCAGGTCTGAAGACGGCAGGGTATGGTCCAACCTCCGCCTTCCTGGTGGGGAGATCCCAGTGGGATCCTGGCTGCATTCTGCCTGTGTGGAAACTCGTTTTTTCCTCTGCCTGAGCCCTGTCCCAAACACGCCTGTGCTCAGCGCTGCTGCCATGGTCTGGCATTGCCCAGATGTTGGGTTGTGATGGAAAATGAACCGGGGGGAAGGATTGAGTGGGAGGAAGCCCTCAGAACCCACTGGTGGGTCTCTGAGCACACCCAGCAAGGCCATAGTTAAATGCTGCTGCTGAACAGAGCAGCCTCTGAGTTGTGGTGTGTTTTGCAGGCGAGCCCCTCCAGTAGATCCCGAGATCTTGCGCACCATGAAAAAAGTGGGGTTCATCGGTTACGCCCCAAACCCAAGGACCAAGCTCCGCAACCAGGTACCCGCTCTCAGGAGGAGCTTGAGTGGGGTGCTTCTGCCAGCAGCGGGGGGGCTGCACTTCGGGGTGGGACGGAGCTCTTGCTGCATGCTGAGCCATCTCAGAGCTTTCTGCAGAGCTTGGGACAGGGGTGAGAGATGAATCTCTGGCTTGGGGTGTTGCAGGTGTATGGTTTGGAGGAGACAGCTTTTCTTGAGGTGAGCCAGCCCTGGGGGAGGGCTGGACTCTCCCCCTTGGGACAGAATCCCAGTTCTATCGATAACTCGCTCTGTGGTGGGAAAGATTTGAGCTGTCCGGTTTGGAGGTTTATGGCACGTCCCTCACCCTTGGGAAAACACTGCTGTGTTTCGCCCTCGCCCGCAGTGCCACTGTAGTTTCCCACAGTGATAAGTCCCTTGTAAGAAGGAAGGTGTGGACGCCTTGTGCAGGTTAAGGGAGGGCCCCACTCCTTTCTGGTTTATTCCTTTGCTCATTCGGGGAGGCAAGAAAGCCCAGGAGTTGCTTGTTTCAGTATGTGGTGCTTCTCTCTGCCTCAGGGTTCAGCTGCTCTTCCCTTCTCTTCCCCCTCACAGATTCCCTATCGGTTAAAAGAGACAGACAATGAGTTTGACAGCTTCAGCCAAGTCCCTGAGTCCCCCATCGGGCGGGAAGAGGAGCCGCACCTCTACATGGTGGCCAAGAAGTACAGGAAGGTAGTGGCCTTCTGAGGCACAGGGTGGGGCTGGCTGGGAGTCCCCAGGCTG